GACTGCTTATAATGATCTTGATCAAGTTGATGTCGTTGATTTGTCGGCAAAGGCAAACACATCGTCTGTTGTGTGGAATTATTTTTCATGCCTAATGGAAAGTCCACGTAATGGCACTTATCTACTATCTAGTTTTGTTTATTTTATCTTTGTCTCCGCTATTACTGTTTTAACAGTTTACTTTTTTTGGATATTTTAAATAGATAATGTATTACATTATTATTAAAATAAATTGAAAAGTGAATCGACTTTTGTTTTTTATCGGATGGCTTTAGATGGGTGGGTAGTGGACTGATTGATTAACATAAATAGTGTCTTATTAAGTGACAACAGAACCCACCTGCAAACTGAGGAGAAATTACAGATGGCTATTACCCCCTATTTTTCACTAGAAATCCTATCCTCTAACCAATCCTTTATTATGGTGCATGATAATTACAATTATCACGATTATAAATAACTATCGTGATAAAGAGAAATATCATGATAAAGAGAATTATCGTGATAAAATTGATAATCGTAGACTTTTATTTATCGCGATAATTCCAAAAGCAGTTATCATGATTAATGGCGATATCAGAATTTGATATCGTTGCAACCTTACGTCCACTCGACACAAACTAGGTCATTTCGGGACTCACATATGGTTAAATTTTATTTACATAATTCGCTTGTGTGCAGGGGTCTTTAGCAGTGGGAGGAAACCGGAGGCCCCGGAGAAAACCCACAAGGTTGGACAGGCGACCCTACTCCTTGCCACGTACAACCGGGGATTCGAAACCACGCCAGTCGACTCAATGACAGACTTTATGATACGGCGTGCGCACGCTAACCATTCAACACCCCTGGTGGCAAGGAGAAAATCGCTGTTTGTTATTTGCTAGAATACAGAACTTTACACATGTGTCCTACTTTTTGATATCTTTTGGTTCGTTGAAAGCGGCATGGTTATTTAATTTGCTACCTACCTGGTTGGTGATTATCGTAGAATAATAGGTTTATTTAATTAAGTCACTCCCAAGTTAAAACCCAATTTATTGTAATGAATGACGTATTTACATGACATCAGAAAAGTCCAAACGTAATTGGATATTACAAATAGATCTGATGACAATGAATGCAAAATGAAATATTGGACTTAACAGGTTACGGAAAAACCTGCACCCCAATAATTATACTACTGTCTGATTCATCGTAAATTTTAAACGGATTTCTTCGATTATGAACAAACTACTTAACTTTGGTTATTATAAACTTACCTGTGTGTTTGTAATGAACTCCCGTTCGATAAAATCCATTGCACAACTAATTATCACAACGATGAAAACAATTTCTCTCTTGAAAAATTTGAAAATTTACTTGTAATTTCGACTGAGTCGATGTCAACAATGTCTTCGTGACGTAATGGTCGAATCCAATATACCTGTTGCGGGGGTTGGTTAACATTGAAAGATAGTTTGACAGCGCCATGATTTTGATCGTATATGGGTTTGGGCGACGAAAAATATCAATTGAAGGCAATTACATAGGAGATTTATATGGAAACCATTGATCGCCAGTCTATCAAATTTTCTTCACAATTAAAATATCACTGATTGCACGGATACTCGTAAAAATAAAGTCATGAATAAACTATAAATATCCTATCTTCTTTATGTTATAAATAATTTAACAAGGATCATGAAGCTTACCTCCGAATTCTCTGAGTGTATTTTTGATTTTATACGCATTCTTTCGATCGAATAATAACCGCTTCAGTAACATCTTTAAGCGTGTTGCGGCAGCCCTCAGCGTGTCTATTGCCGTATTGGGTGCCCGGGTGGGTATATAATGCTACTAAGCCCGTATGACCCCGTAAGAAGCGGAACATTAATTTTCGATTCGACAGTTTTGACCGAAGTGTGATAAAGCCCGTAAAACGAATGTATAGTTGTGTTTGTGCGGCATGCGTGTTCAAAAGTAAATAATCCCATCCGAGTCACTAATCAAATAATTAGAACAAAATATTTCAAAAAGTAAAGCTATAAAATTTGCAGAGATTTTACTAGAATGTAAAAGACGGTAACTAAATACAGGAATGCGGGTAGTTATGTGTGCGAACGCTCAAACTCAATGCCAATTGTCGTAGGTATCCAGACCACTCGGACCAAAGACTACTCGGACTAAGACCAGTCGGACCAATTAAATTATATTATAAGGCTAGACAATATGCTATTTATTTATTATTAAATCACAATACAAAGAAGCAAATAATTCTTATACGGAATTCTTATATTTAGAGTTGTTTGGTTCAATTTTGTGTACGGAAAATAAATCAACGATTAGTTTTAAAATTAATTAATAATGGTGCCCAAAAAAAATATCAATCTAATTTTTCTTTACTCTTGCAATGAGACTCGGTATGTCCAGACTTTTGACAGTTTCTACATATACGGGTATACTGTTCTTGTCTGATAGCCTAATTTTACTTTTTCCACATTCGCGGTATCCCCAGTGGTTTCATTCCGTTCTACCCCACTAACCCCTGGGTTACTATATATGGGGGGGGGGGGGGGGGTGGAGACACGTTTTCAAGTTATCCGCCCTTGATGCGTTAATATAAACAGCACATAATAATACGAAGACCGGACGTTTATATGCCCCTTTTTAAACGTGACTACAAGTGTGGTTCTCGATATTTTGCGATTTGGAATACAATTATCAATTTATTCAAACAACACGTTATTATTAGTTCGAGTAGTCATATTAAAACACACACAATTATCAATTTATTCAAATAACACTTTATTATTGGTTCGAGTAGTCATATTAAAATAAACACAATTATCAATTTATTAAAATAACACTTTATTATTGGTTCGAGTAATTATATTAAAACAAACGCAATTATCAATTTATTAAAACAACATTTTATTATTGATCCGAGTCGTCTTTCTGTTGGGTCCGAATTGTCTTTTTGTATGGTCCGAGTAGTCTATTTGTTTGGGCTGAGTGGTCTATCAGTTGGTCCGACTGGTCTTGAACCGAGTGGTCTTTGGTCCGAGTGGTCATGGATTCTTGTCGTAATTGTACTTGAATTTCCTACGCTGTCACCCCTAATACGAAATGATATCTTCCGCAGAGTGACATAACCATCTTCCATATTGGTATTTTTCTCTGAGAAAAGTTTGTGATATTTCAATTTTTCAAGGGAGAACTTGTTTTCATCCTTGTGATAATTAGTTGTCCAATGGATTTTATCGAACGGGAGTTCATTACAAACACACAGGTAAGTTTATAATAACCAACGTTAAGTAGTTTGTTCATAATCGAAGAAATCCGTTTAAAATTTACGATGAATCAGACAGTAATATGAATCCACACCCCTTTATGTCAGTGACAGTAATAATGGTGTAAAAGTATGCACTGAGAATATATCCATTTTGTCACTAAGACTGACCATACGAATAACGATGAAATCACGGAATTAGATTAGTTGCACTATGACTCCGACTAACAAGAGTAGAATTAATAAATCGAAAGTAAAGATGTCCTACTTTTAGATTTGGACTGGGCTGTATTATTTGAACTAGTAGTAGGTTTCACAGTAGAATTCGTATCCTCTGTCTCGTGAGGTGGCGCCTCGTCGACTTTTTTGTCTTGAACGCCATTATCTACGTTTTCAGATCCCTCAGATGCAGGATTCTGATCATTGTTTACGGAATTATTTTCGTCAGACATGACACCCCTCTGAAACTCCGTCTAGCGGTAACATTTATAATTATTAGAGTTACCTTCCCCGGGCACCTGCCAACTTTAGTCTCGCCCTTCAAGACGCAAGTAATTGTGGCCTCAATATATAGAACCCATAATATATTTCACAAAACGACAAAATTAATAATGGATATATACATATTTTGTAATTAAATTTTATTTACATTAAATAAATACACGCAAATGCCGTATATATGCATACACTGTGAAGTAATGTTCACAATTATACATTAGAGAAATTTAAAATACATGTATTCTCACAGTCATATTAAATGACAATTAGATTTTTATATTATACAGTCACATATTTTTGTGATTTATCAACCTTTATACAATAATTTTATTTCCCAATATTTATTGAACACAGTTCAAAAACTTAATATTAATTAAGATTTCATTAGATGTGTTTGACTTTAAAGAAGGCATATCAAATTGTAATATCATATTGTACAGTCACATATTTTTGTGATTTATTAAAGATACATTATGTAAGATTTAGATAAAGGGCTATAGCCATTATTGCTATAATAGTTTGGAAATAGATAATGTAAAATGAATAATTTGAAAATTTCAGTCAAATTACTCCATTGCGAGCGCAGATATTAGCCTTTGAAGGTTTGACAAGACGTGTGCAATAAATTCAACCACCGTAATGGTTGTTCGAAGGCAAGTCTCTCTCCTCCATTTTTAGCTTAATCAAAATATGGCTGAACTGTTCTAATCTATTTAATATGTGAGAAATCTGATGCCGTTGAGAGTTGATTATGGCCTGGATAAGTTAATTAATGTCTAATTAATAATTTAGAAAACATTTCAGGCCTAAAGAAAGACCTGCAATTTGCAGATTTAGCTCTTGCATAATGTATGTTTAAAGGAGCTAAATCGCTAACATTTGGGACCTAGAAATTGACAAAAGTGGGTCGCAACGCATATAATACTGTAATATGAATGTATATAAACTGATTTACATTCAATGGTTTTCGTTTTTACTCCAATTTCAAATCAGTTATGTTCGGCGAAATAAGCCAGCAGTCTCAAGCGAGTGCAAATTTCTAGCGTCTGGTTATTCCAGTCTACATACGCTGTTAGATTTGGTGCAATGTGTCTAGCCTCGTCCCTCGAGTCTCTTGATACAACTGGGACTGAAGCACATTATGGTAAAGGATACACACTAAGGGGAATTTTATATTATTTGCCAATTTAGGCATAAACTTGTTATGATCAAAAGTAAATAAAATTCCAAGTCACTTAGTTTTAAAGTGAAGATTTTAGCTACAAATGGCATTGATACAATGCTATAATAAATATATGTCGCTAGTCAAGCATATCCAATTCAGTTAAATGTCTCTTTAAGTGAGTGAACAGACATAAGTCTTTTAGATACTTGTGTATAGGCCTATATGTGAACTACAAACAATGCGACAGTTTCAATTTTATAAATAAAAATTACATTTATTTACAAGTCATGATTTTAAACATACATTTTTAAGGTCATTTCTTTCTTTTAGTAACGTACTAATTCATTATATAGCAATAGTGATTCGACTTCAATATATTTACAATATATACTAATTCTCACTAGTTAGAAAAGGACATTTTTAACCATTACAAAATCAGGAGATTTTTAGAAAATGCATTAATATAAGATGATCAAAATTATGTCATAATTTTAATTTGAACAAAAAGCACTGAAAGTATAAAAATAATCAACCCCTGTCAAAAAAATTATATTTGTATTGAATATATAATAAATCTTATGAATGTAAAACTAACTCAGCAGCTAATTTTTTACACATATATACATAAATAAATAAAAAAATACACCCAGTTAAAAAAAAAAATCAACAACTTGTACTACATTCTGATTTACATTAAATCCTAAGTTAGCTGTCTGCTCTTTCTCTAGCGTTTCAGATGTAATGTGTAGTTTAATGGTTGAGTACGAAACATTAATTAATCTATTGATATTGCACGAGGGCATTAGTCCAAGGGCTGTATCAATATATAATGCAATGTCTTGCATGAGACCATTAAACAACTTAAAATACAGACACTATCCAGTACATGCATTTCAATGAAATCCGTCACCCGGGTCCAATATAGCAACTAGTATAAATAATGTACGCTTGGCACGTTGCCCATACCATTATTTGATAGAATGGTATGTCAACATCAAATTATGATGTCACATCTGTATTTTAAAATGTATATATGTATGATCATCTTTACACTAATGAAAGGCAGAGTGAAATAAATAAATGTTTGTTATTGGAGATCAAATTGCAAATTGTGCAGTCTGACCATCTATAAAAGAGCATGTTAAAACTTTGACATTAATACATGCAATTATCTTGTCAATCCGATTAAAACACAAATCCTATTTCGTTTCTTTTTTTATAGTTCAAAATTTCATTTTATTTGTCTTTACTACACTAGGACCTGGAAGATTAGCGAATGAAATGGTCTGTTATGGTGAACTCTTGGCATGCAATGCATGGAACTGTGGGTAAACCACTAGAAACGTCAATGCTGATTGGTAAATCAAATCTCTGACATCATAGGGTCAAAAGTCGCTTGTATGACCTATAACGTGACCTATAGCTACAACCTGTCAGATCTTCATGTAGTGTAGGCCATCGAAAGTATAAAAAAGCGAAACGAAATATAGATCTGTATTTTAATCAGATTGAATTTTAATATAACCTCCATTATTTTGTTTTATGCAAACAAACTGCATTCAATAATACTATATAACACAATTTTTATTCAGGTGTTTAGAGAAACCAGCTAACTAAATCTCATAGGTATGAATTGTTTCAAGATGCAGGCACGGCTTGTCTTGATGGTCTCTCTCGTTCTGAAATGGAAATGATTATGAAAGTTTAAATTAATAATAATTAATTATGCTTTCTGATATATTAATTAATGAGTTATTTTGGTAGCAATTTTGATTCAATGACATTACACAAGAAGGATAAACAGTCACTAGATACCGCAAAATAAAATAGTGAAATGAAATGAAATAAAATGGAGTTTAACGGCCTACTCCGAACTGGGCTAATGAAGATGGGCAAACACCATACAGTGGCTATTAGGGAAATTTTGCCCAGACAGCGGCACTACGGCCTACTCTTATATCGAATTCCAACTGTCAAGAGATTATTTACGTGCACACCAATGTGTACACAGGACCTTGGTTTTTCATCCCATCCGAATGACTAGAAAGCTGTCCTTGTCAGGCCCTCCGTCCTGCATCACTGACAAGGGGGAACCACGCCAGAAAATCTGGATGAACTTTCTCAGTCAATGCTGGGATCGAACACTCGACCTCAAGACTAGCGAGCCAACGTCTTACCCACTTAGCCACTGTGACCCCCAATATAAAATAGTTTAGATAGTAAAGGTGATAAGTGATCAGAAAATATGTGTTACCGCCATCAATGACCAGTTAAATAACTTGATACAAGACATGATTTTGCTTCATTAGCAATTATAAACAATAGTATGATTTACTAGAATGATCATGATTAGTAAACCAATATAGGTGCATTGGAGAAAAACAGGTGAGAGAGAGAGATGGGGTTCAACATACACTCGACACAAATTTCAGGACTAACATATAGTTTAATTTCATTTCAATAATTCGTTTGCTCGTAGGGGTCTTTAGCTGTGGGCGAAAACTAGAGGTTGGAAGGTGACCCTACTCCCTGTCATGTATAAGCAGGGAAATGAAAACATGCCACTTGACTCAATAAGTGACCTCATGATCTAAAGTGTATACGTCAAACCATTCAGCAACCCAACTCCCCAACCTGTGAGAGAATGACTGTATTTTACCTTTTGTTGCAGATGGTAATTTGTCTGTGGGGACATCAGGTAGATTTATATTTTCTTCACTTTCACCAGATTGCTACAAATAATAATAATAATAATAATAAATGTCCATTTCTTGAGTGCCAAATCCATCCATAAGTATGCTCAAAACGCTTTTAAGAGCAATAAACTATATACATGTCTGTTAGTATTTAATTGGGATTTGAAACTTGTAATGTTATATGTTTTAATGTATACACATTAGCAATGAGAATGACTGACACCAATATTGTCTTTTAAAATATTGATGAATTACAAAATGTATATAATTCCAGTCAATATACAAAACAAAATAAATCATGAATTAACAGTCTAAACAATTTAATAATAATGTTACATGATGTCATTCTAGTTTACACATTTAATAATAATAATTCTCTATTTATACAGCCCAATAATACTAAAACAGCACTTCGTGTTTCGCTTTTCAAGTTGTCTCCACTGAACTATGGAAACGCTTCTGTAAACAGGAACGTCTTTAGCTGAGATTTAAATGCATCTAGGTAGTCAGTGGTTCTAATCTTGTTAGGCAATGAATTCAACAACAGAGGAGTAGAAAATGAGAAAGATCTTTTTGCAATTTCAAGATTCATTTAAATATCAATTCAAAAGATTATACATGTATGTAGGTTAATCACTTTTATGTGAAAACAATTTTGTGTGTGTGTTATGTTTTATTTGTAGAAAAAAGAAAATAAAGAAAAGATGTAAACCTGTAGGATTTCATTTAATTCTGCTAATACATCTTCTTCATCTTCTTGTGTTAAACCACCAGAAATTAACGCATTAATTTCCTGAAAAATAAAACAAGTTATCTTAATTCAGTCTGTTTTTTTCTTTATTTGAATATTGAATCAATTTTAAACTAAAGGTAATTCATAGTTTAAAGATACATTATGTAAGATTTAGATAAAGAGCTAGCTATTCTTGCTATAATAGCTCTAAAATAGATAATGTAAAATGAATATATTGAAAAATTTCATTCAAATTACTTCATTCTGAGCCATGTTATCACTGTTTGTTGTTTTGACAAGATGTGTGCATTGTGGTAACCAGGGCACTGGTATATTCAAGACTTAGCCTCGATTTCCCATGTTTAAATTATATTTTTAAATGGCGAACCATGCAGATCTAGTTAAAATCTTGATTATCTGATGCCATCGAGAGTTGATATTTGTCTTGTTTTGTTAATAAATGTCTAATTAATAGTTTATATAACATTTCAGACCTAAAGAAAGACCTGCAATAGACAGTTTTATCTCTTGCATAATGTATGTTTAAATATTTTTTTATAACATCATTTTCTACATCTAAACATACACTTTTCCCTAGGCCATTAACTTTCTGTCCTGTGAAGTCTGTTTCATCTGAAGATTTGGGGTCAACAAATGATAAGTTTTATATATCTTTAAAACACTTTAAGAAATTAATGATTATTTGCTTGATAACGATATCTTTATGTGTATCGAAACGTAGCATGTTAATAAATTCAGAAGTAGTATATCCATATAAGTGTTTTTAATTCACTTTAAGAAAATGTTTATTATCATCAAATAATACACTTGATATTTTTAGAATGGCAATATAATATGGCAGAATATAAATATAAACTATTTATATGCCCAGCCAACCCCACTCCCAATATTTTTATAAACTAATATGGACATACACAAAGAATTCACAAGCCCAAGTTAACAAAATCACTTATGTTAGCAGAGAGAGACAGACAGAAATGGGGTTTAATGTCCACTTAACACAAACTAGGTCATTTCAGAAATAACATATGGTTCAAATTTATTTCAATAATTCACTTGTGCGTAGGGGTCTTTAGCAGTAGGAAGAAACCAGAGAAAACCCATGAGGTTGGACAGATAACCCTACTCCTTGTCACATACTACCAGGGAATCAAAACCACGCTGGTTGACTCAATGACAGACCTTATACAGAGTGCACACACTAACCATTTGGCCATCCAACCATTCCTCTCCTCCTTATGTTAGCGATTAACTTCTGTTGCTCTTTTGTATTTTGTATGTGTTTAAAAATTCATTAAGTTGATTATTACATAAAAACACTTACTTGTTGATATTCTATACTATCTTTTGTGTCATCCATTATTCTTTCCACATCATCTAATGAAAACATCTAAAACGATAATAATATAATACATGTAAATATACCATAATATAACTGTGGCGTAATTAGAATTTTGTGATTGTCCACTTAAACAAAATAATATATTTCAACTTAGTTCATCAATTGAGTTAAAGAGAGAGAGAGAGACAAAGACATGGGGTTTGATGAAAATTCGACACAAACTGGTGTCATATCAGGACTAACATATGCTTCAATTCTATTTCAATAATCTGCTTGCGCGTAGGAATCTTTTTGTCTGTGGGAGGGAGGAAAACGGAAGACCCAGAGAAAACCAGTGAGCTTGGACAGGCGAACATACTCGTTGTCACATACAAGCAGGGAATCGAAACCACATCACTTGACTCAATGATAGACCTTCTGAGCAAACATGCATGTGTTAAATCATTCGACCTACCAACCCCCTTTTAAAGATAGCAAAAAAAAACAAAACAGAATTAATGTTTCTGAAACAAATAGAAACTTTTGTAAACTTTAAATCGTCATAACTTTGGAACCATAAAAAATGTATTTAAAACTACATATTAATGTAAAATGAGTGTATAGTGACTTTTTAGTGATTTACATTCAATTTTTAAAACATTTATTATAATTTCTAATCAATTACAAATGGCACTGATTTTATAATGTTCATTGGGCCTTAATATTGAACTAAATTTGTGTTTTTAATTTCGAATATTATGGGTGATACTGAGTTACAGGTTTAGCTCATTTAATCTAGAATTCATAAAATTATATAATTTTTGGACCCATATTTTCTTTTTAAAAGAAGCACCTTTGATTGTTTATGGTCTTACAAAGTTGTTAACAATTTTAACCAATCACTTAGAATTCTATATACTGTACGCTGGGAAATTATTTACGTAACACTTACCTCATGCATTCTCTTTAAAGAATTATTTCCATTCTCCAAACCTTTCACAACTTCAGCTTCTATTTGAGCAAATTCTATATTTGATACCTTTATAATTGAAGAATGATAAATTAATTCATATATAGTTATTAACCCTTTAAACACTCAGAACACCCCCAAACCATCCTAACTAGGGCTCCTTAGACTGCCCTGTTGAGTGCATTGCAGTTGTGACTGTACGACCTAGCAACGGTTGTAACACTATATTCACATACAATGTATCTCGGGCAGTTTAAGGTGGTCTGAAGAACAGCAATTTCAGACTGTTTCGGTGTGTGAGTATGACTTTTGGAATATGTCTAGCCTCGTTCTTTGAGTCCCTTATTACAAATGGCGCTGAAACGCATTATGGTACACGATTCGTGGACCAATGTTAAAATGTTCAATTTGTCTTAAATATTGGATAGCAGAGGCCCATCTTATCCCCGTGAGATTGGAACATCAAACTTTAAGTCCGAAAAAAATAACTAAATACACTACCATTTGTTCTATATTATCTAATTGACCATCTGTTTTTACTAACATTCCTTCTTGAAATTTCTTCTTTCTCAATAACAGTTTAGCTTTACTGAAAATAAATACCATTATTTATTTATAACATCTAATTAAACAAAAGATCGTTTTTATAATACATGTATATTATTTTTAATTCTTCATGTGTTTTACATGCAAGAAAATAAATGAATTTAAAGATGGGTTCCCAGAAAAGTATTTATCGGGTGGTTATTTCCAATAAAAGTATGGCAATTTTGGTATATATGCAAAGTAGAGATATCCAATCTTACTAGAAAAATACTGGATTCCCCGAAAAACATTCATGGAGCGTATACAGGACAAAAATGTAAGGGTTCCCCTAATCAAAAGCCCGATGAGTAGGAACTTCTGCACGCGTGATGCGATGTCAAAGGTCACAAGCGAACATTGTGAAGAGTTAGACGTACAATGCTTTCTGAGATAAAAATGACGGAAAAAGACGCGGGTTGTGGATAATCCGAGAATTTAATTAGGATTCGATATTTGTAATAAATAGTAAGCGATTAAAGACAACATCGTCTGCAATGAATTCTCCCAAGACGTGACGTAAACATGACCTGGTTTGATCGAATTTTAATAGCAGTGCATTCCTTCGCAATTACAATGTTTGAGAAGGATTTGAAGCATAATTATGACAAATTAATTAGTTTGAATATGTTTTTGGTCCATATATACCATTATATCACCAAGTTTGTACGCGGGAACCCATCTTTAAATTTAAAATAAATAAGCTTATATTATTTTTGAAAATCCAAGCATGGCCTGGCCTACTAAGAGCAAAGATTTGGGTTTGAGCATTTTATTTTGTTTTAATATAAAACTCAGTCTAATCTGAACATATGGTTAAAGATACATTATGGGAGATTAGATAAAGAGTTGGTAGTTATCACTATAATAGTTAAAAACTAGATAATGTAAAGGGAATTTGCTGAAAATTTCAGTCAAATTGATCCACTTTGAACCGAGATATTAGCGATTGAATTTTGGACCTAGCCTCGATCATCATTGCGATAAAAAACACAGTCCCGATTATCCATTTCATGATTAAATTATGAATGGAAGTCGAACAGCAAATCGCAAACTAATCCAAAAAACATTGCAGGCTAGCGATGCCATCGAGAGTTGATTATGGTCTGGATAAGTTAATTTATGTCTAATTGATAATTTAGATAACATTTCAGGCCTAAAGAAAGACCTGCAATAGGCAGATTTAGAACTTGCATAATGTATGTTTAATAATTGTTAATATAAGAGCCACAAAACTTCAAATCAATGTTATCAATTAACGACGATCAACAAAATAATCACTGAAAATTTCCATAAATTAAATTCAAATACATGTAAGCTTACTGCAATACCAGCAGTACACTAGCTGATACGAGACTAATTTAACTTACTCTTTTTTACCCTCTTTCAACAATGCACGAGCTAACTCTCTTTCTTTCTCTAACTGAATTGTGATTTTCTTTTGATACTGTTTCAGTTTATCTCGCTGTATCTTTAGTTGCTAAAAAACAAAACATTCATCAATTTGTTAGTTGTTTCGTTTCTATCAATTTGTACTACATTCAGGAGCCTGTTATCAGCTATGCTATAAGGGTCTTTGAAGGGGGTGGGGGGGAGGTAGGAAGGTGTAGCAAGAGGGATGTCAGTATCTGGCCGGTGTGCTTATTTTTTTGACAATTTTGATAGCCGTGATAATTTGTACTTCGTACTGCTAAGTACATGTATGTGTTTTCAAAAATAGCTTGCCAGGCAAAGAAACATACACCCACTGCAGCTAAGGTGTCTGAGCCATTTCTGTAAACGAAATAGGTTAGCAACAGTATTTGACCCAAAATGATCAAAAGGGAATCCTGTAAAAGCTCCTATATAAAAACTGAAATGGGGTAAATGCTTCAGTGTATGAGTTCTAACTGTTCAAATAATTTCATCTACATAGCGCAAAATTTGAATTTTGCATGGCTCATGATACTGACAGTCAGTGGCTACCCCGGTATAACAACGTTTTGGACCTTTCAGACTCCACACAAAGGACTATTCAGACTCAGTCTGACGATGATTCAAACTTATTTAACAACCATTCGGACTCGATGATAACAAGGTTTTGGGCTTGGTTTCGGACAATAATAAATGATGAATAATTTGTTTATATTTAATAATATTTTGTTGATTTTGTTTTGATCAGGGCCAAGCCTTAGTTCACCAATGTTTTTATAATAAAGTAATGTCGCATTGAGTGTTGATTGGTGTTCTGATATTTAATTTATAAAGAATATTACAGATACAAAGAAACAGTTATATAAAACATTCTTTTTTTAAACAATCAAAATTAAAATATTGCCGTAACCCATGATCCACATACTATACTAGATGATGAACTGTAAATTTTATAAAATTGTTTTTGGGTTATTATCACTGTTGTGCTCAACTTTTCCTTTCAACTGATTCTCAAGTCCCAGATGTCAGGCACCCAAGAATGAAATGTCACTTCAAGGACATATATTTGTTGCGGCCGAAATGTTGCGGGGCCGAAACATCATATTCATGTAATCTAGTAGTAGTATCGGGGTCGTAGTATCTTAGTTCTTTTAATGTCTGCTTCCACAAAAGTGATATCACAGACAAGACACAGGAGAGCCAAAGCTTCCTCCTTTATATTACCATACGATTTTGCAATCTTTTCATTTTGCGGCCTCTGCAACATTGGTTTAGGCTAATTGCCTTTTGTTCATATTTAATCTGGTGTTGATTATTGAACCCATTCTGATGAGTTTTAGATTATTGATGATAATTGATGAGTGAGTTCGGAATATTGACAATAATTTGTGGTGTGATTGAATGAACTAGGTACAGCCAAGTTACGAAACAATCTGCACCCGTTTATAAGCTAGTACTTTATTTAGTAGTGCCTAGTCTAGTAGGAAGTTCTTACTTCTTCCCTTTCATTTCATGTATCATTATGTTACATGTACTATGATGTACTCATGTAGGTCTAATCCTTAATCGTTACCCCGTCAAAATGAAATGGGGTTTAACTTCCTACTGTTCTGCCGTCAAAATGATATGGTGTGGACTTACAAGTACGGCATTATCCTGCTCTGTTACCCTAGATGCCTTTTTACTTTTTCCAAACAAGGCACCCATTTTTTTTTTTTAAAAAAACTTCTAGACACCGTTTTATTTAAGAGATTTCACGTTAAATACATTCTTTGACTTCTCAGAAATTCTGACCGGAAATCAACAAAAGTATATTTTCCGGAACGCAGTTGCGAATTCTGTCGTATTCTATTGGTTAAAAAGGACTGTTTTCTATAAACCGGAAGCACGTGTATTTGTTTACGCTCTGTTATATTTTGACATAACAAGTAATAACAACATGTTCCATCATTTCATCCACCCTAATTACCAATATGATTTAGTTCTGTCCATCATTAAATTGAATTTGTTTTTGTAAAATTGTGTTTCATTGTCAGTATGCTTCCATTTTATATGATGCTTTTCCTACCACTTTTAATACCACCAGTCAAATCTAAATCTGTACAAATTACCAGAACTTTAAAACAAGAAGGATTCCACAGGTAAAATGGCTTTTTATTGTACTGAAACACACATGGGATGTAGGACATTTCAGAAGCCACAAATCTATCGGCATTCATGTTTGATGTGACTCCCATTTTTGTGTTATACCCTCACCTCCCGATAACCCTAACTTAACCCTAATCCTGGCTAACCCTAATAGAAAGTAGGAAGATCCATGTGGACACAGTACAGACGGCTAACCGCTAGTTTTTCGGTGTAAAAGTGATGGAAATAGAAAAGGGAGTCGGATTAATGTATAGAACCTATAACCATTTTGGTAGAGTTGGGTGATATACGTGATTTTAAACTCAATAATGTTAGTGAACAGTTTTAAAAAATATCTAAATAGGCCTACTGAAAATAATGCAATACTGTGATAGACTGAGATGTAATGGAAGTGCACCTATGAAAGATTACTGTTGTCTTTTTCAAGAGATACACTTGATCTTGCAATTCTGAATGTAACATCAGATCACTATGATAACACACGAAAATGATGTTTCACAACTGTGTAAACGTACCTAAGATCAAATCTCTCTAAAAAAAAATTCAATTAGACAGAATGGGAATGTTGAAAATCATAGTTCTGTGGAAGACGGAACAATAAGCATTGATTGACATTTTTAGCACTGAGAACGGACCATGCATTATGTAAATTCAAGAGGGCATTTGTACCAAAACCATTGCCATAAGTTTTGGATGCGATCACATCTGGTAGATCGAATTCTGCCGGTTTCCTGTACTGCTGCTGCTGCTATGTCCACATGTGTTCATCAGTTCGTTCGTTCGTTCGTTCCCGGAGTTTTATGTCTACTTCCACCAAGGGTGATATCGTAGACAAGTGTTCATCAGTTCATTGAGGCTGACTTATTCTGTTGGACTGCATGCCTGACCGCGTTTACTGCCAAAGTAAAGTTGTTATGGCATTTAGGATTTGTTATTGATTTTCATCAACACATCGATCAAAAGGTGAAACAATTATTATAACAGTTCAAAAATAGATAATGAAAAATGAATATATTAAAAATTTCAGTCAAATCTCTGCAGATTTAGCTCTTAGATAACACATCTTTAAAAATCAAATTTCAGAGACCTAGAAACAGTGCTAAGTTTTGAGTTGGAGAAGGAGATAGTGGATAAATTAACATGGTCTTCATGTCAGTTACTGTTAGTTGAAAATTTACCAAGTGGAGTTTATGTTGATCTTGACCAAATATCATCTCTGCCAGATAGCATGCAGGTATAATATATAATTTATAATTGAATAAATGAAATCCTACACCGACTGGGCTAATAAAGACAGTCATGCAGTGTGCTTTGAGGAAAATTTTGCCAAGACAGTGGCACTATGGCCTACTCTTTATTTCGAATTCCAACTGTCATGGTTTCTTTAGCGTTTTTGGTACCATCCAAATGACTAGATACAATCCTGGCCAGGCCTATCGTCCTGCACCACTGACAAGTGGAAAACTGATTGAAAATCCAGCAGAACCTTCTCAGCCAGGAGCCCTCCTGGTTAGCGAGCCATTGTCTTACTCACTTAGCCACTGCGACTCTGGATAAGTGAATAAGCTATCTATATGACTGGTGAGAGAAAATGTATTCTGTGCCTTAAAGATGGATTATGTAAGAGCAAAATCTGCCTATTACAGGTCTTTTTTTTTGCTTCAAATTTATTATTTAGCTCGTAATCAGCTCTTTAGGTCATCTGACAGTACAACACTGTGGATGCGTACAACTAGCCCCTCGGATCCATTCACTTATTTGATATGTACATTTGTTTGTGATATCTGCGCATTGTGTCTTGTCCATAGATTTGTTTAGGATATTGAATGGATTAGAATACCTTCACCATTTAAAAATTTATTGATAAAATGGATAATCGAGACATGGTTAATTATCGTAGCAATGGTACTTAACAATCAAGACTACTTTGTCAAAACTTCAAACACACAATAATCGTTTCTCATTTTGAACTATTATAGCAAAAAAAAGACAGTTATTAAATCTAAATCTTACATAATCAATCTTTAACATTATTGTTGTTCCCAAGATCCAAATATTTTGGACATTTATTTATTCAGGAATCCTGACCCGTAATTTGCTGGTAGATAAAAAGTGTTTTGGCCTAAAGTTTATTTCAATTATTATACTATTATTCTCTTGCTGCACAATTATATTTGATCTTTATTTGAAGGCTTTGGTTGAAGGTGATGCCCATTTAATTAATGAACAGGTAACTCATCTGCCAGATTCCACCATGATAACCATCTCTATAAGTTTGTTATAAAAACACAATTTTATATGGAAAACAATCACTGATTTTATTTCATTGTATAAGGATTTCTCTATAAGTTTGGGAATCTTCACCATTGTTAGATTGAACCAGAGCTAAGCGTCTTAAAAACAAGGGATCCGAGGCAAATATACAATGAGAGAGAGAGAGAGATGGGGTCTCGAGACAAACTAGGTTATTTCGGGACTAACATATGGTTCAGTTTGATTTCCATGATTTGCTTGTGTGTAGGGGTCTTTAGCAGTGGGAGAAAACCAGAGGACCCGGAGAAAACTCACGAGGTTGGACAAGCGGCCCTACCCTTGTCACGTACAACCAGGGAATTGAAACCCCACCAGTTGACTCAATGACAGACTTTATGATACAGCGTGCATGTGCTAACAATTCAGCCATCCTACCACCCAAATATACAATGTCTTCTAATGGCGTCAACGACGGTCTGAATGACCGGTTCACCCTTTGCATTGTCCTGTATGGTTAAATCTACCTGGGATTTAGTGTCATCAATTATGTTTGATTTGTATTTGAAGGTTTTGGTTGAAGGCGATGTCGATATTGAAGCTCCAGAATATGTCTCCACTCCATTATCAGTTTATATTTTCACAAATCTAACATCAGACAGTAGCTCTATCACATTGCCTATACATGTTAGATACCATAGACCATCTAATATATCAGAGTATTCTCAAATACTGATAGAAAACCCTAAAATATATTCATTTTGTTCACATCTATCAGGTAAGCTCTAATGTAATGTTAGAAAATTTACATACTGTACATTGGCACCTAAACAACTTGTGATCAAGTCCAAAATGTAATATACCTTTCAGACGCTTATTTTTAAACTAGTTCAGGGCCGTGTTGGTCGGAGATTAGAGTTAACTATGCATGGGTAGTTTCATATTCTTTATACGGTTCTTGCACGCTTTTGACAACACTGGCACTGCATGACCCCGCCATATTCCCAGGAACGTAACTTACTGAGTACTGTGCATGTTCAAAGTGAGCTGGAGCCGGGGTTTTTAAGTCAACCTGTTCAGGCGGCCAAGATGAACCGGTCGAAAAAAAAAAAGCCTTCTCGAAGACATGTCGTGAGCTGGGTTTTTTAAACTGGTTTATTTGCCGCACATTTGTGTTCAGACGACAAAGTTAAACTGGTTTAACGATCCCCAGGGTTTTTAAACCCGTTCAACTTAAGCGTCTGAACGAACTATAAGCTGCTAACAATCTTGTATCTGAATGACACCCACTATTTGAAAGCTCTCATCAGCAGCTATGATGCGCTTTGCATCATGGATTTTAGTTTATGTGTGCCCTCTCAAATGCACAAAATCATGTGTTTTTAACATTTTAATCATAATGCTGAACGGGAGTAAATGATCTACCATGGCTCAGATATGCTGCAAATCAGCTCTTAACATGTTCCACACAGCCCAAAATTACGCATCATCAATGGGAAATGAAATGGGGTTTAACATCTTACTGTTCTACTCCGACCAGGCTAATGAAGACGGGCATACATTATACAGTGTGCTGTGAGGGAAATTTTGTCCAGAAAGCCTACTCTTATAACAAATTCCAACTGCCAAGGGATCTTTTACGTGCATGCCAATGTGTACGCGGGACATAGGTTTTTCATCCCATCCGAACGATTAGATAGCTGTCTTTTCAGGCCCTCCATCCTGCACCACTGCCAAGGGGAAACCACGTCGGAAAATCCTGATGAACTTTCTCGGCCAACGTGGGGATTGCACACACTACCCCCCGACTGGCGAGCCAGCATCTTACCCACCATCACTCCTTCATCAATGGGAGAGACCTCTTCACTGCGCCACACATCAATATAAATATTGGGTTTTTGTACCCTGATGAGATCCTGTTACTCATGCAAAATCATGGGTCACCACGCCCCTATGGTGTGAATTTTCTTTTTTTAGATTATGAAAATACGGAGAGAATACTGGCACCTTGTGACAATCAGAATTCCAGTCAATGTCGTTGGAACAGAACACAAGTATTGTACAAAGAGGTGAGAGAGAGAGAAATGGGGTTTAACATCCACTCAACACAAACTAGGTCATTTCAGGACTAACATATGGTTCAATTTTATTTCAATAATTTGCTTACGTGTAGGGGTCTTTAGCAGTGGGAGGAAACCGGAGGACCCGGGGAAAACCCACGAGGTTGGACAGGCGACCCTAGTCCTTGTCACGTACAACCAGGGAATCGAAAACCACGTACAAAGTGGTAAATCCAAATATAGATTCATGTTTAACATCTTGAACCCATCTTGAAAATGTGATTCTGTGATGAGGATCTTGGTAGCAAGAACGCATGCATGTTTTGCAAACAATTTTAAGAAAAAAATTGGGAAAGCCAATTGACAAATATATATATATATGTGACCCAGGCCCTTGTCGCACAACTCCATTTTGTACCAGGGGCACAAAGGCATACATTGTATGCCTTCTTGTTGCTGTGAATGAGCCAAACTCAACTCCAGGATACTACAAATTTTAAAAGAATTGCATTTTTGGAAAGCTTATAGGCTGTGGACTATTCAAAAATGCTGTCAGCTCTATTTTTATTAAAATGACCAAGAGCCTGGTTTTGTGGAAACAGCTCACATATTTGGTGTGTGTATATGTAGGTATGTAGGTTACTGAATCTATGTATTTTTGTTTTATTTTTTTGCAGGGAAAATCTACTATCAGTCTACAAGTGCCCATCGGTGGTGAACAGCATAGTTTATTTGTTAGTGTGACAACACTGTTAGTGACTATCACAGGTTGTGTAATTCTTGTCTGGACAATTGTAAAGAAATCTGTAGATCTACAAACGAAAAAAAAACAATAGTAGTGATGAACATTCATATTTTGAATGACCTTTTATTTTCTTTCTTTATTAAAATGTATATCTTATGAAGTTTTATCTTATAATTTTTGTAAATTTTTATCAGTGCACACAAAAGAAATAGGAAGTATTGAGCCACAGGCATACACACAGAAATAGAAGAATCTTCAAAATCTTTAATTTAATCAAACTAGATATATCCTACTTTCATTTTCTACTAATTTATTGTAATAAAATGTAAATATCATAAATAGTACATATTCTATAAAATTGAAAATTATACATTGTTTATAGTCTTTTAACAATCTGATTAAAACACAGATCCCATTTCGTTTCTTATAGTTCAAAATTTCGTTTTACTTGTCTTTACTACACTAGGACCTGGAAGAGTTGTTCTATAACCCGCATTCTGGATGATGTAAGAAATAAGTCAATGAAATGGTCTGGGATAGGGAGTTTTTGGCGTGCTCTGCACAGAACTGTGGGTAAACCCCTAGAAACATCAACGCTGATTGATTAATCAATGTCTGACGCCAGAGGGTCAAAAGCCACTCGTACGACACCTGACGCGACCTCCCAGTACAACTGGTCAGACCTTCATGTAGTGTTGGCCATTGAAAGTATAAAAAAATGAAACGAAATATAGATCTTTATTTGAATCAGATTGTTTATAGTCTTTTTACTATCTAATTTAACAAGAGATTAACTAATACAGCAGAAGATATAAAATTCATTTATCTACATCATTTCATCAATAAACCGTGCATTGTAATTTAACATTTGCTAAGCTAATTACAACACATCTTATTGTCGAATATCTAATATTCTTGCCCATGTTAATAATGTTTTATGTACAATGTTATGTTTTATTATTCACAATGAAGAGTAATGGACAATATTCAATCTAGATAAATCCTCATAAACTATCAACATTACATACAAATACTAAATAAATTGACGCTTTTTTGGAAATAATAAATAACCAGAAATGGTATATGATTATAACTTATAACCAGAAATGGTATATGATTATAACTTATAACCAGAAATGGTATATGATTATAACTTATAACCAGAAATGGTATATGATTATAACATTATTATGAGAATATACTAAATGCATGAGATGACAAGAAAACAATCTTTAAATATACAATGGGAGTTTATACACATGGAATAACAAATATCTTTGCTACTAAACTCGGCCGATATTCTATAAATATTATGAGAATTTTTCATGCATCGATTTCAGTTTTTGTACAAAATAAGTTTCTAGCACTTCAGCACACTGATAAAAAGGTGTGCCAGTTGGATTATAATATCTACAATTATCAAATATCTTTGTAACATCTCGAACGAAATCACTCAATCTCTGGTAACTTTTACTATGTACACGGGTTTCTATAATGGACAAATCTGAAATAAGAATTCATTAATCTCATAAATATCGATGAAATAATAACATACTTAAGTCCATATAATAACAAGACCGGTTTCAAGGCGCCAAAACATACACCCACATTCCACATCATCTAAGTTGTCCAAACAGTTCACAAAGATTATCACATATTTATTCTGTTTTAGGTAATGGGAGCATTTAACAGATACTAACTAGGCTTCTTCATCATCTCATGAGCATAAACAATTTTGTAATTTTAAAGTCAATCAGATACTAACTTTAGCCTCAACAGTGTCGACAAGATTTTTTAAAAAGTGATCAAGTGCCATAACTCTGGTGGTAATTATCAGAAAATGTTGAATATCAACAGACTGTATATAAGGCAACACAAATAAAATAAGTTGTTTCTCGGGCACCGCCCGCACGCAAAATTGGTTGCGCGTGCGGCCTATTTATTAGTCTTGATGAAAAATAAAAAATATGTAACGCCCGCCCGAACATCTATAAGCAAGTCATAAAAAGAATATGCCGCATGTATCTACATGCCCCATACGTGAATATCCATTCAAATGTATTAAACTGATTCAGATGTAAACGCTCATTTACGGGTCTTTTTTATTGATATCGAAAGAACCTCCATTTTTGTATCACGTGATTTTAATTATCTCCCCTGGTGAACTAGAATTTGATTCGTGTTAAACACCGAAAGTCATTGACAACAATGCAATGTATTTCAATCATTTGATCTTAATCGGCTCATTATTGCCGGCTTCAGTCGGTCCATGTTTAAAAAAACCCTACTTATAAAACAATGAATCGTAGAACAAGTTAATTATTATAACTTGTGGCTACGAATACGATACGATGATAGTCACCATACCTTAGTCAGAATCTGGGTCATTAGCACATTTAACGGTAGTTTTGATAATCCGGAAAATAATAATTGGATTACACATTTGATGGTTTTACTGACCAGTTGTTAGTTAAATTTAAATAGTCATTCGATATAAACCCCAGATAGAACACCAAATATTCTGAGAAACACAACGAATATCCTGAGAAACAGTCATTTCCCGAATCCCGATGACATGCATTGGTTGGAATTAGGTCAATCATTATAAACCAGCGATACTAGATTTAGATCTAAGTATCGTTTACCGTGATGATTATTTTTGATACACATGCTGACAGAGGCTTACTCTTTAAAATATTGTCGTTATTATGGACGGCTATTAATAGTCGTACGGAATTTTCTTTTAAACCAATTTCAATTATTTTGTCACCATTACCATTAGTAAGCTACATTACGTGAATTAAATATTAAATATGGAAAATTATTTTCCTTTCAGTCAGTGTTCAGTGTTTGAGTAGACTTGATTTTTGAGTTTATGTTCTAAGTATGTATAATATATAACTGAAAGCAAAACCGTAGACAAGTAATGACTTTTTCATTAAAAAAAAATTAAAAAAAATACAAGGCCGCCCTCCCGCCCCAACAATTTTCAACAATAGCCAAATTTTTTTTTGCACCATCCTCTAGCTAGAAATGAGGTAAAAAAAAAATTAACCGCCCTCCCCCCCTACAGTTTCAGCTGTCAGTTGCCCGAGAAACAAGACATTTATCTTGTGTAGCCTAAATATAAAGTCATTTGGATATGAACATTAGCCTCTAGAGTACCACAAGATCTTTCAAAGTGATCAAGGGCTATAACTCTGGTGGTAATTGTCAGAATTAGGAGAGAGGAAATATAGGCCTAGCTTGTTCCATAATCCTTTTCTTAGAATAATTTTATTTTTCTTCAGAAAATGTTGAAAATGAATTGGCTTCTCTGTTTTAATGAACTTAAACACTGTGTAAGCTTATAAATGTGAAGTCAATCAGATGATAACTTTGATAACTTGAGCCTCCAGACTGATAAACGGATAGAGGTAACAACAACATACAACCACATTTCAATTATTATTAAATTTGTTACATATACAGTACAACAAAATATAAAATATCATACCCATTGGATCTTTAATAACTTGGTAATAATCAGGAACTGTCTTTGGATCAACTGGACGTAAAAAGGGCCAAGCCATTTTATGAATCTACAATAGATGTTAAAAATAATAATGATAAACCACACCTCTTCTTGTTAAAGGAACTTAAAGCAATTGACCTTTCTTTCATATACCAGAATGATGGACACATTTTCCAATATTTATTTTAACAATTGTAATGGAGGTCATGTTAAAATGACTTTCGGCCGCGCACAGGTTCTACGTGACAAGTAGACATGAAACGAAATGGGGTTTAACACCCTAGGGACATTTTGCCTAGACAGCAGCACTGCAGCCTACTCTAATTTGAATTCCAACCGTCGTGGGATCTTTTACTCCAATGTGTACACTGGATGTTGTCTATTGCCAGACCCTCGAACTACCTTGACAGTTGAAATTTAAAAATAAGAGTAGGCTATAACTCTTCCGTCTGGGCAAAATTTCCCTTATAGCACACTGTATGATATATGCCCGTCGTCATTAGCCTAGTCAGTACAGAAAAGTAGGACGTTAAACCCCATTACATTTAAAGATACATTATGGGAGATTCGATAACGAGTTGGCAGTTCTCACTATAATAGTTAAAAACTAGATAATGTAAAGGCAATTTGCTGAAAATTTCATTCAAATTGATCTACTATGAACCGAGAACTAAGCGGTTGAAATTTCCAGCTAGCCTGGATCATCATTACTAAAGTCAGTACGATAAACAGCATAGTCTTGATTATCCATTTAATTGTTAAATCGTGAAGGAAAGTTATGCAGTAAATCGGCTCATAATCCACTAAAGATCGCAGGCTAGCGATACCATCTAGAGTTGATTGTGGTCTGGATAGGTTAATTAATGTCTAATTAATAATTTAGATAACATTTCAGGCCTAAAGAAAGACCTGCAATAGACAGATTTAGCTCTTGCATAATGTATGTTTAATTTGATTTTTACCTTTAGACTACGAAGTAATCGATATAATGATTCATATTCTTTATCTGTGAGAATTTTCATTGCAATCGGATCATCTTTTTCTTTCTTCTGACAGTTTGGACAAATATAAGTTTCAAGATTATCAGCTTCAGTTTTTGATATACCAACACAGCCCCCATGAAACCAGTCTTGGCATCGATCACATCCAACATAAAATCTGAAGATGGAAAAAGTTGATCAGGTTAACTGTCATCTTTTGGTATCAAATTAAAAATAATACACAAGAAAAGCTCAAAGGACAAAATATTAAATAACCCAGAAAAAGAAAGTCTTAAAAATATGTAGCCATGACTGAAAAAACATTAATGTAAGAAAAAAGATATTTGCATTATGTTTTTATACTATGTTTTTATTTTTTTTTGCAATATAATGGAAGAAAACTATGCACAGATTTTCCCCATTGATGTTTGGAAATTCCAAGCTAATTTTAGGATTAATTAATGACTGGGCCCAAAAAGTGAAATGCAGAATATATTTGAGACTAAAACAGGAATAACAACGGCTAATGAATTTTTACTTAAAGAAACAAGATGTTCATAATAGTAACGGTTTAATATCGGGGTCGAAATAGTGTGGGTTTTAGGGGCTGTATCCCAGTGGTCTTAATCAGGGTCAAATTAAGATGCGGACATTAGAGGGCTGCAACCCAGTGGTCTTAATCCAGATGTATAAGGTGTGGACATTAGGGGGCTGAATCCCAGTGGTCTTAATCCAGCTGATTAAGGTGTGGGCTTTAGGGGCTGCATCCCAGTGGTCTCAATCCTGCTGTTTAATAATGAAACTACTTACTGAGATTCATCGTATGGAGTTTTACAAAGACAGTAAAGTTCTTCAGAGGTATTTTCTTTTTGTTTGCGACAGTCAGTACACATGTAGGAATCTATAATATTAGCTTGATCTTCCGTTATACCAACACACGATCCGTGGAACCAGTTAGAACACAGATCACATCCAATATAAAACCTGAAATACAAGGCATGGGTATTAGAAAATCAGCATGGGCTTTATGTTGAATCTCTTATCTATCTATGTTTTACGATACATTCAAGGTCTGATGCACCATTTGCATTTTCGCTAAAATATCAAATTTTTCATGGCTTAATGCACGCTTAAAATGTAATTTAGATTGACTACTGAACGTTTAAAAAAATAAATAAATAAAATAATCAATATTCCAACGCAATATTCTGCCTTGGATTTAATCGGATTTAAACTTGGTCCTTCAGGTTTCTCTGCTACCGATAAGGATAGCTTCGTCTTGTTATAGCGAACAACATAAATGAATGAAATTTCAATTTCACCTATCTTTCTAAATACTGACTGGAATTCAACCATTATTGAACTGATATTCATTTAAGAAATGAAATGAAATGGGGTTTAACGTCCTCTTGTTATGCTCCTATGCTGGGCTAATGAAGACGGGCATACGCCATACAGTGTGCTATGAGGGAAATTTTGCCCGGGCAGCGGCACTATCGCCTACTCTTATATCGAATTCCAACTGCCAAGGGATCTTTTACGTGCATTCCAATGTATACATGGGACCTCGGTTTTTCGTGTCATCCAAAGGACTAGACAGCTGTCCTTGTCAGGCCCTCCGTCCTGCATCACTGACAAGGGGGAACCATGTCGGAAATATTCATATAAGAGATTCATCTTTCACAATATTGTAGTTTGTTTGATGAAAATACAATTGATCATAACTTGTATAAAACGGAATTGAACCATTTTTGAACTGATATCCCTAGATTAAACTTTCATAATACTGTAGTTTTATCTTACAGTATATCAGTCCTAACCACATAAGAGAGAGAGAAAGAGAGAGAGAGAGAGAGAGAGATAGTGGTTTTAACCTACACTCCACACAATCCAGGTCATTCGGGACTAACACATGGTTCAATTTTATTTCAATAATTTGCTTGCGCGTAGGTGTCTTTAGCAGTGGCAGGAAGCCAGAGGACCCGGAGAAAAACCACGTGCAACTGGGGAATCGAAACCACGCCAGTTGACTCAATGACAGACTATACGATACAACGCGCACATGCTAAACATTCGGCTATCCAACCCCAATAATGAAGAATACTCAACTTACTTTGTATCATCATATGGTGTTTTACATATACAGTATAACCTTTCCTTAGGATTAAACGCTTTAGATATACCAGTCGAGATGAGCTTTTGTTTTTTCTTCTTGGATGGTTGATGATTACTATCTGTTTCTGCTAAAGGTACTGCTACTGGCTGTCGAATGATTTGACTAGCTGACGGCAAATGTTGAGGATGAGAAGTTATAGGTGTTGTAATTTTCGTTGGAGAGGTCTTTTTCTTTTTCACTTGACCGGCTATTTCCAACTGCAGGGAAAAATATAAAACTCTGATAAGACATATACACAATGAAATACGATAAACAAAATAAATATTACCTACAAAATTACGACACCAACATCCATCCCATGCATATCATAGAAATGCATTCATTAGGATTACCTGAATTTCCTGCTGTAAATTTTTTTCCATAAGAGATCTTTTTCTCAATATTTCTTTCTTCAATACCTCTTTTTGCTTCAGTAAAGCTCCTTGTTGTTTAGCTGCAGTAATTCTTTTCTGCTTCTCCTCGACAGACTCCATTTTTCTTTGCCTCTTCTGCTCAATCTTTTCTTCTTTCTCAATTTTATCTAATATGCCTTTGAGTGTGTTTCCTACTATTATCAATCTATTAAAATAAAAATTCATCAGTTGTAGAGGTTTTCATATCAACGAATTTCAAATGAGAGAGGGGGAAATGGGGTTTAACATCCACTCGACACAAACTAGGTCATTTTGGAACTAATGTATGGTTAAATTTTATTTTAATAATTCTCTTGCGCGTAGATGTCCTTAGCAGTGGGAGGAAACCGGAGGACCCGGAGAAAACCCATGAGGTTGGACAGGCGACCCTACTCCTTGTCACGTACAACTGGGGATTCTAAACCACACCAGTTGACTCAATGACAGGCCGTATGATACAGCACACACGTGCTAACCATTCGGCCATCCAACCCCCCTGTAACCGTAGAAATAAAGATTACTGCCCTCCAGTCTCAAAATTATCTAAGTAATGTGTTGACAATGAATACATGAAATGAAATGGATGGGGTTTAACATGCTACTGTTCTGCTGCAACTGGGCTAATGGCCTACTCTTATATCAAATTCCAACTGCCAAGGGATCTTTTCGTGTATGCTGTCCTTGTCAGGCTCTTCGTCCTGCACCACTGACAAGGGTAAATAACGTCGGAAAATCGAACACCCGACCGCCAGGCTAGCGGGCCAGCGTCTTACCCACTTAGCCACTGTGGCTCCCGACAACAGAATACAAGTTACTTAAAAGTTTATATCGACACAGGTTATCTTGTCTTTATCAAGAGATGTTATAACCTATTCCATTCTTTTGGTGGTAAAATATAATATGTCTTTTAACCCCTTAACTGCGTAGGGCGTTATATAACGTCCTGGACAACTGCCACTCACTGTGTGTAGGACGTAATATAACGCCTTGGAGGTATTTTCCCCAACCTATTCTTCGAACATACGATCGCAGCATGTGTAGGATGTTATATTACGCCTGGTCGAGGAAATCTAATTAAAGGGGGGAAAACTCTATTTACCGTTAGTTTTAATATGGTTTCAGACAACTAAAATTTGTATTCAGGAATAAAAAGGTCCAAAAAATGACGTCTTTCGTCAAATTAATTACGCAATAGGGGGTAGTTAACGTTTTAAAAACTACACAGTTAAGGGGTTAACAACTTTTAGGATTTTGAAAACATACATTTTTTTAAATCAATAAATAGAAATATAGTCACCTATTAAGTGCTTCCTTTTCGTCTGGATTAAGAGTCTTAACTTTACGAGCAGATTCAAGAGCCTGAGCTTGTTGTAGTTGTTGTTGTTTATTATGTAATTGTTGTTGAAACTGTGTTTGTAGTTGCCGATCGCGGTTCTGTAGATTGGTTACTGGTTGTGGTGCTACGACTGGTACAACTGCAGGTTTATCTTGTTGTTGCTGTATTTGTCGCTGCATCGCTAACAGTTTGGACTGTATTTCAGGAGTCTGATTTTGCATCAATGCCTGTCGAACCACTAGAGAAATAAATAGATACAATCGAACTAAGATTAACCTCTTTTGATAATATTATACCACTACAAATTTGCAACATCTAAATATTGTTTGTATTGTTATCATTTTATTCCTGAATCATTTTGTTCGGCAATCATATAAATGATGACTCTTGGGCACAGTTTAAAGGTCATCAGAAAAGCTTCCTAAATTCTTAAAAGATAGGTTGCCAGGCAACGAAACATATGCCCACAGCAGCTATATCGTCCGGGCAGTCAACAAGAGTTGTCACATATTTTTACTTTTTTCGGTAATGAAACATTTATAATACATTAAAATCTGATTAAGAGTAACAACTCATTAAGTAATTATCAGAAAACCATTAGAATTTGTTTGGTTTTTATAAAGTTCTGCCCCATGCTAACTTTTAATATACGAAACTTTTAACATCATGGATATAGCTGTTCAAGTCATAAAGATTCATTGAAAATCAATATACTTGTTTGTCTCAATTTAAAGTCAATCGGATATTAACTTCAGCCTCTAGAGCGTCCACAAGATTTTTCAAAGTGATCAAGGGCCATAACTCTGACAGTAATTATTGGAAATCGCTGAAAATCAATAGGCTTCTTCGTCTCATTTCAATGTGGGCGTATAAAAAATGCAAGTAACATATCCTTTCCATAAGTATAACACCAACTCGAATATCAATGTTACTTGCAACAGGTAAATTTCTACATTAGTAATTTCCGCTGTTTTCCGTGAGTAGTCTTAACTTTCCGTCAATAAACAATCTGTAATGTCATTTTAGTTCTTCTGCTCATATTCTAGTCTATATTTCTGTGAGCAGAAGTACTAAAATGACGTCACAGATTGTTTATTGACGGAAAGTTAAAAATACCCATGGAGAATGGCGGAAATTACTGACGTTGAAATTCACATGTTGCAGGTACAATGTAATATTGACATTCGGGTTCGTGTTGTACTTATGGAAAGGATATGTTGACATAATTACTTTCATTATTTAAAAAAAAATTGAAGCTACTCCAGTGATCTTTATCATGATTTTACGATGTTAGTTAAGGCTCATTATAGAAATTAAATGAAATAACACTTACCTTGCTGTAGAACTTGAGGTGTAATGGCATATTTCTGTGGATTAAGAGCTGAAGTTCCTGGAGTTGAGGTTGATGGAGTTTGAGGAACCCGAGGTTGTTGAAGGAGTGTTGTAGGAGTACCCGGTATTGTAATAGCTGACAGACTGGCACCCGTAGAAACAGGAATAGCAGTAGCAGAAGCAGCAGCAGCAGTAACAACAACAGGAGTAGCATCTTGCTTCTGGACAACGGGTGTTGTAGTCTGCTGTACGGGTGTAGCCACTGTGCTAATGACTGGTGAAGCAAGATTAGTTTTAATGACTTGTGTCGGTAATGCTGTTCTGATTCCCTGTGGTGATAAAATTGTCTTGGTCACCTGCTGGGGTGAGGTTACAATAGTTTTGATGCCCGTGGATGATGTTATTGCTTTTATAAGTGTTGGTGATGTGAAGGTTTTGATGCCAGTTGGAGTAGTAACTGTTTTTACAACTAATGGTGATGTAAGTGGAGATTTTAAAGTTGTAGCAGTAGGAGTTACAACTTGAGCACTTGATACCGTTGGCTGGACGATTTGCTGCACGGCCGTCACTGGTTTTGAGATTATCTTGGCAACGGAAGGGGTAAGAATGGTTGTTTTTGTACCCGATGGGTTCGTTGCCAGGAGACTAGTACCTGCAGGTTTAGCAGGAAGAGTGACTGTATTGCTAGAAACGACACCCAAGGAACCTGATGCAAGTGAAGCCGTTGCTGAACCTCCCGGCAATATTACCCGTGTCGGTTGTGTTGCAGTAGAGCTTGGTGTTAAATTTGGCGTTGAGACAGTACCCTGTGGTCTAACAGATATTCCTTGTCTGAGTTGTATAGGAGAGGAAGTCGTGGATGATGTAGTCCCAGAAGATGAAGAAGATAAAGATATCAACTGAAGTCTGCCATCAGGTAATCGAATTATTTGCTGACCTGTAAAAAAAAAAAAGAACTTTAATTTGGGTTAATTTTAAATATGTATGGGGAAAAGTATTATTATGAGAGAGAGAGAGAGAGAGAGAGAGCTCGTTTCTGTAAAATATTCAAATCTAAAGTTCTTTTTGATAAGTCTGCTTCTTCAACCGAAATAGAGAGAAAACCCACGAGGTTGGACAGGCGACCCTACTCATTGTCATGTATAACTGGGGAATTGAAACCACGCTAATTGACTCAATTACAGACCTTATGATACAACGCACACGCTTTAACCATTCGGCCACCCACCCCACCTTGAATTCTAAGTGTCCAAGTAATATTGATACAACAATAAAAAGTAGGTATGTTTAAATTCAGGAAATCATCTTACCTGGTAGCAAACCTCGTACTTGTAATTGACCTTGAGGTCCCTGGATAATTTGGACACTCTGCACTTGTCCTGGACTACCCTGAGCAACAACTTGTGGTCGAATAGCAACTGAAAAATATATATACATAATAATATATTTATACTGTAAACCAGAAATTAATGTGTTCAATCCATTAAGTTGCATTAATTTCAATAGATTGTTGCTACAGCATTCAGAAGATACTACAGTGTGATCAAATCCTATAACTCAGGAAGTTATTACCAGATTTAGTTGAAATTCAATCCGCTTATTCATGTTACTAATGCCATGAACATACATAGATTTTTGTTCGTAAGCTTACCGCACAAATTCTAACCAAACTTAGCGGATCAGTTAAGACAGATTGTTTCAATGGCATTTCAAATAGTCGGCCTTCAGGGAACCATATATTTATACTGTAAACCAGAAATTAATGTGTTCAATCCATTAAGTTGCATTAATTTCAATAGATTGTTGCTACAGCATTCAGAAGATACTACAGTGTGATCAAATCCTATAACTCAGGAAGTTATTACCAGATTTAGTTGAAATTCAATCCGCTTATTCATGTTACTAATGCCATGAACATACATAGATTTTTGTTCGTAAGCTTACCGCACAAATTCTAACCAAACTTAGCGGATCAGTTAAGACAGATTGTTTCAATGGCATTTCGAATAGTCGGCCTTCAGGGAACCATTGATGATTTGTGCAGTCTTTGGTCTAAAGGTTTTTCGTATATAAGTGGAATCATTTACATCAACATGCATATATCAACATTTTTCGTTATAATACCAATCAAATCTCATCTTTTTAGGGTGTTGTGATTATTAAAACCTGATCATATCATTGTAAATACTCCACAACAAGCTATATCAATTTGTGTTTATTTCAGGTAAAGTGGTTGTTGATAACATTTTATCAAATTTCATCTTCTTTGATCGTTTGTCATTATTAAAACCTAAACAAATCATTGTATATACTCCATAACAACTTACCCATCAATTAGTGTTAATTTTCAGGTAAAGTGGTCGTATTTAATGTTGTTATTAGCATTAAACTTTATAATCCTTAAATTAAGTTAGATTCCCTTTAGGTACATGTAATTAGAAGGGGTATCTCTGGTCGGTCAGCATTAACTAAGTATTGTTGTGTACATGTATATATTGTCTTGCTTGTTATATTTTCACTGATAATAACTAGAGAAGCCTAGTCGAAACGTCGCTCAGTAATAAGCAGTAATTGTATTCCATAGAATTGTGACCTGTATATTATAGCTAAGACAGGGTGATGACATTAAATCAAAACGAAGAATTCTTTACAAAATTTTTAAAACAATTAAAAGAGAAAACAACAGGCATACTGAAATAGTTTAAATTACAAATATAAGAGCAACATACCTTTAGGACTTTGTGTTTGAGAAGGAACTATGATTTTGGCTGTTGTAGCACCAGTAGTGGATGTGGTTATTGTACCTGGTTTTGGTGCCAAAGTTATACCTGAAGAAGCTGGACGTAGAGTTAAGGTAGAACTTGGAAGTTGAAGTTTCATGCCTGGTCTTATTGTTGTGTTACCTAGAAAAGAATAAATCAAGATTAAACTTTAAGGAACTTTTGGTATCCGAGGACCTTTTTTTTTTTTAATTTGCGTTTTTAACAATTTTCAAGTGTAAATAATTTAATTAAATCAACCTGTCCATAATATCATATTCATTGTATTGGACGTTAAATCCGTAATAAACAACAAAAACAACATTAAACTTCCCCGTTTCATGATTAAATAACTAGATACTAAAATTGAAAGGGATATCGCCCGATGAAATTTGCAGTAATATAGCATATCAAAACATGGTATTAACATAATTTTTTAATCCAAGCCAACTCCTGCAAGCCTTGTGTCCACAAGCATGTCTGGTTAATCCAGGTAATTTTACTAAATATAAATGTGCATAAAGATAATCCCCAATTATTCTGGCAATATTTAGTAGTAAATCTGTATTTCATTATTTTCTTCGTGCGGCAATCAATCTGATTAAAACGCAGGATCCTGTTTCGTTTCGTTTTTTATAGTTCAAAATTTCGTTTTACTTGTCTTTACTACACTAGGATTGGGAAGAGTTGTTATATAAGCCAATGAAATGGTCTATTATGGCAACTTTTTGGCGTGCCATGCACTGAACTGTGGGTAAACCACTAGAATAGTCAATGTTGATTGATTAATCAATGTCTGACATCATAGGGTCAAAAGCCGCTGTAACGACCCCTGGCGCGACCTTCATGTCAGATCTTCATGTAGTGTAGGCCATCAAAAGTATAAAAAAACGAAAGGAAATATAGATTTGTATCACACGACAAGAAGTTGCCATAACAGATGGTTTCAATAGCTAATCCCCCACACCATTCAGAACTACAGTAATACAGCAATTCTTCTACATCCTAGTGTAGTAAAGACAAATAAAACGAAATCTTGAACTATAAAAAAACGGAACGAAATAGGATCTGTTTTTTAATCAGATTGTACAAATTGAATAAATTATTATAAATATTATTATATGTATTACCTATAATACCACTTGATGCTATAATAGTTTTAGGTTGTAAATGTCGTATAGTGGTTGGTGTACCAGTAGCAGACGTTGATACAGGAGTTGAAAGAGTAACAGTTTTTATTGGCGTCTTCAACCCAGCAGAAGATGAAAGCGTTACTATAGATGTAGTCACAGTCGTTGGTGTTGAAGTCACAACTTTACCATTTGCTTCTTGTAGTCTTTTCTGTTGCATAACCAGACGCTGCTGTTTTAACGTCTGCTCCATTCGTTCCTTTATTTGTGCTGCTGTCTGTTGTGTAGTGTTAACGGTAATCTTTTCTTGAATTGCTGCCCTTTGTTTTTCAAGTCTGAAATTTGAAATGAAATGAAATGAAATGGGGTTTAACGTCCTAATGTTCTGCTCCGACTGGGATAATGAAGACGGGCATACGCCATGCAGTGTGTAACGAGGGAAATTTTGCCAGGGCATCGGCACTATGGCTTATTCTTATATTGAATTCCAACTGCCAAGGGATCTTTTACAGATTTGTTTTTAAATATTAGTCACTTGACACAAATTATGTCATTTGGGGACTAACATATGGTTCAATTTTATTTCATTAATTTGCTTGCACGTAGGGGTCTTTAGCAGTGGGAGCAAACCGGAGGACTTGGAGAAAACCCATGAGGTTAGACAGGCGACCCTACTCCTTGTCACATACAACCGGGGAATCGAAACCAAGCCAGTTGACTCAATGACAGACCTTATGATACAGCGCGCACATGCTAACCACTGGACCATCCAACCCCTCCCATGTAATCAATCAACCACAGTGTTTCCGGATGCTAATATCAACAGATTTATTTTCAAATTTGAGTTAAAGATCACTTGCACATAGGGGTCTTTAGCAAATGGAGGAAACTGAAGGACCCAGAGAAAACCCACGAGGTTAGACAGGTGACCCTACTCCTTGTCACGTACAAGCGGTGATTTAGTCAAAGATAACAGATCACTATTCAATAAAAATGAAAAGTAACATAAGAAACAAAAGAAGCTAGAAATCTTACTTTTCCCCAAACTGTTTTATTTCCCATAATTCCAATGTTTCTTCCGGTACCCAATCTTCTGTTACACTTGGTTCTGTTAATTTTGGAGACTCTGCTCTTTTCCGCTCTCTCAAACCACTTCTTTGTGGCGTATATTTTTCTGTTAAAAATAAAATTTATAATTTTACTGATTATAAAAGTGCATTTCGATCTATTTAAAAGAAATAAAATATATAAAAGTTACCAGTAATATTTGGTATATGTAAAATAATTATATGTTTAGGTCATTTTTAGACTGACATGGAGTTTGTTTTTTTTAACAAAAAGAAAATGAAATGAAAAGGGGTTTAACATCCTACTGATTTACATTACAAAAAGAATTATTCAAACATTAGCTTGTTTAATATGGAGCACTCTTCCTCTATTGATCAAGAAAGCCAATCTGATTAAAACACAGATCCTATTTTGTTTCGTTTTTTTAAAGTTCCAAATTTTGTTTTACTGGAAGAAATGTTATATAACCCGCGTCCTGGATGATGTGATCGATTAGCCAATGAAACAATCTGTTATGGTAAGCTTTTGATGTGAGGTGCAAGGAACTTTGGGTAAACCACTAGAAACGTCAACGCCGATTGATTAATCAATGTCTGACATCATAAGTTCAAAAGCCGCTGGTATGACACCTGACACGACCTTCCAGTACAACTGGTCAGATCTTCATGTAGTGTAGGCCGTCAAAAGTATAAAAAAAAAAGAAACAAAATATAGATCTGTATTTTAATCAGATTGCAAGACAGTCTACTCTCTCTATTTCATAAAAGCTAACGGACCTGTATCTGTTGTCCCAAGTAATACATAAAATTACCAAACAAAGTTCATGGCTGGAAATACAGCGAGATCAAAAACAGAAATTTACCTTTAGGTTGACTTGTCACTCCAATTGGAACAACTATCTTTCTAACTTGAAATTCAGATCTTAAACCAAACAATCCAACATCCCGTCTCTTTAACAGCTCAGTAGTTGTGATTTCTGTTTCTGTTGAAACTGTATTAGTTCCACCAGCAGGTGGTTTTATAGACATATCATCCCATCGTATACATGCCCATAATATACGAAGCTGTAACGCAGCAGCGGCCAGAGTTTTTATAGTTTGAGTTCTATATCTCCACGCTGTTTTAAACCACGGTCTGTGACATGGATACGGCCATAACACATTGTTCATTTTACAGTTATAATTAAAACCACTTGCTTCCCGCATACCACCTTTTCTAGACATAAGTCTTAGTTCACTTCTTTCAAGCACAAATATACTTTTCTTTTTATGGGAAGTTTGGAATTTCTGACACACCGGTAAACTAGCTTTCTTTGTACCTTTACGCTTACCGATTTTTGTAAAACGCGCCAGTTTAAATTTAGCGTTAGTTTTTCTGATTGGAGGGAGTTTTGAGGCCAGTTCTTCCACTGACATTTTTGCTATTGCTGCTTGTAAGGCCTGCTGGGCCTGGTTAATGTTCACACCTTTAGATGCCAATAAACTAATGGCGGAACTTGATATTGGGGTAGGTGTTGGTTTTGTAGGCGATGATAAACTCACTAACGTCTTGCTCACACTTTCCGTATTACCACCACTTATAATGATTGTTTTCTTGTCACTACTCTCGTCGACAGTTTTAGGTACGGGTATTGATATATTGACAGTATCACTCGAGGCAGACGGACTACTTTTAATGGAGTTTAGGAGATTAGACGAAGCACTACTGTTTGATTTTTCTCCATCTTTATCACCTTCTACATCGATTTCTTCCTCTTCTTGCATCGATGGAGGAAGAGAAGCCTGAGAATCCTCATCTTCCACAACTTCAGACTTGACCAGGGATTTCATGATTTTCAACGATGAAAGTTTATTGGTTGCTTTTTTGGACTTTAAACGACATAAAGGGGAATAACAAAACGATTTTCCTTTAGTACGACACAACAATGAATAACAAACATAGTTATCCCCTTCCTCGCTGAAGGGACTGGGTTCCGAAACATCTCCATTAATCATTTTAAATAACTGAGGTAATTTTTTCTCTGCAGATTTATCCGTTGCTTGAGCTGCCTTTTCTTTTTCCATTTTGATTTTCCACGCGATCTGCTGATTTAAAGCTTGCCGTTGCTTTGATTCCCATTCTTCCTGTTTTTGCCGTTTTTCAAGCAATAAATCTAACCGCGAATATGGTTTAGTGTATTTTTGGTAGTAAGTTCTCTGTAACAAAGATTGACTGACGTCGACAACCTCCACATCCACTTTCGGTGGTAAATGTTTTAACACCTCTTTCACGTCTTCTTCTGTAAAAGACAGATCTTCTTTCACGTCATTATCTTTGTTTTCTTCTTTATCAGTATTTATTGTATTATTGACCTTCATCACTACATCTTTGTTATCGATAGTATCACTACTTTCGATTTCTTCTTTCTTAATGACTAGTTTACTTTCACTTTCCTGTGTATTAGTCACACTGATCACTTTATCATTGTCTACTTCCATTTTCACATTCGAACTGTCTAATTGTTCACTAGATTTAATGACCTCATCGCCTATTTTAGCACCCGAATTGTCTAATTGTTCACTAGAATTACTGGTATCGACTTCCATTTTCACATTCAAATTGTCTAATTGTTCACTAGGTTTACTGGAACCAACATCCATTTTTTCTTCGGATTTAATTTCGGTTGCAGAATTAGAACTCTCTAGTTTTTTGTTTTTTATTTTGTTCAGTTTAGCTGCCTTAGCTTCTTTTATTTTGCGCTGTCGAATGCGTTGTGCTACTGAGCGTAAACCGACACTGTCTTGTGGAACATACTGAGAGGTACGTGCTGCACTAAGCCACTGCCAACCGTTACTTAAAGTTACTCTATACTCTTCTCCTTTCATCTTCCAAACCTAGAATAAACATAAAATTGAAATGAAATGGGGTTTAGAGAGAGAGAGAGGGAAATGGGGTTTGACGTCCACTCGATACAAACTAGGTCATTTCGGGACTAACACATGGTTCAATTTTATTTCAATAATTCGCTTGCGCGTAGGTGTCTTTAGCAGTGGGAGGAAACCGGAGGACCTGGAGAAAACCCACGAGGCTGGACAGGCGACCCTACTCCTTGTCACATACAACCGGGGAATCGAAACCCAGCCAGTTGACTCAATGACAGACTGTATGATACAGCGCAGCGCGCACATGCTAACCATTCGGCCATCCAACCCCCCTGAAATGGGGTTTAAGTACTACTGTTCTGCTGCAACTGGCCTAATGAAGACAGGCATATGCCAGTGCTATAAGGGAAATTTTGCCTGAGCAGCGGCACTATGACCTACTCTTATATCGAATTCTAACTGCCAGAGGATATTTTACATGCACGCCAATGTATACACGGAACCTCAGCTTTTCATCACATCCTAAATGACTAAACAGCTGTCCTTGCCAGGTCCTCCATCCTGCACCACTGACAAGGGAAAACCAAGTCGGAAAATCACGATGAACTTTCTCGGTCAATGCAGGGATCGAACACGCGACCTCCAGGTTAGCAAGCCAGCGTCTTACCCACTTAAGACACTGTGGCTCCCGCTTTAACACACAGAACATGTAAATGACGTTCTTAATTATCTCCCTTAAAGGCTCAATATCACTCTTGTTGTAACTGAATAATATGTCCCAATCTTTAGCCTGACGTAAAGCTTTTCAAATGTGACTTGGATTTAAAAATATTTTTGAACCCTCTGGACAAGTAAAATAGGATTTAATGGATAATTTATACAACAGGTAGGACACTAACACATCTAGTACTTAGAATAAGGCTATTTTTTATTTTCTGGAGCTGTCAAGCCAGCCAGAGTGTTATTGTCCCTTTAAGATGGCATGTCTAAACCATAACCATTTCTAAGCAGGATTTTTATGCTATTTTATGGGAAATCTTGTAACAGTGGAATGGAAGTGAGATGTCTGAATTAAAAACTTAAATTCCATTTATTTTACACTTATAATAGAAATCATGAAATAAAATGGGGTTTAGCATCCTACTGCTCTGACTGGGCAAATGAATACAGGCATACAGCAAGTTTTGCTCAGACAGTGACGCTACGTACACGCCAATGTGTACAAGGACCTTGAGTTTTTTCGGCCCACCCAAGCGACTATATGTGATCTGCTCCCACGAAAACCAAGCGCTTGTCGCACAACTTCAGTTTTTACTACGGGTACAAAAACATAAACTGTATGCCTTCTTGTTACTGTGAATGAGCCGAACCCAACTCCAGGTCATAGACAAATTTAAAAAGAATTGCATTTTTGGATGGAAAGCTTAGGCTGTGGACTATTCAAAAATGCTGCCAGCTGTATTTTTATAAAAATGACCCAAGAGCCTGTTTTTTTTTTTGTCCCATCCAAACGACTATATGTTAACCCTTGGAATAGAAAACATATCACAATATGTATAATTTACCTGATGTTTAAGGCCTAGTGGATATTTGATCCAAACAGCTGGTCTACCTTCATATTCCTCTTCAGTTCTTCTTCTAATTTCTTTCTCTTTCTTCTTAATCTCCTCTTTATCAGTACCAGTAATTCTTTGCAGTCGACAATGCCCTATAAATATGTCCAAATGAAATATTAACTATATATTGGGTTAGATTTTAAATTCTAAACCCTCGATATGTTGTCCCTTGCCATATATATTAACTATATATTGGGTTATATTTTAAACAACTAAATGTTGTCCCTTGCTAGGTCCTCTGTCCTGCAGCACTGACAAGGGAGAACCACGCCGGAAAATCCCTATAAAATTCCAATGAATTGGATTAGTCTCAGATAGACTTAATTTACTTCTTTCATGCTACAAAATTTGAGGCTTGTCATGCATATGGGCTAAAAAAGGGCTGCTACCCTCAACGCGTCCTTGAATAAAAAACTTCTACTTTCGTACCACAGTCTTGTCAAGTGTGTTGCTGGAGGATTATATTTTTAAAAAGGACCACCTCCTTTTCGCCCCCACTGTATCACCGAGATCCACACTGACATGTACTGTTTCAAGGATTCTTCCACCTATTACTACTACTAAGAGTGAAAAGATTATTCGTCATAGTCATGTATTTTAATACATGAATGACCCCCTTTCTATTCATAATTGTGAATAATAGGTCAATTCATATTGATATACACTTTACCATGTTTTTCTGTAGGTAGAGAAAGACAGAAGAAGTCTCTGGTCTGATGAATACTCTGCTAGTCTACCAAAAGACACTAATAGACGGGTTATATTCTGAATTCTAGGGGCCTGTAGCAGTGGGAGGAAACCGGAGGACCTGGAGAAAACCCACGTAAAACCTGGGATTGGAAGCCACGGCAGTTAACTCAATGACAGGCCTTATGATGCAACGCGCACATGTTAACCATTCGGCCATCCAACCCCCGTTGCAGAATAGAAATGCGTATAGGAATTAATGTGACTAGCAGTGGGATTCATTTACGCATAGAATTTTTTTTTTTAACTTGGAATGATTTCTTGTTTCAATGTAAAATTAAAAATCTCAGAAATTATAACAGATATAAGATTTACCTAAATGATCTGACCAAACTGGATTACACACAACAGGTTTAATACAAGCCTCTAAAATAGCCAAAGCCAAGCCAAAATCTTGAGGATTCTGACACATGTGTACAGCTTTCTGCCAGTTCTGTCTATGTATTGGCCAATTGGGATGTAAGAAAGGCGTAGGAATGTTGTTCTCTAACTGTGTGATACTGAGTCGTAATGTTGAGACAGTGAGAATACGGTTTCCGTGTACAGTTCCATTCCATTTGAATTCACTAAGAGGTGTCATACTGAACTTATGAGACAGATGTCTTCGTTTATCTCTATCCTCGTTATGTTGATGTTTATTTAAAGCGAGAGTATTAGTTGAATACTGGTTTTGAAACATCTTGTAGTTGCCCTCATTACCTGTAAATACGATAATATTCTTCAAAGATCAACAAAAAAAAAAAAAAAAATCATTATTATTACATATGTCTAAAGTGCACAACTGCCATGTGCACTTTACAAAGACATATTATAGAGAGACAGAAATGGGGTTTAACGTACACTCCACACAAACTAGGTCATTTCGGGACTAACATATGGTTCTATTTTATTCAAAAAATTTGCTTGCGCGTAGGGGTCTTTAGCAGTGGGAGGAAACCGGAGGACCAAGAGAAAACCAACAAGGTTGGACAGACGACGCTACTCCTTGTCACATGCAACTGTGGAATCGAAACCACAGCAGTTGACTGAATGGAATTTCAAATGAAATCAAAGGGGTTTAGCAACATGAAGAGTTTTTTTCTGACAAGAACCCTATCTCAATGACAGTCCTTATAATGCAACGTGCACACGCTAACCATTAGGCCATAACCACCCCCCACCCACCCCCAATGTACATATACAAGCGTGTGTTACTGTTAAGTTTAAACGGACAGAATATCAAACAACATTTATATTATAATATATACGTATTATGATAATTTGTGTCTGACAATGTCTGTGACAGGTACCACCTTACACTGTAACCCGAGTATCATTTAATCTTGTGTATCTAGCACTAATTTCTTTTACATTCGTTTAATATTTACATCTTTGTTTAAAAATTCATAAAAATCGTTTAAAATCACCAAAAATTATCTAATTTGTACCTGTGTCCAGTTTAAAGCTGACTGATTAATTTTGATAATTTCCTGACCACTGTTCAAAAATTAATCATTATACATCAATAATCAATTGGGTTGTTTATTTTCTAACAGTGATAGAGAAATTAAACACTTGTAAATTGGACACTCATTATCAAAACTGAATGGTCAGCTTTAAACTAGACACAAGTACAAATTAGATGATTTGTTGGTGATTTTTAAATGATTTTTTTAAGTTTTTAAACAAAGATTTGATATTGAAGGAATGTGAAAGAAGTAAGTGCTAAATACACAAGATTAAATGATACCCGAATTACAGTGTTATGTCCATGCTTGAACATACCTAATCTAAAATATTCTGACTGAGTAACTGCTACTGCTGAAGTTGTTTTGTTTCTACTGATTCGAGTGATTTCCCCATCTTTATTTATGACTAAAACATCATCCGATGAAGATTTATGAGCAGATTTGACAGATGTTGTTGTAGACGTTATAGAGTCAGTAAATTGTTTCGGTGTCAAAGAACCAGTTTTGGAGCGTGTCAGCATTTTCCTACTTTCAACTGAAAAGGTAAAATGAATACATTTTTCATGGTGGAAAAAAAGTTATTATTCTATTTGTCAACTCAAAGATACATTATGGGAGATTCGATAACGAGTTGGCAGTTCTCACTATAATAAATAAAAAATAGATAACGTAAAGGCAATTTGCTGAAAATTTCATTCAAATTGATGCCTAGCCTCGGTCATCATTATTTAAGTCAGTACGATAAACAGCATAGTCTTGATTATCCATTTAATCGTTTAAATGAGAAGGAAAGTTATGCAGTAAATCGGCTCACAATCCACTTCAGATCGCAGGCTAGCGATGCCATCTAGAGTTGATTATGGTCTGGATAGGTTAATTAATGTCTAATTAATAATTTAGATAACATTTCAGGCCTAAAGAAAGACCTGCAATAGACAGATTTAGCTCTTGCATAATGCATGTTTACCGTAAGTTTTTTAAAGTCTATTATAGTGATTTGTATTTTATTAAAGAAAATATCATCTTTTCCACAGCTTCGTTCACACTAAAAGTACTCACATGATAATTATTGAAAAGAGAAGAATTTCTTTAAAGCGAGAATTTTAAATTTTCTAAGAAAGTCAAAACATAATTATTTCTATGTCTTTTGCTCTATAGGTTATCAAATCACTATTATACGATCATAGGTATCATTCTCGCACTTACAAATCTTCACAACGGAAATAATAACACAATTACCTCCCCTGTTTTGCTATTGACAACATGGGGCAGCCATTTTCCAACGTTGAAGTTAAAAATGATATTTTTGCCAATTTCTCAGCTGGCAATAGCAAATTAACAAGGTAGGACTGTTTATGGATACCATCTATTTTAAGGCTTTATTTTAATACATTTTAAAAATATAACTTGAAAATTTGCAATTGCAACTTTAAGGATATTTTTTTTAAACGATAGCAGTAATTATAAAACCAAATATGGCTAGTGCTAAATGATAAGGCCAGCTCAATTTTTCATCATAGGTCACGTGAATCTGATGAAAACAGGGCTAGCACTAATCCCAACCCTAACCCTGGACTAAACCTGAATGCTTACCCTAACCCTAACCTAAAATCTTGCCAACATTCACATGCCCTAACCTTATTTACATCTCAAAATTGAGCTGGCCGTAACAAATAGATTTAGCCCACCAAATATTGTGTCAGTTATTGTAATATCCATACAGTGAAGAATATACCGACCGAAAGCATAATAATACATACTCAAAATCTGTGAAAACATGTTAAAATGTATGATACAATTTATATCTGATTTGGCACAAGAATAAAAATCTGAACAAATATAACAAATAACTCACATAAAGATGCTGTAGTTGTACTTGTACTCTGTATCACTGATAAAGAATTCTCTGATTTTTCTGTGTTTTCACCTGCCTTGGACTGCGGAGCTACAGATAAGGTAACTTTACCTCCTTCCCGATTGACAAATAATACAGTCTTGCCCTGATTTCCATCTCGTTTATCATCCAATTTCAACACGGCGCCTTTAGTTGCATTCGGTAGCAGAGACTGCAGAGTAACAATTTTTGCTTTCGGTTTCTCATCCTCTTTGGTTTCAGCCTCAGTAGCGGCAGAATTATTATTATTATTACTTTGATCATTGACTACCGTGTTTTCAGACTGAACTGCAGATGTTTCTGTAACTATGGTTGTTTCGGTTGTTTCGGTTGTTGTGTTGGTTATGGTTGTTGTGATTTGGGTTGTTACTGTTTGATTTTCATCTCTGGAGTCTGATGTATTGGTCAATATAGCAGAAGCTGTAGTAACAGTTGTAGACTGAGCAGAACTAGTCATATTTTCCTATAGAAATAAAAATATACACATAAATAAAGAAAAAACAAACTTACACTGTGGATACACAAACAAATACATTAACTTGTTGAAAACTAAACCTAGAAAAATCAATGACCATTTTTGTTATACAGTGGACAAGCCAACAGTGAGGCTGATGTCCCCCGCCGAAATCCGCAAATAAATAGATGCCACATATTAATTAATCGCACATCTATTTTTTTCAAAAGTATCGAGCAATCAAACTGTTTATCAACTATACACTAAATTTCATCACTCTCTATCAGACAGAATCAAAGTTATATTGTCCCAAAGCATCGACCAAGGAAATTGCTTATCTCTGCTTAGCTTGAGATCGATATGTTAATCATTGAACTCAGTCAAGACGAACATCTACATCAAGTTTAAACATTCTACCTCAATTAGAAGCAGTGTGAACATTTTAGCTCAATTAGAAGGAGAGTTATTGTGTTCCGAAGTCTCGGCCAATCAAATTGCTTATCGCTCTGCTTACCCTGAGCAGAAAATGCTCATCATCGAACTTAGTCAAGGTACTGATGTAATAAAACTATACACCAAGTTTCATCACTCTCACTTAATTAGAACTAAAGTTATCGTGTCCCAAAGCATCAACCAATCAAATTGCTTATCTCTGCTTACCCTAAGCGGAAAATGCTCATCTTCGAACTCCATCATGGCATTGACCTAATAAACACATACACCAAGTTTGAACATTCTAGCTCAATTAGGAAGAGAGTTATTGTGTCCCAAAAAGTGTGACGGACAGACAGACGGACAGACAGACAGACGGACGAACCAATTTTAATAGTCCCCTGCTTTCTTCGAAAGGCGGGGGACAAAAATCAGTGGACAGGGGAGATAACTCATCAATAAAATATCAGAGAGAGAGAGAGAGAGAGAGAGAGAGAGAGAGAGAGAAATGGGGTTTACTGTCCACTCGACACAAACTAGGTCATTTCGTGAGTAACATATGGTTCAATTTTATTTTTAACAATTTGATTGCGCGTAAGGGTCTTTAGCAGTTGGAGCAAACCGGAGGTCCCGGAGAAAGCCACACAGGTTGGACAGGCAACCTTTAATACTCCTGGTCATGTACAATCTGGGAATTGAAACCACGTCAGTTGATTCAATGACAGACCTTATGATACAGCGCACACACAGTCTGAATTGTTATAAACTGAAATATCGAGAGAAATAACCCATTGTAGGCCTATTTATTATTTTCATTGTGCTAAAGAAATTATTAAAAAAAATAATTAAAGCAGTTGTAAATAAATATATTTTACACACCACTTCAGTTATACTTTCACTTGAAACCTCCATTTCCTCTCCTTGTTCATCCATCAATTTCTTCTCTTTCTCTTCCAGTTCTTTTTGTTTTTCTTCTTCAAGTTTTGCCAGCCTGTCACTCTCCTCTTGTGCTTTCTTCAGAACTCGTTGTGTTCTGGCTTTTTCTATATTACCTAAAAAGTTTGTAATATGACTTTAAGTAAAGATGTGGCTGTAATATTGCATTACTCACATTAAAAATTGTTGTTTTGTGAACCCTTAGGCTGAGAAATGATATAAAGCACTTAGAAAAAGTAAGCATACCCTGCCCTTGCATGACACTCATCACTACTTATAGCATATGAGAGAGAGAGAGAGAGAGAGAGAGAGAGAGAGATATTGAAATTTTAAATGTAGATTCTAAATAGAGAGAGAAATAGGGTTTAACGTCCACTTGACACAAACTAGGTCATTTTGGGACTAACACATGGTTCAATTTTATTTCAATAATTTGCTTGCGCATAGGGGTCTTTGGCAGTGGGATTAAACCGGAGGACCCAGATAAAATCTAAAGGGTTGGACAGACGACCCTACTCTTTGACAGACCTTATGATACAACGCACATGTGCTAACTATTCGGCCATTCAACACCCCAAATTCATCTGAAACTGACATTTATCTATTTAATGAAAAATTTAAATAGAATTAAGAGAACATACTATTTTCTAGCTCGAGAAAAGACTTTTTATTTCCTCTGGCAGTGTTAGTGAGCTCTTCGGTTATATTCATTTGCTTCAATATATCTTCCTTCATTTCTTCTATAGCTAATGCCAAATCTTTCTCCCATTCTTCACAATCAATAACAAATAACAATTCTTCTAACTGAGCTTTAGTGCTGTAATACCAGCATTCATCTGGTGATTCACTGGAAAATAATTAGAAAAAAAAGTTTTTATTCTGTTAAGCAGAGAGAGAGAGAGTGAGAGAAGAAGAGAGAGAGAGAGAGGTTTTAACCTCCACTCCACACAAAGTAGGTCATTTCGGACTAACATATGGTTCAATTTTATTTCAATAATTCGCTTGCGCGTAGGGGTTTTAAGCAGTGGGAGGAAACCGGAGGACCCGGAGAAAACCCATGAGGTTGGACAGGCGACCCTACTCCTTGTCACGTAAACAAAGATGAATTGGCAGAAATCTTAAATCTGTGAATAAAGGTGTTTTTACAAGAAACCGATTATCTAATCAAAATCCCATTCAATCACATTTACATCTGTGAATAAAGGTGTTTTTACAAGAAACCGATTATCTAATCAAAATCCCATTCAATCACATTTACGGCAAAAATTAGCCTAATCGGTTTCATGTAACCATTGATTATATTTACCACAAATCATTTGCTAAATCAATTATGCAAATCTTCCAACAACCTACTTCATGTACAGAACAAGATAGGAAGGCTAATCAAAACTGATTTGTTTTCTCATAAAAATGCTTTATGCCTCACAACAAGCTTAGATGACTTGACTGTGTAATGGAACCTAAACAGAAGTTATTTCCCTTGTTCTTTTGTGACCCGTTCACATGAACTACATGTACATCCTGAAGGAAATCAGTTTTACAAGAACGGCCTGCTGGAGGCAACCAGAATGGAACTGGACTCTTTTGTGTAATTTAATCCAAACTGTACTTTTCTACAATAATTTTTTCTGGAGTCAAGCAGGCCTGGAAATAACGGTTTAACATGTGCCTGACAAAATGTCAGGCACTAATGAAATAGTACCTGACATTTTCAACTTAGTGCCGGACATGTATTAATCTATATTTGTGACTGTCGTTTGTCTGTCTGTCTGTCTGTTCTGGGTTGGCGGCTACACTAGGTCTGCCCCGAGTCTGAAATTTGGGGTATAGGGGTAGCTCGGACCGGGGAGTAACATAGGCCAGGTGGCGTTAGTCTACCACTTCCGGTTTCGGAGTTATGACCCCGAGCGAAGCCGGTCTGTTCGGGGTTGGCGGGTACACTAGGTCTGCCCTGAGTCTGAAATTTGGAGTATAGGGGTAGCTCGGACCGGGGAGTAACATAGGCCAGGTGGCGTTAGTCTACTACTTCCGGTTTCGGAGTTATGACCCCCGAGCGAAGCCGGGTATCCTGCTAGTAATATCAATAAAAAAGACAAATCTGTGCCGGACAAAATGATAGGCACCAGAGGTTTAGTGCCTGACAAAGCCTGAATCTGTGCCTGACATTGTCAGTGACAGGTGCCTTATTTCCAGGCTTGCATACAAGAGAAAAGGGTAGTGTTTTTTGACTAGATATACTTACACAATAATTCTCTTTGTTAAAAACCAATACTTTCTACCATGTCTATCATAACCAATAGGTTCCTGCCGACATAATAATCCACTCTTTTCAGCTTCTGATATACAATCTGTCACACCTTTCACCTGTTGACAGAAAAAACCCGAAGAATACTGAAATAAGTTCTTGATTAAAATGAAAACTTAAATTAAATATAATATTTTTAAATTCCAATATGTACATACAAGTCTTTTTTCCAATTTCTTGATTCTACATTTACAGGCCTGGAAATAACGGTTTTAGATGTACCTGACAAAATGTCAGGCACTAATATGAAATAGTACCTGACATTTTCAAATTAGTGCAGGACATGTATTAAAAAAATATCAATAAAAAAGACAAATCATTGCCGGACAAAATGACAGGCACCAGAGGTTTTGTGCCTGACAAACCCTGAACCTGTGCCTGACATTGTCTGTGACATGCGCCTTATTTCCAGGTTTGATTTAGCAATGTTTTTGTTAATTACATAATGGTGATATTAATATCAGGTACCTGATGTGCCCTACAGACATTACACAACCAGTCATCATCAGGAACTTCTTCAAGTGGTGGATCAACACAAGCCAAATGATAGACAGCAGAACATGTTTCACAGCATAGAAGATCCCCTAATCTGAAAGTATAAAAAAATTAATAAAACAGAATGAAATCAATAAGCTTGAGAAACAAATTATTTATTTTTTTTTCTTTTTCAAAGCAAAAATTGACTAAAAGGTTAATGTGGAAGAAATTGCAGTTGAATACATCACAATTCAACACGCAATGCTGCAACAACATATGAACATAGTTGACATGTTTTAATCTACTGATAACCGATTAAAACTCAAATGCTCTTTCGTAAATTCTATGTTCTTATTAATTTGTTGTTTAAACACAAGCAATTATTTTCATTTCATAAACACATTTCGCCAGTTCTTCCAATTCGAGTTTGTAGGCTTTGTGTTGGAGGTAGGCCAATAAAAAATATGACATTGTGACGCTAAAATTTTATTTTGCAGTTTTTCAATATCATAAGATACTCAATATCGCTAGGTGGAAATGAAATGAGATTTAACCTATTTTTCTCTATCAACGAAGTGTAAAGACGGAGATACGCCAAACAGTGTGCAATGAGGGGAATTTTGCCTGGATAGCAGCATTTCCATTGACTCTTTACGCTAGGTGAGAGAGAGAGAGAAATGGGGTTTAACATCCACTCGACACAAACTAGGTCATTTCGGGACTAACATGTTTAATTTTTTTATTTCCATAATTCGCTTGCGCGTAGGGGTCTGTAGCAGTGGGAGGAAACCGGAGGACCCGGAGAAAAACCACGAGGTTGGACAGGCGACCCTACTCCTTGTCACGTACAACCTGGGAATCGAAACCCCGCCAGTTGACTCAATGACAGACCGTATGATACAGCGCGCGCGTGCTAACCATTCGGCCATCCAACCCCCCCTCTTTAAGCTAGGTGAGACAGCTGTACTAGTTACGCAGATGGCACAGAATCTCATCGCCACTTACATTACCTGTATTTTACTGATAGGATCATTTTTTAATTTAAAAGGGGTTAAAAGAGAAATGGGGTTTAGCGTCCACTCAAAACAAATTAGGTCATTTCGGGAATAACATATGGTTCAATTTTATTTCAATAATTTGCTTGCGAATAGGGGTCTTTAGCAGTGGGAGGAAACCGAAGGATAAGGTGAAAACCCACAAGGGTGGACCGGCGACCCTACTCTTTGTCACATACAACCGGGGAATCGAAACCAGGCCAGCTGACTCCATGACAGACCTTATGATACAGCACACACACGCTAACCATTTGGCCATCCAATCCCCCCTTCAAAAAAGGTTATGTTTAGTTGATAGAAAATTTAGGAGGCTATAATACGACTTTAAAGTTAAAGTGACTATGTATGCATTTCCTCCCAAATGTTGATACTTACTTATGGCAAGCTCTACAATGATCATCATATCGTATATTGCCCTCATTTGTAATTTCCTCTCGTACTTTGTTTGTTGCCAAAAACAAATTTGTCAGAGTATTTAAAACTATAAGTTTATCTTCATATGAAACAAATGGAAAATCTGGATTTTCAAGAATGGGTAGCACACGTCTAAATTCTGGATGAGTGTCACTATCAAGATATGCACGGACAGATTCAGGCCATGTCATCCCATCTGTAAAATACAATGCAATATTCACGCTGTCTTTTAGATCGTGTGGACCGAATGTTGTGCTGTTACTATCTTCTTCTCTAAGTAGTGCTTTGATTAAACATATATGGATTTCTGCCAAAAGTGTGCACTGTTCATCACTTAACAATGCAGCCAGAAAATCTTCAAAAGTAAAAGGAGAAATTCTCATAATAATTCTAAAATGACGCAGGACTTCATATACAGATACAGCAAGCATAACATGCTCATTTGGAATTAGAAGATCCTTCGAACTAGAAGGGAGGATTAATTCTGGAATTTCTACGTCATCTGGAACATCTGGTGTCCTTGGTCTTCTTTGGAAAAGTCTCCTCCGACTAACAGAGCTACTGACAGTACTGAAACTATCTTCACTGTAATCTGAAACTGCATCATCAATGGTGTCATCATATGGTTCATCAGAGTTATCCTCATCCATTGGATTGCAATCACCTGTTGTTATATCACTTGATCTGTCAGCTTCCAGATCTGCCAGAGAAGACACTGATCTATCGTCATCTTCATCCAGGAATCCCACATGGCTAATGTATTGCCGAATTCTGTGACCGGTTTCCCTGTTCTTGGCACGAAGTGACCTGCCATTACCTTTCGAGAAATAGCTAGACGGTGAACCGCTAAGTGGTGTGCTTGATCTAGAATTGGGATCGGTTCCAGAGCTGAAAGCTTTTGGTTTTCTAAGAAAGTTCGTTCGATTATTTGACAAAGGGGTCTTGGGTGGACGACCCCTTGCACGCCTTGACCTCGTTGACATTTCTAATTTATTTTATGCAATTTACAGACCTTGAGCATCCATGGTAATAAATATGTGGGTAAGATGTAAACATAGTCCATAATACTTGGTGTATTTAGTGTCCATGTTGAACATTTTTGGAGGCCGCCATTTTACTAAATAGTGGTCACGTGACTGTCATGGCCTTTCAAAAACGGACTCTGCTTCGGTTTTTGATGCATAGTGATCTTGATCGTTTGAAATTCTTGTCCAATTATATGCTTTTTGCACTAACAAGGTAGAACCTCTTTAGCTCTGGTCTCAATTTTATATTTACAGTTAATCTGTAAGCGTAAAGACTGAATTTCAAGAAGAAAAATTAGTATTGGTTTTGTTATGAAGTCGTTCATTGGCTGTTTATAAATAGATAAAATGTTATGAAAATGAACTCTGGATATGGATCCTAAGAAATGTTTGTGTTTTCTGTAATTGAAATTTATCGTATAGAAATTGAAAGAATGGTTTTGTTTATAGAATAAAGGAGTTTTTTAAACTAAAAATCAGGTCTTTTATTGCTATCGTGGTGCTTAATAAATTAACCAATGGTATTACTTGTCTCACATTAAGTTAGGCGAGAAAAGTACGGCAAATTTTAACATCACGAAATCTCACGCGATAATTCCCGCGATTTGGAAATGGTAGTTACTTCCCTTTGACAACTCATGGCTTCCACGATGAATGGCCCAACATGCAGTATGTATTTTATGAAATCGTACTATAAAACACACGAATCTATTGAAATGCCAACATTGATGTATAAGACACCGTTTTATTATGGTGAACATGTGAAGGTATTATATTTTGAAATATCCATGTTTTTGTCAAGTTGTTTGGAACTTAGTTGATACTTGAATGGAAAACGCAATGATGCAATGACAATGATTGGACTCAATGATGAGTATGACAACAAACTACCGGTACCTGACTCCACTACAGCTACATCAGTACACGTATCGTATGTACTGTGATTTGACCGGAAAGTGCTGGCTAGACATAAACACAACTGAAATATAGTTACTTTTGGCATGATTGCAAGCTGGGCATTTACCAGGGCATGAAAATCAAAATTCGTAAATAGCATAGTAATAATGTCTTATTCTTATGACTTGGCATAGTCGTGGGGGGGGGGGACAAACCGTGTCACTGTCACTGTCAGCATTAATGAACCCATGTGATCACCTCAGCCTCATTCACAGTGACAGCAGTATGTAGAGAACTCTTAGTATGCCATCTTGCAGACGTTGCGGGATAACGGGGTGGTCTCATCGTGGCGTTGTCAGGTGATGACATCCATTCCACACCTTTGGTACCCACAGTCACACCATCTTGAATTACCTTATTGACATTGGTGCATTCTTAGTGATTAATTTTATATCGACACTATAAAATCACAATTTCCAGCATTCCCATTTTGTCAATTTTTTGTCAAACTCCAGGAAATTAATGTTTAAATTGCATGTTTTCTAATTAATAGGTTCTCAAATCACTATTATACAATATGATTCATTCTTACACATAAGAATGTGAAATATTATCTACAGTACTTCAAAATTGTGTCATTTATTTTCACTGGAATACTAAGTCTACATAATTGAACTATGGAGTTGTCTGTGGTTAAACAGATAACGATAATAATGCCAACTGGTTGTCCATGACACCTAAAGGCATTCCCAACCTGCACACATTATAGTCAATTATTCTAATAATAATACCGGAAATAATCGCAAAATTATATACCTTGTGGAACTCCGCGAATGTTCATGCTCCAAATGACACGTTCCCAGGTGATGACAGTAATATTTAGCTTTTTGGTTGTTTTTTGACTGTGTTTTCTAATTAGCTTTATAATTGACTATACCATTAGGAGCAGCATCTTTTGGTTTAGGTCAATTAACCATCTCCAAAACACTCTGGTTAGGTAAGAACTGGATACTAGTAGTATTTTCCTTTTGCTTTTACAAGGTTCTTAGAACAACTGTTGAGTTGCCTAACGCGCATGTTCCTAAATTTGATTTCTTGTTCTAGCTTTCTGAGGGGAGTTGGATGGCTTAATGGTTAGCATGTGCGCGCTGTATCATAAAGCCTGTCATTGAGTCAACTGGCGTGGTTTCGAATCCCGGTTGTACATGACAAGGAGTAGGGTCACCTGTCCAACCTCGTGGGTTTTCTCCAGGTCCTCCGGTTTCCTCCCACTGCTAAAGACCCCTGCGCGCAAGCGAATTATTGAAATAAAATTAAACCATATGTTAGTCCCGAAATAACCTAGTTTGTGTCAAGTGGACGTTAAATCCCATCTCTCTGTCTCTAGCTTTCTGTCACGTTTCGTAGGAAATTGTCTTGATTATATGGGCCTATCAGTCATCTGGAGAACGGTTGGTAGAGTGTTAGTGTGTGACTAATTTCAAACTAAGGGCCTGTAACCTATTTTGCACTAAAAAATAGCCAAATGTAATGTCCGCTTGTCATTTACCTTTTTTTTTATTATTGATGTTTATATTTATGGCATGGCCGTCTATTTAGTGACCATAAATGTGAAAAGCTAAGTTAATGCTTATTAGATTTATACAATTGTGTATAAATTCTATGTGTTTTAAAGAGTACATAAATCAGAGTTTTATGTACTTATAGACAGTTGTTACTATATACACTTTAGTCAAAATCACCAATCAGATTAAAATTAATTGAGCCATCTTCACTCAAAGTCAAGACCCCTTGTAAAAACAACTTTGCCAGTTATCGAAACACTCTTAATCCACTCAAACGCCAGGGACGTCACAGTAACTGAATGCATATTAGAACTGTTAATGAGTAAGACAAATTAGCATAGCGTCAAAAAGTGATTTAACTTTTATGAGAATAACTTCTGTTAATCTCACCAATTAATTAGCACCTTAGTGGTCAGGAGATTAAGATTGTTGATTGGATAATCAAGTTTAGTTTGGTGCATGTTAATTGAAGCATGCTGTCGCGTCAGTCCACATCTTTTGTGTATACAGTGATAAGATATGTAGTCCCTGTGACGTCACGCACCAAACAACTGGATTAAGACTGTAATGGAAAAAATTGTAAAGTGTTTACGAGAGTCTGACACATATAGCAATATATCAAATGATTTTAATTAGATTGGTGTGCAGTTGACTGAAGTATTTCTAATAAATACTTACTAACATCTACTCGATAGTGCCATTCTGAACTTGTACACCAGTACCTGTATTCATTCAATTGAGGGGGGCTTGGATGGCTGATTGGTTAGCATGCGCGCGCTGTATCATAAGATTTGTCAGTGAGTCAACTGGCGGGGTTTTGATTCCCCGGTTGTACATGACAAAGAGTAGGGTCGCCTGTCTAACCTCTTGGGTCTCCTACCACTGCTAAAGACCCCTACGCACAAGCGAATTATTGAAATAAAATTGAACCATATGTTAGTCCCGAAATGAACTAGTTTGTGTCCAATGGACGTTAAACCCCATTTCTCTCTCTATCAATGGTAGATAATCTCCCATCTTGTATGGGGATCACATGGCTAAGTGGGTAAGACGCTGTCTCGCTAGCCTGGAGGTTGGGTGTTCGATCCCTGCATTGGCCGAGAAAGTGCATCCAGATTTTCCGGCGTGGTTCCCCCTTGTCAGTGATGCAGGATGGAGGGTCTGACAAGGACAGCTGTCTAGTCGTTCGGATGGGGCAAAAAACCGAGGTCCCGTGTACACATTGGCGTGCACGTAAAAGATCCCTTGGCAGTTGGAATTCGATATAAGAGTAGGCCGTAGCGCCGCTGCCCGGGCAAAATATCCCTCTTAGCACACTGTATGGCGTATGCCCGTCTTCATTAGCCCAGGTTAGGAGCAGAACGGTAGGACGTTAAACCCCATTTCATTTCATTTCATTTCCCATCTTGTATTCAATTGGATTAAAGGGAGATTATTGCCATTAGATAAGATTTAGATACTAGTTTAAGTGGCATAAACTATTGGACAGTAACACACTAACACTATTTATGGAACAACAATTACATGTACTGGTTTATTAACATAAAGAGCTGACAGTTCTCACTTTAATAGTTACAAAAATAGATAATGAAAACAAAATATGCTGAAAATTTCACCCAAATTGATTCACTCTGAATCGAGATATTAAAGATTCAATTTTAGACTAGCCTCAAATGTCATTACTAACGTTGGTAAGATAATAAACAAAGTCTAAGTCTCAATTATCCATTTTTACGTTAAATTATCTGTCACAAAATGTATTCAAATCCTCTAAATAGTGCCGGCTAATGATGGCATCAAGAGTTGATTATAGTCTGGATAAGTTAATTAATGTCTAATTAATAATTTAGATAAAATTTCAGGCCTAAAGAAAGACATGCAATAGTCAGATTCAGCTCTTGCATAATGCATGTTTAAAAGGAGGTTAGCTAAGATTGTAGGATCTTTTAATATATATTATCATTTTTATACTCCACATTGTGATGTCAAGTGGTGCGTTTTTTTTCTCTGGCTCCTCCGGTGTCCCCCCAATGCTAAAGACCCCAATGCATAAGTGAATTAGGGGAATATAAATAAACCATGTTAATTCTCTCTCTCTCTCTCTCTGGTGTTCAATTACTAAATGCTGTTCAAACAGTATACATAATAGTTTTCGGTTTGAAACCACCATGTCATAGATACATTACCCATGTTTAAAATACATTCTGTAGTGACGATTCTGTTTTGCTGATTACATGGAATTCTTTTGGCATAAACTTAACTCCATCTGGTAGAAGTATAATAAAATGATCTATAGTGTTGTATTTTTTACAGTTTATTTATGTCACTGTAGTTTCCATTACTTTCTTCTTGTGTTAGAAACTGCCAAAAAATCCCCCAAAAAACACATCGTCTTACATATAGATATATGGAACTTAGATCACATTAATCCACCCTAACTAACCATATCAAGCCACCCTAACTAACCCTAACTCACCACACCACACCACCCGAACTAACCACACCAAACCACCCTAACTAAAATGCGGAAAGCTATTCAGGTATCTCGGACCAGCTATTCAGATTTCTTGGGCCGGCTATTCAGATATCTCGACTGACTATTCAGATATGCAGTAGTTCAATATGGTTCAATATTCAGAATTTATGAAGAATGAAGTGTTGTAAGCTTGTAATTGTATGGGACACCTGGCTGAAAACGTCACCAGGACCCTTGGATCAACAATGAAAAGTGGGGAATATTCTGACTCCGCGGTCACAAAGCATTCTCAGACTTAAGTTAAGAATTTACTCAAAATTGTTTGCCTTATTTTAACTTAAATATAGCCCTTTATAAAACTTTTGTTGTTTTAATGTATCAAATACATCAATAAGAAACTATGTAAAAGGTTTTGTGTTTCTGGATTAAAGATATTTTTCATAAACAATGATTGAAAGTTGAGTAAATTCTTAACTTACATGTAAGTCTGAGAATGCTTTGTGAAATCGGGGCTCACAAACTTTTAACTAAAATAAAATCCAAATTTTAGTAATTTAATTAGGTAATATTAGATTTTAGTGCTATAGCCAATCAAAATTGAAGTATCTATTAAAATTTGGAATTTATCTTTAGTTAAAATTTCGAGAAACGGGGCTCTGGTCATTGTCCTTCATACTCACACAAATGCAATTTGTATATATCATTATATCCTATGGTAGATAGATAGATTTTGGCGCAAACATATACAACATAATAATCAAAATCATAAAATTATAAGTAAAAACAATCTTTTAGAACTAATTTAGGGGTCTCTTTAATATTGGGACCGCTGGATTCAGATCAGTCAGCCCCACCCCTTTTAGCCCATTCCTGTGTTGAGTGTATGAAGATTAAAGCAGTAAATGTTTGACCTGTGTTATTTGACTGTGTATAGCTCACTGTTCAGCTTCACATCTGGTGCTCTTTTCTTCATATACATTAGAGGCAAGTGTGAAACCTAATCTCCTGCCTTTCACTATTCATTTGGGTAGTGTGGATTAAAAGATGGAGGGAAAGCATGCAGGATGATATAGGACATATCAACAATGGCTTGATTTATCTGGATATTTTTGATTCCTTTAAGGATCTTTCTGTATGTGAGTCTGTGGAGTGATGGGGAATATATTCTCCCGCTTAAGACAAGAGGTCCAAGATGTTGTGAGGAATTGTAGATCTCGTGATGAAGAGGAAGATGTTAAAACTATTATTAGCAATTATAGTACTTTAGAAAGAGACCGTCGAAAATGTGCGGAAAGGAGTCCTAATGTGCATCTACAGAGATTTGATAGTGACACTGGGGAAGAGTGGAAAAGTCTTATTAACTTTTCTGCCCCATCAAGATCTCATTATCACTCAAGTCCTTGTATGGAAGGAGAAATATCCAAGTCAGATATATCGAGTTTATGTTCTACTCCTCTTGTTGTTCCTGTCAGTCAGCATAGCTTGACAGCTAATATTCCTAGTTCACGAGAGAGCAGTAGTTATAATCTGTTTCAGGATTTAAATACAAGTTTTGGGAGTGACAGTACAGAAATATTTACTAAAGCAGGTCTTCGAGCCAGATACACCCTTCTTTGTCCTGATAAGGAAAGTATTCATGAAAATATACCAGAGAAACAAACTTCAAAAGTAATTGATTTTTTTAATGTTATTGGCACTCAGAAAGTAGAATTTAGATTAAATTGTTTAAATGACATTTAGTAACTGGATGAGAATAACACATGACACATGGAATACAAGTTACTTGAAGAGTTTATTTCAGCGACGTTTCGACGAGGGTTCTCACGTCTTTATCACCCTTATGGCTTCCCACCCCTTTGATGATTTCCAAATGATTATCTCCGATTTGTATATAGATGTTTGTCTTTGTTCCATATTTTGTATAAATATATATCTTCATTGTCCTATGGTTGTCATTCTTTGCTTGATAAATACGGGAGAACTCCCGTCGAAACGTCGCTCAAATAAACTCTTCAAGTAACTTGTATTCCATATGATTGTGTCATGTGTTAGAATTTAGATGGCTTTTTACACCTGTTTATAATGTTTGTTTTTTCTTTCATTTGGTATTTTTTGTTAAAACTAGCTGGTCAATTACTTGTAATTACTGTAAATCATAAATTATCACAAGTAACAATAATCAATGCACAGTTTTGTTGTCAAGTAAGTCTCACAAAAATATTCAAATTCAGATATTTTTTCAAACTTATCCAAACTGATTTTTTTGGTTATTTGTTAAAAACAATTAGTGGGATTTGATTTGATCACATGTTCGTCAACAACTCTGTAGTTTTCAACAGATGTTTTTCAAGTTTTGTAGGAAGCATTGGAGTCATGAGAGGATAAACCCTACGTATTTCCACAACTTTCTGTTCCAGAGTTATCTTTTCCAAAAATCAAGTGAATGCGATAGAGGCTGTAGATTTCGAATTTGGTGGGAAGCGTTGGGGTCCTTAGACGAACCCTATCGATGTTCAGCATTCCGTGACTTTTCATTCCAGATTTATCCCCACTTTTCAGACATCCTTGTGAACACGATAGAGGCTACAGTTTTTAACGAATCCTGCATAAAAAAACCTATGAATTGATATACATGTATACATGCAGTAACCATTCAGACCCCACCCCCAAAACCCCCAAACCCACCACATGTATAGGTGAGGAAAAACATGTAGCAATCTTCAGTATTTATTCTTTATATTATGGACTATTAATAGTGTATGTGTAGAAGTTTATAATAGAATGATTCATTTATGCCACCACACCCTGGCACTGGAAATAAATATAATTATATTTCTCTTCATTCTGGAAGCCATGGTGGCTAAGTGAGTAAGACACTGGCTCACTAGACTGTAGGTTGCAGATTCGCTTTTGGTGTTGGCCGAGAAAGCTCATCAGTATTTTCCTGCGTATTTTTTCCTTGTCAGTGGTGCAGGACAGCTGTCTAGTCGTTCAAATGGTACTGAAATCAAAGTTCTCCTATAGACAAAGGCATGCATGTAAAGAAACCCTTGCCAGTTGGTAGACTGTAGCACTACTGTCCGGGCAAAATTTCCCTCATAGCACACTGTATGGCGTATGCCCGTCTTCATTTGCCAATTCGAAGTAGGACGTTAAACCCCATTTCATTTCTCTTTAAGTGGCATTTAGCGATTGGAAAACACATTAATAGAACACAATTTTTATGGGAAACAATTTCATTTCATTTCATTTTTCTTCATTATGTTTTATTTTTTTATTATTTGAAATATAGACCATTTTTAAAAGAGATAATAATACATTGACAAAATCATTTAGGTTTTTCTAAAGAATATAAAAATAGAAACAATTTTCCAGTAAGTTAAAATTTCCTATCAGGTAATTTATTCACCGGTTGATTATTTTTATAAGCAATTAATATATTGTGTACGAAATCTAAGACTTGCTCCTCCAGTGTTCTCCCGCTGCTAAAGACTTGCTCCTCCAGTGTTCTCCCGCTGCTAAAGACTTGCTCCTCCAGTGTTCTCCCGCTGCTAAAGACTTGCTCCTCCAGTGTTCTCCCACTGCTAAAGACTTGCTCCTCCAGTGTTCTCCCACTGCTAAAGACTTGCTCCTCCAGTGTTCTCCCACTGCTAAAGACTTGCTCCTCCAGTGTTCTCCAGCTGCTAAAGACTTGCTCCTCCAGTGTTCTCCCGCTGCTAAAGACTTGCTCCTCCAGTGTTCTCCCACTGCTAAAGACTTGCTCCTCCAGTGTTCTCCCGCTGCTAAAGACTTGCTCCTCCAGTGTTCTCCCGCTGCTAAAGACTTGCTCCTCCAGTGTTCTCCCACTGCTAAAGACTTGCTCCTCCAGTGTTCTCCCGCTGCTAAAGACCCCTATGCATAAGTGAATGCATAAATGACCTAGTTTGTGTGGTGTGGATATTAACTCTCTCTCTCTCTCTCTCTCTCTCTCTCTCTCTCTCAATGACTTAGTCTCTCTCAATGACTTAGTTTGTCAGTGGATGTTTAACTTTTCTCTCTCTCTCTCTCTCTCTCTCTCTCTCTCTCTCTCTCACACACACCAAATCAAGCATTTCCTTTTCCTAAGTGAAGTGTAACTGATACAGGAAGTTTGTAAAACAAGTTTTTTGACCTGATATGAGTACTGTTTAACTAGACTACCTAAATATTGTGATAAATAGATATAGGTACAAATCTTTTAGTCTGATAAAATGTCAGAGGGGTCAATCTCCCCAGAATGTTAGTAGAGTCACACTATAGGGAGTATGTCTTTAATAACAACAACCATTTTCTAGATGATAATCATAGTGTAAAGATCTTCCTGCATTTTAACCTTCTAAAACATACAAAAATATATAAATATGTTCATAACCTCATGCGTTTTCTCTGGATACCAGTTATTCCAAATACCCTTGTACATAGAATTATTATAATACAGGGTCTACATGTACTTACTGGTAGTCACAATGGGAGATGCTAATTGTAGGCGGGTGGCTCTCGGCAAACCTCAGCAGATTCCAGTACCCTATATCTAGCCTCAGCTGTATGATGAAGTCCGCCATTGGAACTACTTTCAAGTTCCCGGATTACCAACGATGTTGCCCATGACGCCACCTTTGAAGAATGTTTTATCATACAAATATTTCAAAGTCTGAAGCTGTTTTTCTTTCAAGTTTATTCGATTTTCTTCAAACAAAGACAACTTTGCCCTGAAAATTCTAAACACTCCTCGAACAACGCAATTTTGATAACTTCTTTTTAAAAGTCGGTACTGCATCGCGATTGTATAGGCATAGGCACATATCACTTACCGTCATACAGCCGAGGCTAGATGTAGAGTTACGGAATCTGCTGGGGTTTGCCGAGTGGGCGGATTAGGGAATTTCCAGAGTCCACAATGGTTGCTTTATATAATTGAGTATTTTGGGGAATACTAACCCTGACCCTTTTTAAAGGGGCAAAAGGTAACTTGGATCCAAGTTCAGTCTTTAATTTGTGGTTACTGTATTTGAATGGGAGATGATAAATTTATACATGAAGGACTAAAACCATTTCTTTTTGTGTTTATTTGAATGTGGGGGGTTGGATAGCTGAATGGTTAGCACATGCGCACTGTATCACAAGGCCTGTCATTGAGTCAACTGGCGTGGTTTTGGATCCCTGTTTGTACGTGACAAGGAGTAGAGTCGCCTGTCCAACCATGTAGATTTTCTCTGGATCTTCCGGTTTCCTCCCACTGCTAAAGATCCCTATGCGCAAGCAAATTCTTGAAATAAAATTAAACCATATGTTAGTTTGTGTAGAGTGGACATTAAACCCCATTTCTCTCTCACTTCATGAGAGATGATAAATTTATACATGAAGGACTGAGTACCATTTCTATTTATCTGTTGAAGCAGACGCACTCAATGCCACTCGTCTATTTATTGGTCTGTCTGCCAAATAAATTAATTTAATATGATTATGAATAATATGATGTGTATTATAGATTCTGTAAAGTTACAGTAAAGTTCTCAAATAACCATTCTCTTAAAGATACATTATTTAAGAGCTAAATCTGCTAATTACAGGTTGTTGTTGTTCTTAGTGTTTACCGTCCGCTTCCACCAAAGGGCAGTTGGCATTCGATATAAGAGTAGGCCGTATTGCCACTGCCCGGGCAAAATTTCCCTCATAGCACACTGTATGGCGTATGCCCCTCTTCATTAGCCCAGTTTAGGGGCAAAACAGTAGGACGTTAAACCCCATTTCATTTCATTTCCACCAAAGGTGATATCGCAGACAAGTTGGCTTTTTTTTTTATTTTCATTATCTAAGCGCACGCGCAGGGGTCTTTCCTGTGGGAGGAAACCGGAGTAAACCCACGAGGTTGAGAAGACGCCCCTGTCTCCAAGCAAGTCAGAGGTGGCCGGCCAGCTAGAGGTCGAAGTGTGACACTCTAGACAACTAAGCCATCCCAACCCCCCCTAGAAAGTGGTCCATGATCCATCTGGCCTTACAGGTGTTTATTGTGGCTTCAAATACTATATTTATAAACTACTATTTAGACATTTATTCACATGACAAGTATATAATTAACTCTCTAGACGGAGATTTAAACGGATAAAAAGATGACCGCCAATTAATGATTTAATTTAAAAATGGTGAATTGAGGATTAGTGTTGATATCAAGTAGCATACCATTTTTATGCCATATCTTGTCAAAACTTCAAACAGTGACAACTTAGCTCATAATAAAGTAATTTGAATGGAATTTTCAATATATTCATTTACATTATCTATTTTTGAACTACTATAGCAAAAACGACCAGCTCTTTACATAATGGGGGAGGGGGGGCTGAATGGCTGAATGCTTAGCATGTGTGCACTGTATCATAAGGCCTGTCATTGAGTAAACTGGCGTGGTTTCGATTCTCTGGTTGTATGTGACAAGGAGTAGGATCGCCTGTCCAACCTCATGGGTTTTTACTGGGTTCTCCGGTTTCCTCCCACTGCTAAAGATCCCTATGCAAAAGCGAATTATTGTAATAAAATTGAACCATATGTTAGTCCAGAAATGACCTTAAACTCTCTCTCTCTCTCTCTCTCTCTCTCTCTCTCTCTCTCTCTCTGTACATAATTCATCTTTAACTAACTCTATATCATTTACTTGATAAAGTAAGAAGTATCCTCATTAAAAAGTGATAAAAAGTGATTTAATGATAAATTAAAAAAAAATATATTTATCAAAATGTTGAGGTTTTTCAGTTATCCCTGAGTGACATTTAGTGATTAAGCACATTAAAAAAACACAACACAATTTATATGGAATACAATCACTGGTTTATACACATATAGCACGACGTTTCGACAAGTATTGTCATATCGTTTTCAAGTACAAATGCCATTTGTTAGGACTTTCAGATTTTTTTTTTAGAAGTCTATAAGGCCCAAATATCCCCATATAAGTCCTAGATAATATTGTTTATGTGGATAATTTTTTATTTTATTATTATTTTATTTACCATGTTAATTGTATGGAACGCCTAAGGGCAACACATTTTTTATGTTTTATGTTTCTCGGTGTTTTTACTAATGATTGTTGCGAACAAGGATTTGGTTTTATGTGATTTTTTTTAAAGCGCCACAGAGCTGTCAGACTGACTGAATGTTGTAAATGTTTGTGCCAAATCTATCTACCATACTGACATGCAGATCAGATTGTGTGCATGTGATGGAAAATGACCAGAATATGCCCCCTTTTCACGGTTGATACAAGGGGCCCAGTGTTATTTTCAGCCAGGGGCCCCATACAAACTTAATCTGGCCATGTCGGTTTCATAAAATTACCGAAGACATAGTTATTTGAAACATACTTCAGAAATAATAATAATAATAATAATAGTTTATTCTTATATAGCTCATTACATAGCAGCATAAAAATGGCATAAAATCTCAACGAGCTTTACAATAATAATAATAATATTGTGTCATACATGTAATTATTTGAAACATACTTCGATGGCTCTTAATATAATTGCCTGACTTGTTGCATTGTTTTGTTTATAGTTCATTGGCTGAGAAAGTTAAGTTCAACGGGATTTTCGGACGTGGTTTCCACTTGTCAATGGTGCAGGACGTACGGCCTGACAATGACAGCTGTCTAGTCGTTTGGATCGTACGGAAAACCAAGGCCCTGTGTACACATTGGTGGGCACATAAAATATCTCTTAGCCGTTGGAATTCAGTATAAGAGTAGACCATAGTGCCGCTGTCCGGGCAAAATTCCCCTCGTAGCACACTGTATGGTATATGCCCGTCTTCATAATAGCCCAGTCGGAGCAGAACATTAGGACGTTAAACCCCATTTTATTTCATTTCCATTTGAAACATAATTCAGATGGCTGTTAATATAATGGAATTGTTTTATTAATAGTGACAGTCGTTGTTGTTTGTATTTCAGAGTGGAGCCAAAAAAAGCTCCCCTCAATCAAAGAATTGAAAAAATCGCTCCCCTCATTAAACTCTCCCAGTTTCGATAAGAAGAGTGATTTAGAAATTAAGGAGAGTGATCAGATATTAAGGAGAGTGATTAGTTATGTGCATGGGAAATAGTTCTAAAATCAATAACTGCATGTAATGGGGTCATTCCTGGTTTCATAAATGATAATAAACCCTCAATGCCTATGTAAAGGAGAGCGATTTTCAGTTTTAAGGGGAGGGAAATAAAAATTCCCCTCGGTCGACAGTCAGGTGAACAGCAGGTGCTCGAGCGCGATCACTCTCTGTAAAAAAACAATGACTGTAGCGACTCTAGCGAGTGACCTAATAAATATAGCTGGGTGAAACTTGTTGCATAATGCGTGTGAAATTCATCTGATGTTAGAAAAAGTATCACATTTCTAAAGAGTTCTTAACCCAATATTAACAAGTGTTTTATCGATTTGTATATAAATAACATATGAAATGGTTTGTTGGACTTCTCAGTTGAGTTAATATCAATTGGATTAAAACATGGATCCTATTTCCTTTCATTTTTTATAGTTCAAAATTTCGTTTTAGTTGTCTTTACTACACTAGGATCAGGAAGAGTTGTTATAAGCTGTGTTCTGATTGATGTGAAGGATTATCCAATGAAACAGTCTGTTATGGCGAGTTCTTGGCGTGCGATGCACGGAACTGTGGGTATCCTACTAGAAACATCAACGCTGATCGGTTAATCAAATGTCTGACGTCATAAAGTCAAAAGCCGCTCGTATGACCTCCACTACAACCGGTCAGATCTTCATGTTGTAGAGGCCATCGAAAGTATAAAAAAACAAAAAAAAACGAAAGATAGATCTGTATTTTAATCAGATTAAGTTAATATAAACAATTTTTAAAATGATAAATATTTTATTTTTGCTTGTTTTCAGAAATCTGGGGATCCATTAGAAGGACTAGAAACCAGACAAGATGAGGTGTTGAAGCGTCTTGGTGTATTACAGAGTCGTGTAGGACAACTTCAGGAAAAATATAGTATATCTACATGTAGTAGTTCTAGTATACCAAGCAATTCTGCTGTCGTACCTACAGACATGGAGGTTAGAAATAAACCTATACATGTATTTCATGTTCCACTTTCAGAAATACTGATAATTCTACGAAATATGTTTATATTTTTATACGCACACATTTGCGACAACCTTTATGAACTGTTTACATGTAGATAACTTAGTTGCTGTGGACCTCTGTTTTGCTTCCTGGGGAGTCACGGTGGCTAAGTCGGTAAGACGCTGACTCTCTAGCCTGGAGGTCGGTGTTGGATCCCTGTATTGGCCGAGAAAGTTCATCTAGATTTTCCGACGTGGATCTCCCCTTGTGAGTGGGGGCATGGGAAGGACAGCTGTCCATTCGATCGGATGGGACAAAAAACCAAGGTCCAGTGGACACAATGTTATGCACGTAAAAGATCCCTTGGCAGTTGGAATTCGATATAAGAGTAGGCTGTAGCGCCGTTGTCCAGGCAAAATTTCCCTCATAGCACACTGTATGGTGTAGGCCCGTCTTCATTAGCCCAGTTTGGAGCAGAAAAGTAGGACGTTAAACCCCATTTCATTTCCTGGCAGCCTAAATATTTAGAATCTAGTTGCTGTGTGCCTGTTGTATCATTAGGTCAACTTCTGTGGTTCCAATTCCCCGGTTGCACGTGACAAAGAGTAGGGTCGTCTCTCTAAAGTCGTGGGTTTTCTCTGGGTCCTCTGGTTTCCTCCCTCTGCTAAAGACTCCTATCCGCAAGCGAATTATTGAAATAAAATTGAACCATGCATTAGTCCCGAAATGACATAGTTTGTGTCAAGTGGACGTTAAACCCTATTTCTCTCTCTATTTAAAATCTACGTTTAAAATTTCAACATTTCAATATCACAGGGGTATATATGAAATAGGAAAGAAAAAAAAAAATTAACCTTGAAGTAACATAATTTAGACAGCTGCCTTGGCACTATTCCCACACGTTACACTTTATTAAAGGTGTCTAAATCGAATTATTGAAATAAAATTGAACTATATGTTAGTCCCGAAATGACATAGTTTGTGTCAAGTGGACGTTAAACCCAATTTCTCTCTCTATTTAAAATCTACATTTAAAATTTCAATATCACAGGGGTATATGAAATAGGAAAAAAAAAATGAACCTTGAAGTAATATAATTTAGACAGCTGCTTTGGCACTATTCCCATACGTTAGACTTTATTAAAGATGTGTAAAGATGGTACTGATACATTAGTATATAGGTTAAAGTATTTAACCTAATCCAGGTGTAATAATAATAACGTGGTAAACATTGAATCTATAGAAAACACAAGTTACCATCTATACCATGTGGTATAACATACCTATATTGTCTGGCCTTAACATTCCTAAAATATATAACCGGTATGCCTCTTAATGTGTAATTCCTAACAAAATTAGTTACTTGGTCATATTTATTGAACATTTAAACTGATAAATACAAAACAGATGTTTAGTTGTTCCAAAGAAAAATGCACATTTAGGATGCAGTTTGGCTGGGCAGGACTGATGAAGTTGTGAAGTATTAGGCCATACTAAAAATTATTATGATTCTTAGACAACTTAAAAAATCGCGGAGTCACAGTGGCTTAGTGAGTATGACACTGGCTCGCTAGCCTGGAGGTCGCGGGTTTGCTCCCGGGGTTGGCTGAGAAAGTGTGGTTTCTTTTGTCAGTGGTACAGGACGGAGGACCTGACAAGGACAGCTGTCTAGTCCTTCGGATGATACGAAAAACCGAGGTCCCATGTATACATTGGAATGCACGTAAAAGATCCCTTGGCAGTTGGAATTCGATATAAGAGAAGGCGATAGTGCCGCTGCCCGGGCAAAATTTCCCTCATTGCACACTGTATGGCGTATGCCAGTATTCATTAGCCCAGTCGGAGCAGAACAGTAGGACATTAAACCCCATTTCATTTAATTTTAAAGCAAGAATTTCATATTTTCTAAGAAAGTCAAAACCTATGTCTTTTGCTCAATAGGTTACCAACTCACTATTATATGACCATGGGCATTATTTCCCACCCTTAAAAATCATTGACACAGGAAATAATAACACAATTACCTCCCTTGTTTTCCTATTGCCTCCATGCATTAGCTACCTTCAAACGTTGGAATTTGAAGTTGAAAATGATATTTTTGCCAATTTCTCAGCTGGCAATAGTGAATTATACGATTAATAGGATTATTCTTTAACAAGGTAGGACAGTTTATGGATACCATCTATTTTAAGGCTTTATTTTAATAAATTTTAAAAAAATAACTTAAAAATATGAAATTGTAGCTTTAATGTTTTAAACTGTCACATATCGTATGAAATATTTTTTTTTTCCAGAAAGGAAAGTTCCATGATATTGTTGTGTACCTTGATCCTAGTTCTATACCTTACTCACTGTTAGTATTATACGAAGATCTGAGGAAACGGTTTAACGTTCTTGCTACAACTCATGTTCATTCGTCTGTATTAGACGTACCAGATAATCTTATTAATATATTTAATAATGGTGAGGTCAAATCTCGAAAAGATTATCAGATTGGTTTAACAGTGATATGGAAGAAAGGTATGTACTTAAATATAATTTTTAAATTGACACAGTCAATATCGTTAAAGCTCACCGAAAAATGCTTCATAAATCGTTTAAATAATGTAAGTAATCATGTCAACATATCCTTTCCATAAATATAAAATGACCCTGAATGTCAATGTTACCTTCCACAGGTAAATTTCAACGTTGGCGATTTCTGCAGTCCTTCGTAGGTAGTCGAAACTTTCCGCCAATACACCAGCTGATGTAATTTTAATCCTTCTGATCATATTCTAGTCTATATTTGTGTGAACAGGACTAAAATTACGTCACCCTTTTTTATTAGCAGAAAATTACGGCAGAAATCGCTGATGTTGAAATTTACCTGTGGCAGGTAACATTGACATTTAGGGGTCATTTTATACTTTTATATTAAATATAAAGATGAGAAGAGCAACCATTGATTGTTCTCAGACATGTTACATTTCAAAGAATGTACAGGAGTTGCGGGGCTGAATGGTTAGCGTGTGCGTGTTGTATCATAAGGTCTGTCATTGAGTCAACAGACGTGGTTTCGATTCTCTGGTTGTACGTGACAAGAAGTAGAGTAGCCTGTCCAACCTCGTGGGTTTTCTCCGGGTCCTCCAGTTTCTACCCACTGCTAAAGACCCCTACACGCAAGTGATTTATTGAAATAAAATAGAAGCATATGTTAGTCCCAAAATGACCTAGTTTGTGTAGAGGAGGCTAAACTCCACACTTTGTAAGTTATGATGATCGCTTACTTTCCTTCAAATAAAATCTTTTTCTGTTCATATATTGCAAGTTGATATAAGAGTAGGCCGCAGCGCTGTTCTGACAAAATATCCCACATAGCCTGTCTATTTAAGCCCAGTTGGAGTAGAACAGTAGGATATTAAACCCCATTACATTTTATTTCCTTGTTTTCTAATGGCAAGGTCTGTATTGAAAGTTTCCGGCGTGGTTTCCCCTTGTCAGTGATGCAGGAAGGAGGGCCTGACAAGGACAGCTGTCTAGTCGTTCGAATGGGTCGAAAATTTCCCTCATAGCACACTGTATGGCGTATGCCCATCTTCATTAGCCCAGGTTAGGAGCAGAACAGTAGGACGTTAAACCCCATTTCATTTCATTTCTGTATTGAAAGATAATTTTCTTACATTTCTCCAGTTATCTCCCTTGTTGTATTACAGTAACTAATGGAGCTGTTTTAATGGTGGATCCTTATAAACAGTCGGCAATAGAAGGGGAAGTAAATATAGCCAGATATTTACAAAGATTACTTAATTCTCAGTACGACTCGCAGGATATCATCGAGGCTACTCAGATAGACGAGTGGCTAGACACAGCTCAAATACAATATCTTGATGGCAGCAACAAGGAAAGAGCCGCGGTGCTCAGGTCACTTAATGCTCGGTTCGGAAAAAATATTTGGCTCGTAGGCGATAAGTGTTCGTTAGCAGACATTACTATGTGGTCCGCCTTGCAACAATCTGGACAAGTTACTGATATACCAGCAAATGTTAAAAAATGGCTGACAGCTTGCAATTCCGAGCCTGGATTTTCAAGTGCTTTAAAACTCGTTGGTTAAATTATACAACATAACTGTGATATAAAGCTAGAGTTGATTTATTTCTAATTTGATTTGACACATTTTAAGGAAATAAAATAAAGGAAAAATAAATTAGTGTTTTGTGTTTGTCAAAGCTTATTTATTTATGTTTGTTAAAGATACATTATGTAAGATTTCGATAAAGAGTTGACTGTTGTTGCTATCAGTCCACAATTGACAGAAACAAATAGCCAAACATTATTTTTTGAAAACGTAAGATACATTATGTAAGATTTAGGTAAAGAGCTGACCATTCTTGCTATAATAGTTCAAAAATAGATAATCTAAAATGAAAATATTGAAAATTTCATTCCAATTACTTCATTCTGTGCCAAGTTATCACTTTTTGTAGTTTTTGACAAATTGTGTGCATTGTAGTAACCAGGGCACTGGTATATTCAAGAATTAGCCTCGCTTTCCCATTTTTAAATTAAATTTTTAAATGGCGAACTGTTTTAATCTAGTGAAAATCTCAAGTATCTGATGCCATCAAGAGTTGATTTTGGTCTTGTTTTATTAATAAATGTCTAATTAATATAATAGTTTAAATAACATTTCAGACCTAAAGAAAGACCTGAAATTGGCAGATTTAGCTCTTGAATAATGTATGTTTAAATGTATTTTTTCTGACTTCAACTATATACAATAGAAACTCATCATTAGAAATCTCAATATGTTTGTTTGTTCAGTTTTATTAGGTTTCATTTAATTAATAGAAATTATTTGATTATCATTACACATTTACACACTTCTAAAGCACACAACTGCCACAATACGGGTTACAAAGATATATTATAGAGCAGGACAATATTACATGTTAAAACATAATAAAACGGAATAACAAAAAAGTAAACTTGATAAAGATCTCAGATTCACATACCATTCTCAGACTTAAGTTAAGAATTTACTCAAAATGGTTAGCCTTGTTTTAACTAAAATATCGCACTTTATAAAACTTTTATTGTTTAAATGTATCAAATACATCAATAAGTAACTATGTGCAAAGTTTTGTGTTTCTGGATCAAAGATATTTCTCATAAACAGTGATTGAAAGTTTAGTAAATTCTTAACTTAAACATACATTATGCAAGAGCAAAATCAGCCTATTGTAGGTCTTTCTTTAGACCCAAAATGTTATAAAAACTATTAATTAGACATTAATTAGCTTATACAAACCATAATCAACTCTCGATGGTAAGGCTAGCCTGTGATATTTGTTGGATTATAGTTCGAATTGCTGCAAAACTTTCCCTTCGTGATTAACGATTAAATGGATAATCGAGACTATTAGTATTGTCTTACCAACTTTAGTAATGATGATCGAGGCTAAGCGGAACTTTGACCCGCTTAGTTCTCGGTTCATAGTGGATCAATTTGACTGAAATTTTCAGCAAATTGCTTTTACAGTATGTAGTTTTTAACTATTGTAGTGAGAATTGCCAACTCGTTATCTAATCTTCCATAATGTATCTTTAAGTCTGAGAATGCTTTGTGATCCGATTATCAGATGCAACATGTAAGATTTTAAAATGTAAATTACTGGTAAATAACGATCAGTCTGCAATCATTTAGAATGTTGTACATCAATAACATGTATATGTCTAAATGGTTAGATACATTATAAGAGATTATAATTACATGTATTAAAGATACATTATGGAAGATTAGATAAAGAGCTGGCAGTTCTCACTGTAATAGTTAAAAACTAGATAATGTAAATGGATTATGCTGAAAATTTCAGTCAATTTGTTTCAGTCTAAGCCTAGAAAATATTATTTTGAAATCTCTGTAGCCTCGATTGTCATTGTTACCACTGTCACGATTATTAACAATGTCATGATTAACTATACTTATTGTAGCCTTCACATGGTGTATGAAATTCTTTATAGAACTGGATGGAGCAGAAAAGTAGGATGTTATATAAACACCATTTAATTTCTTATAGAAACAGAATTGTAGAGTTGTATATACATGTAAGAAATAGTTGTTTCTCTTTATATATTTCACATCTGGTCATTATTTCCATTGTAAATATGAAATAAATTTTATCAACTCTTAATTTTAGACGGAGGAAAGCTTTGTGTCTATCAGATTAAAACACAGATCCTATTTTGTTTTGTTTTTTATAGTTAAAATTTCGTTCTACTTGTCTTTCTGTGTTCTGAATGATGTGAGGGATTAGCTAATGAAACGGTCTGTTACGTGGAGTTTTTGGTGTGGGGTGCACGGAACTGTGGGTAACCCACTAGAAACATCAAAGCTGATTGGTTAATCGAATGTCTGACATCATCGGGTCAAAAATCGCTCGTATGTCCTCTGATGCTACCTTCCACTACAATCGGTCAAATCTTAATGTAGGAAAGGCCATCGAAAGTATAAAAAATACGAAACGAAATATAGATATGTATTTTAATCAGATTGGCTTTGTTTCTGGTTTATGTTCCAATCATTAAAGATGGGTTCCCAGAAAAGTATTTATCGGCTGGTTATTTTCAATAAAAGTATGGCAATTTTGGTATATATGAAAAGTAGAGATATCCAATCTTACTAGAAAAATACTGGATTCCCTGAAAAACACTGATGGAGCGTATACAGGACAAAAATGTATGTGTTCCCCTAATCGACAGCCCGATTAGGCATATCTGTACGTTTGACGTCAAATGTTGCATGCGGAGATTGAGCGCTTGATGTACATGTTGATAAACTTTATGAAGAGTTAGACGTACAACACTTTCTGAGATAAAAATCACGCAAAAAGAGGTGGGCAGTGGATAATCCGAGAATTTGATTAGGATTCGATATTTGTAATAAATAGTAAGCGATTAAAGACAACATCGTCTTATGTATGCAATGAATTCTCCTCCGACTTCGCACCCGTTGCTAGGTACCGAGAGAGGTAAGTCACGTGACACAAACATGACCTCTTTTGATCGATTTTTTATAGCAGGGGTATTCCTTGGCATTTACAATGTTTTGAGAAGGATTTGAAGCAAAATTATGATAAATTAATTAGTTTGAATATGTTTTTGGTCCAAATATAACATTTTATAACCCAGTTTTTACGCGGGAATGTATCATTAAGAACAGGCCGACAATCTGCTTTGTGTTAAGGGAGATACCTGACTTTAAGAACAGGACCACGAGCTGCTTTGTGTTAAGGGAGATGTGTCCCATCAGATTTCTATTGGGCCAAAAAAAATTAATATACAGTGTTCTCAGATACTCACGTGTCACTTAAAAAGAGACTGCATGACTATTTTTTATTTTTTAAAAATGAGGAAAAAAAAAACAGTCTTATTAATTACTGCAGGTGGGAGTTTCCCCGGGTTGTAGGAAGTAACTCTATTAAAAAAAATTAAAAAAAAATAAAAAAAATTAATGAATCTGGGAAATATCCTGGTGATTCAATTAACAATTCTACAAACCTGATAAATGTTATTAACAATCTTAATTCGTACTGGATAATCATACATTAAACAACATGAGATAAATGATACTGGATAATCATACATTCAACAAGTTGATAAGATAAATGAAGTGTATATGAATGTGATGTTTATGAGAAGTCATTTAGTCAAGTCGTGATCCTTAGACAAAAATAAAACCTCCCTCAGACATCAGATTTTTGGTAAGGAATGTCTTGAGAACCAGAATATTTTTTTTTCTCCAAAATTTTCAAAACCCGGGGCGGAGATCCCAAAGATACATTGTCTCAGGAACATGCCCCCCCCCCCCCGGCAAAAATTCCGGGATCTGCCCCTGTCTTATGCTGATGCTGATTGAGTGAAAATATCGCACATCTTTTAAAAATTCTGAGCATGTGCCATGTATTGACAGCAGTCACAAGTATCCAAGTTGATCTTATTGGTCCATTGATTCTGAAATTATCACCAATTTCTGAGTTAAAGTAAATCATCTGTGGGTTACAATGGAGGCTACGATGATCAATATATCTTTTATACGATGCGCCCACATTTGATCAAATACCTATCATTGGTTTCGTTCTCTCATGACCCGAATGATTCACACCCAAAATTTATGATAACAAATGTAGCTACATTCATGATTGGAACAAAGAGGGGTGGAAAGTCGCTGAAAGCTGAATATAGAGTTCATTCCTCCATGGCCACAGTGCTTCACACTAAATTGTAAAAAAATGTTAAAAACCGGTAACCTCTTTTACGTTCACGAGGTTTTCGGCAAGGGGGTAGAACACCGGAACAGAAAGTTGCAGAACACTGACTATCGAAAGAATGCTAAATATCGATAGTGTTTTTACTATTAATAGTCACATCTGAAAACAATCCGTTAAAAACTATAGTAGGCCTATGTATTGCGATCACAAGGTTTTCGGAACGGAAAGTCCCAAAACACTAAATATCGATTGAATACTGATAGGGGTTATCCTCTTAATGACCACAACGTTTCACACCAAGGTTGGAAGCAACCCGTTCCTATCGCGTTCATACGGTTTTTGGCTAAGGGTGATAACTCTGGAATCAATATTCGTCGAAAGCTGAATATCGATAGGATTTGTCATCTCATGTCCCGAATGCTTCACATCAGTTTTGAAAAACAAATCCGTTAAAAACGACAGCCTCTATCACGTTTACAAAGTTTTCGGAATGTGAGGTCACTACTGTAGCCTACTCTATGGCGGTATATTAAATTCAAAATTCTGACATGCTATCGTCTAATTTTTAACTTCTATTCATGTATTTTCTAAATAAAGACAATGTATAAAAAAAATTCTAACGTTCTATCGTCTAATTAGGTTCTACTAACTTCTTCTATTCATGTAATTTCTAAATTAAGACAACGTAGGCCCTATAATCCAATTTCTTTATTAATTGTTCAGTATCAATTTTAAATTTATTTCACCTCATTTCTATTATTAAGACGAAAAATGTCGACTTCCTTGTCGCTTTACATGTGTAGTATGAACGTGGAACAAATTAAAAATTTTCACACTTCTACCTAACACCCATCATTATGACGTCGCCACCGTGTGCTCAATTTGGTGATTGCGCACATGATCGGGATCATTAAGTTGATACAAAAACCCGCTTTTCGTCAGTTTGAATGGTTTGTCGGAGTGTTAAAACTGAAAGCAACATCGAAGGTGATAAGGGTTTCAAATATTGTTTCATAATCTAAACAGCATTTTTTAATTTTTAAAAAGACAAATGTAGGATTTGGAGAAATGTATTACAGTTGAGCCAATTAATATTTATATATTGGTCTATATTCTATTATTGCTCTAAAAAAAATATGTCACTTTCTGCCATCCGAAAGACTAGCCACAGCCCTTGCCAGATCCCCGTCCTGTATCAATGACAAGGGAGGGAGAACCACGCCGGAAGATATCGGTTATATCATAGGAATATATTTCTATGGGTTATATAACATCGTCAGCTAGTATATTCACTGGCAAAACTAAGCTTTATAATATTTTTGACATTTGTGATTGTGGAGGCTGTCGTTATTGTCTAGTAGTCGTTCGTAGACCCGTACGTAACTAGCGTACGAAAATTAAATGTTAGCTGGCTTTTTTTTCGCACGTATACAGAGAATGGCCATTTTGCTCAGTAATCCCAGCCAGAATTTGGCTATTTTTTTTAAAATTGCGTTAAAGTTTTAAATTTTTGTTTAGAACTGAAATAAATTAACCTTTAGTCAATCCCCACGCTAAAAACATTAACAGAATTGATTGTGTATATCTGAAATAGACACGACCGAAGCACAAAATAGTGCCAATATGCCGACGTCAAATCTAGAGTTGTAGATGATGTTATTTTTGTGAAAAATCATTGGAAGAAGCGATAAGACGTTCTGTACGGATTATACAGTCCTAAAGGCTGCAAGAAGGCTATTGTTTACAATGTAACATTGTGTCTTGTAATGTTGATAATGATCATAATGATGGTGTTTACATTTGTTTGTTGATGTGACCTCATGACCTGTGACGTTTAGATACCGTCATACGGATATCATGGCTATTCACTGTGCCAGAGTCACTTCTCTGCAGGTAGGGTGAGTCTGTCGTTCAGATTGTCGTAGACCGTGGCCCCGCTGTCCCAGCGGCGGATCCAGAGCACCCCCCACCTAGCTACATAAAAAGGTTGTAAAGCAACACTTTTTATGATAAAAGTGTCACGGTGCTTTATCGTCAGTTGTTGGGATTGGATGGGCATTCAAAACCCGAGATAATGATATAGACCCGAGATAATGATATAGGCATATATGTATGTGATATGACAATATACATGTAGTATACTGTTTGTATGAATGTATAGAGTTGTAATATGTATCATTAAATTACAGTATATAGACTATGTCTAAGTGTATATGTATGCATGCTGTCCATAATGGACGTTTGGATGCAATAAACATCTTATCTTATCTCATCTTATCAATTATCGCTTTGCTTCAAGGGAGGTTACATGGCCGAATGGTTAGCGCGTTCGCGTTGTATCATAAGGTCTGTCATTTAGTCAACTGGCGGGGTTTCGATCCCCCGGTTCCCCCGGATATTTTTTTTTCGGATCCTCCGCTTTACTCCCAATGCTAAAGACCCCTACGCGCAACCGAATATATTTATTTACATAAAATTGAACCATGATGTTAGTCCAGAAATGACATAGTTTGTGCAGTGCCGGACTGGGCCCACCTGTCCGTGACAAGTCGGCCTAAGCTCATTAAAAAAAGAAAAAAAGATAAAAGAGAGAGAAAAGAGAAAGAAAGGAGAGGGGGGGGGGGAGAAAAGAAAGAAGGGAGGAGAGGACAGGAGACAGGACAGGAGAAAGAAAAGATAGGAAAAAAATGTACTAGAATTCTCAAATTCATCTAATGATAGTGCTCTTAGGTCATTCTGTTATCTAATTGTATCAGGAAATCAAACATTTGCCTTCTTGTGCTTTGGTCTGAAATGCTTGGAAAATGGGTTTGCGGTTGTCAATTTTCAAAATTTTCTTGGGGGGAGAGCCCCAAAGACACCCCCCGGACCGCGCTCGCGACACGCCTTCGGCGGGTACTTTTGTGGGCCTTGGTCAATGAGTTTGTGTCGAATGGACGTTCACCCCACCCCTCTTTCTCTCTCTCTCTCTCTCTCTCGCTTTGCTTCAAATCACAATGTCATCGTATTAATTCATAATAAAAATTGACGGCAAACGGGGTATTGGATTTCCCTTTTTAAAAAGCTCAGTATGTATGTAGGCCAAAATGACGATAGAGACCATGTATTTCTAAAAAATGTCCTGGCTAAATTTCCCTCATGACACACTGTATGGCGGAAGTCCGTCTTCATTAGCCCAGACTGGGAAAGTTTCATATTATAAATCATGTTCCTGAAGCAACGACCGCGAGTTATACAACATCTAGACGTACGAAGTTAAAGCGAGATCTAGCCTTCAATTGAAGAAGGGAGGTTGGTATGGAAGACCAAATGGGACAATATTCATGATTCTTGTTTCTACATTCCAGTTTGAACATTTTAGACAAGAACGCAACATTCTAAACTAATGATTCTTGTTTCTACATTCTTATGTCAACATTTCATGCACAAAATCAACATTTAAACAAAAAATTGACTTTATGTTTCATTTTCGGCGTTTTATCGGTAACTTTTATATATCATTAAATATTAAAATTAAAAAATAATTTCTTTATTTTACACGACAAAGAAATCAATTCATTGGTTTCTGAAAGTATCTAAAAAGAAATCTGGAATTTGAACTCTTATGAAAATATTTTCTACGTTTCAAAAAGTCTTGAAGTTAAAATCTTGAAATGAAAATGTCCAGAAAAAAATATAATGAATTATCAACATTATTACACCAGTTACAATCTAGTTATACGAAGTTAAAGCGAGATCAAGCCTTCAATTGAAGATGATTATAAATTCGCGCTTCACTAAAAATCTATATTTAGACTTCAATAAAATAAATGTAGGCCGACATACATGTACCTGTCACTTCCTCCACTATACAGGCCAAATAATGAGACGAATAGAGAATTTAATATACTGTTACGTAGTACAGAAGTTAACCCATTAATGTGACAGAATGAATGTGGTTTTCCTTAGTCAGGATATGTATATAATATACGGATATTCCATTTATATACCCGGATGTTGTTGACTAAAAACTGCGCGTTAATTCCCGACTAAAATGTTGGAGAACTCACCCATTAACATTTTATTGGGTGAAATTGATTATTTATGTCAGTTCAAACACATGATTATCATTAAGATAATAAACTCGTGTTGGGCTGAAGTCCAGTAAAATGTGAATTTTAAGCTTATCAAACATTCAGTAAGTACAAGTGACCATTGATAAAACAGAACCGATAGTTTGTTAGATGTTGATATGGTTAAGATGGGTATCATCTTAAAATTATTATGTGTTTTGGTATTGGTGTCGGGAATTCTGCCTACACCCTTAGACGACTATGTGAATAAACCCGATGCTACTTATAAATATTTCGAAATCACTCATTATGTGCATGAAGATCATACCTTGTATATTCTTAACATGACGTCACAGACATGGTTAACAGGTAAGTAATAAGAGAGAGAGAGAGAGAGAAATGGGGTTTAACGTCCACTCGACACAAACTCGGTCATTTCGAGACTCACATATGGTTTAGTTTTATTTCAATAATTCATCTCATTTACTGTATTCTTATTACTTACCACGTGACAAGGAGTAGGGTCGCCTGTCCAGTCTCGTGGGTTTTCTCCGGGTCCCCCGGTTTCCTTCCACTGCTAAAGACCCCTACGCGCAAGCGAATTATGTAAATAAAATTAAACCATATGTTAGTCCCGAAAAGACCTAGTTTGTGTCGAGTGGACGTTAAACCCCATTTCTCTCTCTACCGTAACACCTCACTGGTTTGCACGGATAAAATGAATAGTGAGACCTTTTATGCGTCTTCACGCTGTCACATGTGTAAACATAAAATAGATATTTGAGAAACGTCCTTGGTGAATAATATAAGTAGGCCAATAATAATATGATAATATAAAATATAAAGAAGACGGTGTGTGAATTTTTATACGTATGTATAACATGAACGACAAATATATGGTTGGTGTAATTCATCATTTATATATTTGGATCATGCCGTGTCTTTAAATTTTTTATAAACCAGATAAATCACCGGTGTCAACTTGATGCATAGGGGTACTGGGTACAGACACGATGAATGTTAGGTGGGGGTGGGGTGGGGAGCAGAACCTGAAATGCCGGCCGTCTGCGAGAGGCGAAAGAGCGGAGCTTACGTGTAGCCCCCTCCCCACCCCCAAAGAAAATTTGACGACCGCAAAGGCGTTTTCCTGCTATTCCAGCCCGTAAATACAGTAACTTCAAAGTGGTCAAATATAGGCAACCTTAGGTGACTTACCGGAATCCCAAACAAGCAAAGTGGTCAAATACAGGCAACCGTAGGTGACTGACCGGAATCCAAAACAAGCAAGCAATCGTTGTGGGATGGGGGGGGGGGGGAGGGGGGCTCGCGCTCCCCGAGAACATTTTGAAAATGCGTATTTCTGCTATTCTAGTCGGTGAGTTAAGCAGCTTTAAACTTTCCAAACGGTTTGCAACCGAAATCCCGCTCATTGCTGACCCGAATTCTAACCATCCAATCAGGCTATTTCAGCTGCATTCACAAATAATGATCGATGCCCGAAAAATATCGCACAAAGTGGAGTGGCTCCAGCCAAAATGTTTTAATCCATAGTCAATTCAGTACAAATCCATGGTCTTCAATTAAAAGAAAAGTAAAATTGGCGTTTTATTAGATTTCGGGCACTTTATTTTGCCAATTAGATAAAATAATAATTTTTGTTTTCACTTTACCCGTCTGCCCGAAAAGTCAGACCGCCCAAAAGTTAGGGGGCAGCCGCCCCCCCCCACCCTGCCCCGTACTTTAATAATTACATTTCCCTGTTTTTGTTTTGTATATATTTGGAACTCAATCAAAATATTAAAGGGGCATTATGTAAGATTTAAATATAGTGCTGACAGTTCTCGTAATAATAGTTTAGAAATAGACAATGAAAAGGGATTATATTGAAAATTACAATTTAATTACTTTATTCTGAGCGAAGTTGTGAATAGCTTAGTCTCGATTTTCATTTCAACCGTTGTTACGATGATAAACAAAGTATCGATTATCCATTTTTAAATTAAATTATTAATTGGCGTGTTTCAATCCATTCAAAATGGCGACCATCCGATGAGTTGATTATGGGCTTGTCATGTGAATAAATGTCTTATTAATGATTTATGTAACATTTTAGGCCAAAATAAAGACCCGCAATAGGCAGATTTAGCTCTTTTATAATGTATCTTTAATTAAAGTAACAGTTAATGTGTTTAATGACTTTCAGAGGATATTGTAGAAAAACCAATATGGTGGCACTATCTAACAGTTACTATACCACACGTTATCAGATATCCTGATGCAGCGTTTATGTTTATTGAAGGTGGATCTAATACTAATGGGTAAGTGATGGCGAAATCTATTTGTTAAGGTCAGCTCAGTTTTTGTCAAAGTCCCCAATTTAAACTGCAATTAGTAAACAAGCTACCTTACCGGCTAAATCTATTTGTTAAAGCCAGCTCAGTTTTTGTCAAAGTCCCCAATTTAAACTGCAATTAGTAAACAAGCTACCTTACCGGCTAAATCTATTTGTTAAGGCCAGCTCAGTTTTTGTCAAAGTCGCTGAGATGTAAATAAGGTTAAGGCACGTGATTGTTGGCGAGATTGTGGTTTAGGGTTAAGATAAGCATTGGGGCTAGGTCCTCGGTTAGGATTAGGGTTGGGATTAGCGCTAGCCCTGTTTCAATCTCGTGATCTATGACGAGAAATTGAGCTGGCCTTATCATTTAGCACTAACAATGGGTAAGTTCATATTTGAAGACAGCATCATCACAGGATGTCTGCTAGTTTTACGACAAAATCACATACGTATTTTGTCCACAGCATTAGGTCACAAAATGAATCAATTTTAAAGTAGCTAAGTCTCTAACTCAATATCATCCAAAATCTTCAACATTAAAAACACAAATTATTTGTCAATTTAAATCAACATTGATGCTGTGATCTTACAGGAAAAGGATGGGCTTCTGATATCCAATATTTAAGACAAAATAATCATTTTGCCATTGGTACACGAATCGTGTACTATAATGCGTTTCAGCCCCAGTTCTAGCAAGAGACTCGAGGAACGAGGCTAGACATTGCACCAAACCTAACGGCGTATGTAGACTGGAATAACCAGGCGCTAGAAATTTGCATTCGATTGAGACTACGGGCTTATTTCGCGGAACATAACTGATTTGAAATTAGAGTAAAAACGGAAACCATTGAATGTATATCAGTTTATATACATTCATATTACAGTATTATATGAGTTGCGACACACTTGTGTCAATTTCTAGGTCCCAAATGTTAGCGATTTAGCTCCTTTAAGAGAAATTTGTCATTGACCTTTTTCAAGCGGCAATTGGGGAAAACCAAATTTAATCCACAGTATTAGGTCACAAAGTGAATCAATTTTAAGAGAAATTTGTCATTGAACCTATTTAAGTGGCAATTGCGGGAAATCCGTATCTTTACTGATGAACTTGTTCAAATATCATATAAATAGACATCTCCAAGGTCATGTTATCAATATTGTGTTATCTGCTGGAGAAATAACTTCGAGATTGAAAGATTGACGTATCAGGGTCGTATCTTCGAAGAAAATCACGAAGAGTCCAATTCAGTTTATAGCAGTTTATTTTTCCCGCAGTGTTACCGCTATTCTCCAGAATCATTATCCACGTATAAGTCAAATTTAGGGAACACGCGAAACTCCTCAAGTGCACTACATGTACTTCTAAAACTTTTTAAGCTTGGTTTTGTTTAAAATTCATCGGGATTTTCCGGCGTGACCCCCCCCCCCCCCGCGCCAGTGGTGTAGGACGGGGGCCTGGCGAGGGACAACATATACCGTAGTCGTTCGGATGGGACAAAAAGTCGAGGTCCCGTGTACATATTGGCGTGCAAGTAAAATAAGCCTTGACAGTTGAAATTCGAAATAAGAGTAGGCCATAGAGTCCATATTCGGACAAAATATCCCTCATGTGGTAACCGGAAAAATGTTTATGTAATATGGAATACTCAATGGGACAATATTTAATGATTTTTGTTTCTGCATTGCAGTTTGAACATTTTATATACGAAAGCAATATTTTTAACTAATGATTGCTGTTTTTACATTTTTATGTCAACATCGTCATTTGCAACAAGAAATTGATTCGTTTTAAGCATTTTAATTGGTCTACTATACTGCAAAACTGTTTCCGTAAGGGGGGTGGGGGGTTGGATGGCCGAATGGTTAGCACGTGCGTGCTGTATCATACGGCCTGTCATTGAGTCAACTGGCGTGGTTTCGAATCCCCGGTTGTACGTGACAAAGAGTAGGGTCGCCCGTCCAACCTGGTGGGTTTTCTCCGGGTCCTCCGGTTTCCTCCCACTGATAAAGACCCCTACGCCCAAGCGAATTATTGAAATAAAAAATTAAACCATATGTTAGTCCCGAAATGACCTAGTGGACGTTAAACCCCATTTCTCTCTCTCTCTGTTCCGTAAATTATGGTCATATAAAGACGTAAAATGGTGAACTATCCGGTTGAGAATCAATGAAATAAACGAACAGCTGGTTCGGTCTTTAATACCTTTATTGTTAATAACCCAGTATCAACTATCAAAAATCATTCTATTTCTAGAACATAAAGGATCAATACTACCAAAAAATGAGAGATAAAGTACAATTATTTGAATAATATCCCTTTTGTTTGTGGAAAATAAATTACTTTTTCTATTTTCAGCCATCCCATTTATCACTGATACTTTATTAATACATATTTCAAATGTTTTCACTTTTAAAGATACATTCCCGGGTACAAACTGGGTGATTTGATGATATATTTGGACTAAAAACATATTCAAACTAATTAATTCATCATGATTTTGCTTCAAATCCTTCTCAAAACATTTTAATTGTCAGGGAATAGCCGGCTATAAAGAATCGATCAAATAAGGTCATGACACAACGGGTGCGAGGTCGGAGGAGAATCCATTGCATACACAAGACAATGTTGCCTTTATCGCTGACTATTATTACAAATATCGAAGCCAAATTAAATTCTCGGATTATCCACTGCCCGCGTCTTTTCCCGTGATTTTTATCTCAGAAAGTGTTGTACGTCTAACTCTTCATAAAGTTTATCAACATGTACATCAAACACTCAATCTCCGCGTGCAACCTGCGACGTCACGCGTGCAGACACTCCTAATCGTCGGTCTGTCGATTAGGGAAACCCGTACATTTTTGTCCTGTATGTGCTCCATGTGTGTTTTTCAGGGAATCCATTATTTTTCTGGTAAGATTGGATATTTCTACTTTCCATATATACCAAAATTGCCATACTTTTATTGGAAATAACCACCCGATAAATACTTTTCTGGGAACGTAGCTTTAATAGGAATTAACTCATTTTAACTCATTAATATTGAAGAAATAGAGGATATTTGTCGTTTTGTCGTGAATAACATATTTTATTTTATCTCTAAGCAAGAAAACGTTTATATTTTCACTCATGCTACGCATTCGTGAAAATATAAACGTTTTCTTGCTTAGAGATAAAATAAAATATGTTATTCACGACAAAACGACAAATGTTCTATTTATTTTATGATTTTACAATCATTTTAGGTAAAAACAACTAGCCAGTGGAATAACATATTATTTCACTGATAAAACGCGGTATTCCACTACTGATCATAAAATAAATTGAAGAATTCTGTCAGTTTGGGGTAGAATACTAGGATAGTATGTGGTTGTATTTAGTAGTATCGGGTTAGAATATTGGGAAATATTTGCTAACAACCATCACCCCCCCCCCCCCCCCAAAAAAAACCCCAGCAGTCGTTTGCAGATTTTTTAATCTTGACCCCAGTTCTTGTAAACGTTTTACAGAACAGGTTATCGAAAGGTTCTTTTCTTCTAATAAAGAATGAACCATGTTGGAATTTTTTCCATAGTTATTGAAACCCAATAGACAGTCTAAAATCAACGTTTATGAAATGGAGTTACCTGCCCTTTGAATCACACTATAACATACTGCGACGTTCTCGCTTCAGAACACGCAGCTGCCGGTGAACTATGTTTATACGAATATGTAAAATTATTCAAGAAGTGATTTTGTTTTTATTTTCCCGATAACCAGAGTTCTTATTATCGTTTTCAGGCCCCCGACGGGAACTGACAATTTTGTTGCCCTGACAACAGCCATGGCTGTGAGCACCGGTGCTATTGGTGCAGACTTGAAGATGATACCAAATCAACCAGTAGTTTTTAAGGTATATTGTATGGGTTTATCTTTTGGTTTAAGTAGGCATTGGGTAATAATAGAGGTGTGTTATTCGGGTGATTTGCTGTCATAAATTACAGTGCCATCCAGTCTGTAAATAATCTGTGTTATAAATTAAAGCGCAAAATAATGATTAATCTAAAGAGTTTAGCTTGTCGTATCATCTTCAAAAGGCTTGATCCCGCTGTTGTAAAAAAGTCGCGGTGGATGCCTCAGGAACACGCTGTCGTATATGATCAGTTCTTTATCAAGAAGTATCAATTGAGCTGGCCTTAACAAATAGATTTAACCGTCCTGGGCTATTCCAATTATGAGAGCAACGAGGGGAGGGGGTGTTCTCAGGCGGTGCTGTAAAATTGACGGGCAATGTATATTGTTATTATGCCCCCCCCCCCCCGGGCCTGGATGGCGGAAGTTTAAGACTACAGTGCGTGAAAGAAAGGCTTATAACAGTGTCATCTGGTGGTCCTTGACTTTAGTCTGCTTAAATCAGGTACTGATAACCTAGTAGGTGATGGATAGATTTAAAGGCCCCGTGGTCCGCTATATCCACCATTGAACACTGAACTATATAAATTATTTTAGGCTGATCCGACACACCAACGTAGATCTGAGGATGCCATCATTGCATGGACTTGGAAGACATTTGTTGAATCCAATGGTTCAAATCCAGAAATTCTTCTCAGAATGCCAATGACAAAGGTAAACTAATATTTATGTTATCTTTTAGAAGATTATAACGTTCAGTAAGAGCGTCTATAATACCCCCGTCAGATCGGGGGTGGGGGTGGCGTCCTTACTGCGCTGCTAGGGCGTCAAGATCGTCATTAGCGTGGTAAAAGTGTGATGGAAACGGCAGATATCGTGCTGTGGTCTCCGTGGTCGCCAATGATCCCCGAGTCACGGTGTTTGTTTTGAGCATGTTCAAAACAAACGCCAAGGTTCTGCGATCTGACCTGGGAAGCTGTGAGAAAGCGACTTTTTCAAGTTAGTAAAATTTTTTTGACATTTTCTCGCGCGGTGTTCACGTTTGCCGGCGACCTTATGCATTGTCTGGTCGCCGTACGGTCGCAGCAGCTCAGTAAGGACGCCGCCCGGTCGGACGGGTTTTTTAGTAAACATGTAGCATTTGAGAGATGTGGAAAGATATCGGGTATCCGATGCTGTTGCAAGTCGTTGCCATTGAAAAAAACTTTTTTTTTCACTAGTATGGATCGGATCGGTAGGTCAAGTGACTCGTTGGGGAAGTCAATCATTACGAATAAATCCACCGAACATCAATCTGATTAACACACAGATCCAATTTCGTTTCGTTTTTATAGTTCAAAATTTCGATTTGACTTGTCTTTACTACACTTGGATCTGGAAGCGTTGTTATTTAACTCGTGTTCTGCTTGAAATGAGGGGTCGAATCGAGCGTTTGACCTTTTTTGCGCGGAACTGTGGGTAGACATTAGCGGCAATAGAAATCAAAACAAAGCAAAAGTAGATAAAAAAATACATGGCGGTCGCTAATTGGTTAATCGAATGACTGACGTAATCGGGTCAAATGTCACTTGCTTGGTACCTGACGTCATAGAACGTGAACTCCCACTATAACTTGTTAGATCTACATGTAGTGTAGCACACTGATCCGCAGTGAATAAGGATGACATTGATGCGGCTTAATGAGCTAGAAATATTAACTTTTTTCCTGCGACAAATTAAATTTTAAAACATTTTTTGTATATATTGGAAAAATAAATAAAGGCGTTTGACGTATTTGTAGGTAAAAATTATTTCCTATTTAGTGTAAATGGGTATTAAAATGACTCCGAAGCAGTTATGTCTTATGTAAACAATGCACGCGTCATTCAGCCAATGATTCACACCGCGTGCTCTGACAGCACGTGTTAAGGCAGTCATCTATGACAGAGGTATTATACGAGACTCGTAATTCTCTGTGAAACAGATTGGTAGTGTAGGCCATCGAAAGTATAAAAAACGAAACGAAGTATTGATCTATATTTTAATTAGATTGACCGAACATTTGATTCTGCTTCTCGGTTAGGTCTATGAGAAAAATCTAAATGAGAGAGAGAAATGGGGTTTAACGTCCACTCGACACAAACTAGGTCATTTCGGGACTAACATATGGTTAAATTTTATTTCATTAATTCGCTTGCGCGTAGGGGTCTTTATCAGTGGGAGGAAACCGGAGGACCCGCAGAAAACCCACGAGGTTGAACAGGTCACCCTACTCCTTGTCACGTACAACCGGGGATTCGAAAACACGCCAGTTGACTCAATGACAGGCCGTATGATACAGCACGCACGTGCTAACCATTCGCCCATCCAACCCCCCAATCTAAGTGAGAACAATATGACGAAACTAGTATTTCATGAACTAGAAGCCGTTGTAGAAAAGTTCTATTGGATTAGGTTAGGCAGCTTGTTTAACAACTGCAGTTTAAATTGTGACATGCTGTATCAATAGTCAAACACTGGCGTTATTACAGAAAATCTACGCACTAAAATCGCCAATTTTATTTTGACCCAAATCAAAGTTGTTGTGACATTTTACGCAAAATAAAGTCCCCCGACAACTATTTCTGTGTAATCATGACTGATTGTTCTATAATTTTCCACGAAAGTTAGTTATTGAATAATAGGACGTTAAACCCCATTTCGCGTTTGTTTCGTTCCGTTATTGAATAAATTTGCGTTTTGTGGACAATCCAAGGTTGTGCACCACTACGGGTCTATTGCCATTACTGATAGACTTTTTAAATTATTTACTGCAAGTTTGCTGAATTTCATCAAGAGAAGCCTTAGTCGAATTCAGCATCGTGCCAATTTTGCACAGTGTTATTGCCCTAGTCAACGAAACCATGAAACCTTGTAAATGTTTTGAAAGTCTTAGTTTGATTTATTGCGCCTTTGGCCAGCTGTACAGAATAATGTAAACGAAATGAAATAAAATGGGTTTTAACGTACAACTGTTCTACTCCGAACTGGGATAATGAAGACGGACAGGTAAACGAACACTTTACAGTTGGGATTCGAAATAATAGAAAACCGTAGCGCCGCTGTATGGGCAAAATTTGCCCAATAGGACACTTTATGGTGTATACCCGTCTTTATTAACCCAGTCGGAGCAGAACACTAGAACGTTAAACCCCATTTCATTTCATTTACAGATTATTATGACAGCTTCGTCTCTCTTTAGAAAGCTCTTGGTGAATGTTTTTGCATGTATTTTTTTGACTTCAGGCTTCTGTTAGAGCGCTTGATACTATCGCTGATTTCGTCAAAAAGAAGGTTAACAACACCGTGGACAAATTCTTTATAGCTGGCGCATCTAAGGTAAATACTTATATTAATAGTTGTGAAAGGAAAGCAAGATTTTAGTTACATTTTATTTTGTTTTGTGTTAAAGGGGCACTATGGGAGATTAGATAAAGTGCTGGCAGTTCTCACTATATAATAGTTAAAAACTAGATAATGTAAAGGGAATTTGCTAAAAATTTCAGTTAAATTGATCAACTCTGAACCGAGATATTAAATTTTGAATTTTAGGCCTAACCTCGATCACCATAAAAAAAATACAATCTTAATTATCCATTATTTGGATTTAATCATCAATGAGCGTTGAGCAGCAGATCGGATTCAAATCCAGTAAATATCGCAGGCTAGCGATGCCATCGAGAGTTGATTATGTTCTGGATAAGTTAGTTAATGTCTAATTAATAATTTAGATAACATTTAATGCTTAAAGAAAGACCGGCAATAGGCAGGTTTATCTCTTGCAAAATGTATGTTTAAGTGTATTAATCTAGTGTTATGTAATTCTTATGGTAATTTCATTCTGACGGTCAACAAACTTAAGTCGATTGTGTATGACTTCTGCAATACATCATTCTACAAACAGATAACTTTGAGAATAGATCTCTGCACTAATTGGCCACCATATTCAAAACTTAATGGGTTCTAATCCTTTTTTACATCTTTCAAACACACAAAGATTAAATAAACATTTTTTATTTTATTAAATGGAAGTACTTGTAGAATACAAGCTCCTCAAAATTCTCGAAGTACAGTTACTGTTTTTGACTTAAATCGTCGATTTTTGAATTTAAATGTCGGTCAGCTAGCTTTGTGTCTTTTCTCAAGCTGACCTAAGTTTCGTATGTTGCTGCTAGTACAATGAATTTGGCATAGTTAGCATTGCTGTTTGGGTGGACGAATGATATTTATTTTATTGTCAGGGGCATAACCAAGTCACTGTGCATTAATCGTTTGTTTTTGTTTATAGCGTGGTTGGACAACATGGACTACAGCTGCTGTGGATAAAAGAGTTATCGCAATGGCGCCTATTGTCATGGATTTATTACACATGGTTCAAGTAAGCTGTTTTATACATTCTGCTAACCTGAAGAGCCAGTGCATACTAGCGATTGTTAATTGGCGATTAATGTTTCAGTGAGCAAACGCTGGCTCGCTAACCCTGGAGGTTCCGGATCCGATCCCGGTGGCTGGCTCGCTAACCCTGGAGGTTCCGGATCCGATCCCGGTGGCTGGCTCGCTAACCTGGAGGTTCCGGATCCGGTCCCGGTGTTGGCCGAGAAAGTTGCTCGAGATTTTCCGGCGTGGTTTCCCTTTGTTGTGCAGTAACAGTGCCTAGTCGTTCGGATGGGACGAAAAACCGATGTCCCGTGCACGCATTGGTGTGTACGTAAAAGAGCTCATGACAGTTGGAATTCAATTGCTGCCTAGGCAAAATCTCCCTCATAGCACACTGTATGACCCCTATGGCGTATGTCCGCCTTCATTATCCCAATGTGTGCAGAATTTATTCAAATCATCCTAACCAAACCCCCCCCCCCCCCCGTAGCTCCACGGGGTGTTGGATGGCTGAATGGTTAGCACGTGCGCGCTGTATCATAAAGTCTGCCATTGAGTCAACTGGCGTGGTTTCGATTTATGGTTGTACGTGACAAGGAGTAGGGTCGCCTGTCCAACCTCGTGGGTTTTCTCCGGGTCCTCCGGTTTCCTCTGCTAAAAAGAACCCTATGTGGAAGCGAATTATGAAAATAAAATTGAACCATATGTTAGTCTCGAAATGACCTAGTTTGTGTCGAGTGGACGTTTAATCCCATATCTCTCCCTCACTGTTAGCTCCACAAATTGTCGAAATCGCGGGTGTGTCTATTAGTCTTAGCAAATCCGCTTTACAAATGTACATGGAATAAATCTAATGGTTACCTTAATTATACGAAATATTTTTATATACTAAAATTAGTAGATGATATCGTTTATTTTCATTTTAACTTTTGCAGAATCTACATCATCATTTCCGAGCTTATGGTGGTTGGACGTTCGCTTTTAAAGATTATTATGTACTCAATTTTACTGACCATTTAGATAACCCATATACCCAGGCCATGGCTGATATAATAGATCCTATTGGTGAGTTTCTACTTTAATACGCTAGCCTATGCCTACGTAAGAGTAGGGTCCCCTGTCCAACCTTGCTGGGTTTCTCTGGGCTGTCGGACCCCCCCCCCCCCCCTCCCCCACAGCTAAAGACACCTATTAGTGAGTTTCTACTTTAACACACTATTTTATTCCTGGTTTTCATTCTTCGCTTGTACGTCAGTTTGATTAAAATACAGATTTATATTTCGTTTCGTTTTTTTAATACTTTCGAGGACTATACAACACGAAGATCTTACAGGTAGGCCTTTAAACCACATTTCGTTTCATTCGAGTGCGTTTCATAATTTTGTTAATACTCGCATGTTTGTATTTTGCAGCGTATAATGACCGTTATGCTACTATACCTAAGATTATTGTATCAACTGGTGGAGATGAATTTTTTTTACCTGACGATTCACATTATTACTTTAATGAATTACAAGGACCAAAATATCTCAGGTAAATATTATCACCTCACGCTTTTAGATTTCATGTTCTCTTTTCTTTTGGAAATACCGAGAACCCGGGCAAAATTTCTCTCATAGCACACTGTAAGGCGTACGCCCGTCTTAATTATCCCAGTCGGAGTAGGACGTTAAACCACATTTAATTTCATGTCTTTTAGAAGTAAGTAATTTTATTATCTTACAATTGAACTCAGGGCCCTTATTCACGAAAACTTAAACTAAGATACAATCGAAAGTTTAAGAAATACTGCAATTCGGTTGGCTGCCCAGTAAAATCAATTTGCATATATCAAATGAAGTTGCAGTATTTCCTAAAATTTCGGTTGTAACTTAGTTTAAGTTTTCGTGATTAAAGGCCCAGAACCTTAAATATACATTACGAAAGAGTCAAATCCGTCCATTATGGGGTCTTTCTCTTGGCCTCAAATAGGCGTTGGAGTAAAGGGGGGGGGGGGGCAACATTAGTTCTAAAAAATCTTTTATCTATCTTCTATATATATATTTGTGACTGTCGTTTGTCTGTCTGTCTGTCTGTTCGGGGTTGGCGGCTACACTAGGTCTGCCCTGAGTCTGAAATTTGGGGTATAGGGGTAGCTCGGACCGGGGAGTAACATAGGCCAGGTGCCGTTAGTCTACCACTTCCGGTTTCGGAGTTATGACCCCCGAGCGAAGCCGGTCTGTTCTGGGTTGGCGCTACACTAGGTCTGCCCTGAGTCTGAAATTTGGGGTATAGGGGTAGCTCGGACCGGGGAGTAACATAGGCCAGTTGGCGTTAGTCTACCACTTCCGGTTTCGGAGTTATGACCCCCGAGCGAAGCCGGGTATCCTGCTAGTATATGATATTATGATTTTATTTATTATCATGTATATGTTGATTACAAATTATTCATCTATGTACCATACTGACATACAAATTGTATTTGTGTGAGTGTGAAGGACGGTGACCAGAATATGCTCCCTTTTCACTGTTAATGCTAGGGCCCTAGCCACATTAACCCTTGGCAGTTTAAATTCGAAATAAGAGTAGGCTGTAACGATGCAGTCCGGACGAAATGTCACTCATAGCACGCGGTATGGTGTATAGTCGCTTTCATTAGCCCAGTCGGAGCAGAAAAGTAGGAGAGAGAGAGAGAAATGGGGTTTAACGTACACTCGACACAAACTAGGTCATTTCGGGACTAACATATGGTTTAATTTTATTTACACAATTCGCTTGCGCGTAGGGGTCTTTAGCAGTGGGAGGAAACCGGAGGACCCGGAGAAAACCCACGAGGTTGAACAGGCGACCCTACTCCTTGCCACGTACAACCGGGGATTCGAAACCACGCCAGTCGACTCAATGACAGACTTTATGATACAGCGCGCACACGCTAACCATTCAGCCATCCAACCCCCCAGAAAAGTAGGAAGTTAAACCCCAGAGGAAATGTAACCCATAGCACACTGTATGGTGTATGCCTGTCGTCATTAGCCCAGTCGGAGCAGAAAAGTAGGACGTTAAACCCCGTTTCATGTCATGAATCATTTTTCAGAATTTTACCAAATGCAGAACATTCCTGTGCTGGTCATGAAATTAGTTTGTTATTTACAATGCGGGCTTTCTTTTTATCAGTTATTACGGTAAGTTCATGTATCTTTTATATTTAAATGTGGTTTATGTCGCCGTCACCCGTTCGTCCGTCCGTCGGTATGCCTTTCACATTTCTTGTTAGAATACTGATTGATGTGTATATATTGCGGTTTTTACCGCGAGGGGATTGGAAATGGAAGGAGCGGCACAAACTCTAGCTACGTCACTGTCACGTGGGTATTCTATTCAATCTGTTTCACAGATTATTACGAAAGTCTTCTAATATCTCTGTAAAAGATGACTGCCTTCAACACATGACGTCATATCACTATATTGTTACTGTAAGACTTTACTGATTCGAGCAGAATGGCGCCTTTTACTCATGTTCATACCCATTTACATTACGATAGGAAATAATTTTTATCTACAAATACTCTAAACGTCTTTATTTATTTTTCTAATACATTGAAAAAATAATTTAGAATTTAATTTGTCGGAGGAAAAAAGTTAATATTTGTGTTATGAACCTTAATCAAACATTATTGGGGTTATCTTCCTTGTTACACGATAAGGTCGGGGGGATGGGGCTGTTTTCCTTGTCACAAGATAGATTCTTATCCATGTTCGTGTTATCTATCTTGTTAAAAGATTAAAATTTATCTTTAAACGAAATTTGATGATTGATCTTTTGCAGAGTAGTAAGGGAGAATGGTGGTCGAATGGTTTAACGCGTGCGCATTTGATCAGAAAGTCTGTCGTTGAGTCACGTGACGTGGTTTCGATTTTCGCTTGTACGTGACAAGGAGTGGGGTCGCCTGTCCAGTCTCGTTTGTTTCTCCGGGTTCCCCGGTTTCCCCCGCCAGCTATTGACCCCTACGCGCAATCGAATTATTGAAATAAAAATGAACCATATGTTAGTCCCGAAATGACCTAGTTTATCGTAGTGCACGGGCTAGGAGTGTTTTTACACTTTCTAGATACCAATACTCATTCACCTTTGTATGATATTTATACATTTCAGAAAACGACCCTTCCCAAGTTTACATGGGTTCGAGAAGAGGTAATTAATATACAATATACTTTAAAACTAAAACAGATTGTCATCCAACCATATGAAGAGTCCAGGGAAAGAACGATCGAAGTCACATTTTTGTCTTTTCGCAAAAAAGGCAAAACAGACTTTGGACGAGAATGCTTGACGCGAACAGAACAACAATTCGGTTTAGTAACAACTTCAAAATGATGTTTAATACGAATCATAATTACCAGTACAACAACTGACATGCACTTTTCAGCCAAATTAAGGTCAAATAAATACGATGGACTTGTATTTTTCCGGGAGGTTATTTCAGAGGGGCCTTGGTTCAATGTGACTCCGGTCGTTTTTACCTGAAATTGATTGTTCCACAGAAAGTTTATACAATATGCTACCATATCGTGCCATTAACTGGGGTTAGTAAAAAAGTGACTTAGATCGTTTTTCCCTGGGGCCCTTCATATACAATTCAATGAACTCGACAATTTGAACCCATATTATCAAAGACAGACTGTTTCAATGGCATTTGGCAACAGAACAGGTCACAAATCTATGGAATACAATAACTGCCTATGGGCGACGTTTAGACCGGGGTTTCTCATTGTATTGATGTAAGACGCTGGCTCGCTAGTCTGGAGGTCGGGTGTTCGATCCCTGCATTGGCCGAGAAAGTTCATCCAGATTTTCCGGCGTGGTTCTCCCCTTGTCAGTGATGCAGGACAGCTGTCTAGTCGTTCGGATGGTACGAAAACCCGAGGCCCTGTGTAGACATTGGCGTGCACGTAAAAGATCCCTTGACAGTTGGAATTAGATATAAGAGAGGGCCGTAGTGCCACTGTCCGGGCACAATTTCCCCCATACCACACTGTATGGCGTATGCCCGTCTTCATTAGCTCATATATATTTTCAAGTTAGCAAGGATGGAACTGATATTTGAAACATTTCCTGACCCTAAACCCTAACCCTAACCCTACCGATGTTAATATATTTTCAGACCCCAACAGGTGGACGCATCACAATAATGTCTGACCAAAAACCTAAAACTGTTAACATGTATTATGCCACGACCCTTGATGGAGAAAGGTTTGTTTATTATATAACTTTAAGTATAGCGTATTTATCATTTAACCTAACATTGATAGAAACAGCTTTATAACTATTATTATTCAACTTTAAGTATAGCGTATTTATCATTTAACCTAACATTGATAGAAACCGCTTTATAACTATTATTACGCAACTTTAAGTATAGCGTATTTATCATGTAACCTAACATTGATAGAAACAGCTTCGGAACTATTATTCCATCATAACTCGACGTTCCCATTCTTGGGTGTGACTTTTTTTATTTGCTCGATACTGTAAGTCCGACATTCAAGATTTTGTTAATTCCGACCCAATCGGGATTTAGTTGCTGCAACAGAAGAGAGAGAGAGAGAGAGAGAGAGAGAGAGAGAGAGAGAGAGGGTTTAATGTCCACTCGACACAAACCAGGTCATTTCGGAACAAACATATGGTTCAATTTTTATTTCAATAATTCGCTTGCGCGTAGGGATCTTTAGCAGTGGGAGGAAACCGGAGGACCCGGATAAAACCCACGAAATTGGACAGGCGACCCTACTCCTTGCCACGTACAACCGGGGAATCGAAACCACGCCAGTTAACTTAATAACAGTCCTAATGATACAGCGCGATCGGGGCTAACCATTCGGTCATCCAACCCCCCTTAGCTGCAACAGAAAGTCACGACATGAACCAAACGACCGGACGCCGGAAGGTCGACGACACTGAAAAACTAATGATTGCCAGAAACAGGATTGGATTTGTGGAATAACCGATAGATTCAAGTTATCCACCTTCCAAGTCATATGCTTTGTTTAACAAATTAGTATATAAAATCCGATGTCCCAATGAAAAACACTTCATTTTATGTATACACTTATTCAGATCTATATTATCATAGTTTCTGTGCTTGGACCGTATAACATTATTTTTTATAAATTACAGGCGAGATTTCAGACTATTAGTTGGTACACCAGGAGACCCATCAAAACCATTGCCCCATCCAGTAATTTGGTTGCGCGATGATGTCAAAGATATGGTACGTCATAAGATAATTATTATTCAAAAAGTATAGTTAATGAAAAGCTGACAGACATTTCTGTAGTATACCAACTGTTGCTGTGCCAATCTGATTAAAACCCTGATCATATTTCATTTCGTTTTTATAGTTCAAAATTTCGTTTTATGTGTCTGTACTACACTAGGATCTGGAAGAGTTGTTATATAACCTGTGTTTTGGATGACGTGAGGGATTAGCCAATGAAACCATCTGTTACAGCGACTTCTTGGCGTACGATGCACAGAACTGTGGGTAAACAACTAGAAACGTCAACGCTGATTGATTAATCTATGTTTGACACCATAGGGTCCAAAAGCCGTGCGTATGACCTCTGAAGCGACTTCCCAGATCTTCATGTAGTATAGGTCATCAAAAGTATATATATTATGAAAAAAGTAAAAAAAAACGAAATATAGATCTGTATTTTAATCAGAGTCGTGTCGTGATTAAAATCGTGGTTTTAATCGTGGAGTAATCGTGGTGATCCTATCAGTTCTTATCATATATTGGCGTAAGTCGTAGCATTCGTGGTAACCGAGACTAAACTATGATTCGGGATAATGTTGATTATGAAAATTAAATGTAGAATTGAATAAATATCCTGTAATTTTATTTAAAAATATTGACTGTACCTAATATTCTTATATAATTTCCAGGGAAATAACACATACGTGGCCGAGATTGATAAACCTTTTGTTGGATGGACAGCCTTCTTCGTGCAGGTAATGATATTGACCTTTAAGATCATAGAATCCTGATATTTCTTCCAGATCGATTATTGGATATAAACAAAGATAACTTACTATTAAAATATGTAGAATATATCCCGCCATTACTGGGGGTTGGATGGCCGAATGGTTAGCACGTGCGCGCTGTATCATAAGTCCGTCATTGAGTCAACTGCCGTGGTTTCGATTCCACGGTTGTATGTGACAAGGAATAGGGTCGCCTGTCCAACCTCGTGGGTTTTCTCCAAGTCCTCCGGTTTCCCCCAAATCTTAAAGACCCCTACGCGCAAGCGAATTATTGAAGTAAAATTAAACCATGTGTTAGTCCCGAAATGACCTAGTTTGTGTTGAGCATGTTAGCACGTGCGCGCTGTATTATAAAGTCTGTCATTGAGTCAACTGGCGTGGTTTCGATTCCCCGGTTGTACGTGACAAGGAGTAGAGTCGCCTGTCCAATCTCGTGGGTTTCCTCCAAGTCCTCCAGTTTCCTCCCACTGCTAAAAACCCTTACGCTCAAGCGAATTATTGAAATATAATTAAACCATATGTTAGTCCCGAAATGACCTAGTTTCTGTCGAGTGGACGTTAATCCCCATTTCCCCCACTCGCTCTCCCGCCATTACTTACCAAGTCCCTAACTAACTATCGCTAATAACGGGAGGGAAGTAAAGGCATTTCTGAATGTAACTTCCTGTCCAACTTATTCTCGGACATCCAGAACCACCTAGTCTTCAACGTACGGACAGTAATTGTCTGAATAATAGAGACTAAGACGAGAGAGAGAGAGAGAGAGAGAGAGAGAGAGAGATTTAACGTCCACTCGACACAAAATAGTTCATTTCGGGACTAACATATGGTTTAATTTTATTTCAATAATTCGCTTGCGCGTAGGGGTTCTTTAGCAGTGGGAGGAAACCGGAGGACCCGGAAAAAACTCACGAGGTTGAACAGGCGACCCTACTCCTTGTCACGTACAACCGGAGATTCGAAACCACGCCATCCAACCCCCGAGACTAAGACCAACTAATTTAGTGAACAAATGGCAATGAAATGAAATGGGGGTTCAACGTCCTACTATTCTGCTCCGACTGGGATAATGAAGACGGGCATACGCCATACAGTGTGTTATGAAGGAAATTGTGCCGAATCCAACTGCCAAAGGATCTTTTACGTTCACGCCAATGTATACACGGGACCTCGTTTATTTTCTGTATAGTGCTAGTGATGAAAATATGGAAACTAACGTATTTGTAACATTAATTTGTTGTTGTTTTTCATTTTACCAGGTAACATTCCCAGGTGTGGCCGACTCAGTCTTAGAATTTACAACAGAAACTCAGATCGTTCCAGATATATTTCCTTTCCCTGATTGTCAGGGAGCTAGCTGTTTGGGTGTCCTAGTCTAATTCACCATTTTTCAATCGTAAATAATCGTAAATAAAATATTTATATTTATTTTTAGAAATAAATAGTCAAGATTTTTGTGTTAAAAACCTGTGATCTCTATCGTATTCATAAGCAAATAATACGACCCCATTTTATTTTAAAAAAGAAAATAGGATTTAACGTTCTACTGTTCTGCTCCAACCGGGATAATGAAGACGGGCATATGCCATACAGTGTGCTATGAGGGTTATTTGGCTGTACTAAGGCCTATTCCTATATAGAATTCAAACTGCCAAGGGATTTTTTAGGTACACGTCAATGTATACACGGGACCTAGGGGTTTTGTACCATCCGAACGACTAGACAGCCGTCCTTGTCAGGCTAGGGAGGGGGGAACAGCACTAACGTCTTACTCATTGAGCCACAGCGGGACCCCTTCAATAGAGCTAACTACTTACTCAATATTTTGCATAATATTCGAAATTAAAAACATTAATCTGATTTCAATATTGACTCATTTCTATCAATATTGATGTTACTATCTTACCATGGGGACATTTTAAAATCAGTACACGACGTCGTGTACTACATGGTTAACAGTGCTAAAAGAACAAAGAAGACCATATCCCAGAAGACAACGCGGAAGTAATTAAAAATGGCTGTTTCACAAACAACAACAACGAAACAACAAAAAACAAAAAAGCAACAAAAAAACGTGTATAATGGACTAAGCGCATCCGGATGCCTTCAGTCTAGCCTGTTAGTGGATTTCATCGAACATAATTGTGTTACACTATTCGTTCTTCAAGACCCAACTCCATACAATACTTTTATTGTTCTTCAAACATATCAAGTACGAAACTTCTTATAGTTAAAGACTCCGTAATTAGCTTGTGTTGAGGGAGTCGTGGTTCTAGCTTGGCTTGGCACCCTCGGGTGCCAACTACCAAGTAACTTACATAGCCGCTCTCCGGTCTTAACTAACCTATCACTTCAGATATCTGCTTATAATTCCTTTCTAGACAAAGGATGGTCGAAGAGATTATGCAGCTGGCTATATTGCATCATACCAGATTAAGCGTTCAGTACAGATTGCTTTACAAGACAAAGGTCATTACATAACACGGGCCAGCTATATGTTTATATAATGGCAATGACTAACCAGTGACACTTGGACAACCGTGGGTGTCACTAGCCAACATAAGGATTTTAATCAATTCCGTTTTCATGTGCCAGGATGGCACGATAACGTATCGATAACATCTACCATTGTGTAACAATTGATTAAAATAGTGAGTTCTTATATTGCGCACAAATCCATCAAAATTAATGCTCAAGGCCCATCTAGCTCTCCACTTATCACAAGATAAAACACAGATCAATGAATCAATTGTTTAGAATATGTTCTTCTAATTCCGCGTCTATACTCTGCTCAGTAAATCATGTAACACAACTGCCGTTCGTAAAGGCTTTTTCTCAATAATGGCGGTTTGGAAAGTTTTGCTACCGACTTTTATCTTATTGGCTTATTTCTGGATAGCCGCAGCAACTTTTCATTCAAATTACATTAAAACACAGGTTTTTCGGGAAGGCAGTGGTTGTGTAAAAGATGTTTTTAATACGATGATGATGAAGTATAGAAGTCGTTCGTTGATACACTGTAGTATGTTATGTTCATCTACAGAAGATTGTAGAAGATTTATGTTTGATAAAGAAACCAAGCTGTGTTCAATATTTGAATTTGGTGAAAATTGTATCACAGATGAAGAAATAGATAATACTATTTGCTATAGACAGGTCAGTACTTATTTAGCAGCGGAAACTCATTAATCCGGAAATCACGGGTTCGAACCCCGTGTTGGCCGAAAAGTTTCCCTGGCCGTACGGACGGACGGACGGACAATAAAGAGACAGAAAAAACATACATTTGAAAAGTTTCCCTGGCCGTACGGACGGACAATAAAGAGACAGAAAAAACATATATTTTAACTCAAAGCACTGTAAAAAAATATCGAGTTGGTGTTTGTTGAAAAATACCGTTGCAAAGAAGTGCATTAATACAGTTAATTCGACGAATAAATCATAAAACGGGGAACCAAACACACATGATAATTATTATTTTAAAACTATAGTTAAAAATACATTATGCAAGAGCTAAATCTGTCTATTGTGGGTCTTTCTTGAGGCCTGAAATGTTATCTAAATTATTAATTAGACATTAATTAACATATCCAGACCATAATCACGTCTCGATGTTTACTGGATTAGGATACCATTTGCTGCTCCACTTTCATTCTTGATTTAATCATGAAATGGATAATCGAGAGTATATCTTTTATCGTACCAACTTTAGTAATGATGATCGAGGTTAGGCCGAAAATTCAATCGCGCTAAAATCTCGGTTCAGAGTGGATCAATTTGACTGAAATTTTCAGCAAATTCGCTTTACATTATCTAGTTTTTAACTATTATAGTGAGAACTGATTAATCAATGTCTGACGTCATAGGGCGAAAAGTTTTTAAGAAAAACCCCAAAAAATCCCAAAAACCCCGAAACGAAATATAGATCTGTATTTTAACCAGATTGAACCAAACAGATACGTAGTAACCATCCGTGTTCATGCGCAAGGAACTGTACCAGACCCTACTGACAGAAACCGCTACAAAATCCCTCTAATTTTTAGTAGTCAGATATTTTTACAAATGTAAGCTTGAAATTGGCAATTAGCAAATTTTTAATGTAAAACAATTAAGTAGGATTGCATTTACGAAACACTTTATTTTATATTTTATTATATATTTGAATTATTCGTGGCTTAAACGCGCATTAGGTTAAGATTAGTCAAAGAGCTGACAGTTCTCGCTATAATAGTAAAAAGAATAGATAATTAAAACATAATATGCTGAGAATTTTAGCCAAATTGCTTCTCCCTGAACCGAGATATTCGCGATTCAATTTTAGACTATCCTCGATTGTCATTACTACAGTTGGTACGATGATAAACAAAGTCTCGATTATTCATTTTTACGTTAAATCATCCATCACAAAACGTATTCAAATCCACTAAACATCACAGGCTAACGATGGCATTGTGAGCTGATTGTGGTCTTGATAAGTTAATAAATTACTAATTAATAATTTAGATAATATTTAAGGCCTGAAAAAAGAAATGCAAAAGGCAGATTTAGCTCTTGCATAATGTACGCTTAAAGATATGTTAGTAATTTACAATTGAATTAAACCTTGGCATTTTTATTCGCCCATATTGAATTTTGGTCGTATTATGTCGTCACCCGTTGGTTCGTCAACAGTTGACTCGTTAATGCGATATAGGTTACAGTTAACATATTTTCTGTCATGTATTGGGGCCACTCGGTAATGAACCCTATGGATATTCAGTGTTCCGCAAACTTCATCCCGTAGTTAACTCCCTTTTTCCCAAATCCTTGTAGACGCAATATAGGATACAGTTTTTAATGATTTTTTTATTTCAAATTTGGTGTTAAGCAGTGATGTCGTGAGGGGGATAAACTCTATCGATATTCAGCGTTCTGCATATTTAGTGTGAAGCATTAGCAAAGTGAGGTGAGAAGAATTGGAATCGGAAAGGTTGAACCCTGTTGATTTTCAGCAGTCTAGGACCAGAGATATATTATACGTCCGGAAAAGCTTGTGAACACGATAGAGATTAGATTTCTTGACGGATCCTAGATCCCTATTATATTTGTTTTCCTTTCGGATAGTTGCTATGGGTGAATTTCGGAAACAGATAATATATTTTTCTTGTTTATATATTTTAACAGAAATATGTATGTGATGAATTACATTGTACCAGATGTCCAATTGGTTACTATGGTGATCAGTGTCAACAGATCATACAAGGTAGAAATATCATTATAGCATGTCCGTTTTGGGGATATTAGAGACTTTTGGCAAGCGTAAATTCCTGATCCGTATTGCGTATCCGTAACGATTTTGCGTGTGACGTCATCAATGCGTGTGTATTTCTCATACGTGATACGGCACAGGGATACGGCAGCACGTATCGAACAGCTTTCATACGGAAAAGGTCCGTATAACATCGTCGTCTTTTAATCGTATTTTTTGCTACTTTTAGACGCTGAAATGTGCCGTAGCGTTTTCATGAATCTATGCGTATCCTAGAACACGAAGGTGTATATTTGATGTGATTTCATATTTTCCCTGTCTGTCTGCACGCTTGTTGATCTACGTGCTAAATTTAGGGAGGTGGGACCTTGCAATTGCAAATCTGTAAAAGGGGTATATTTTTAATAAGATTCGACACTAATTTTTAATATATTTTTTAAATAACTCAGCGACTGTCGAACGACTTCACTCCCTTCAGGAATTTATTTGTAGGCTAGGTACTTGACTAGTACTGATGTTGATCTTGGTAGATAACTACCATCATGCTGTAATGGAACTACGCTCAGCTCAGCTACCCATACGTAGACGGCGCGAAAATCTGCCAAAACTCTAAAACTAAATTAACGCAACGTATTACGTGACGATACAGATACGTTATACGGATGGGGAAAATTCCACTTGCCAAAAGTCTCTATTGTAATAATTTGAATACGAAAGTAATAGACTTAAGGTTTATTGCTTTGCCTCAGATTTCACGAACGATAGTTTGCCTGTTATGATTGGGAAAGAATTAAGGTCAAGTCAGGTCAGTTTAGACGCCCTAAAATCTTACTGCTTTCGTAATATTTTGAAACTTGACTGTTGTGCGCACACCGACCGAGATATTACGCAGACCTCCATGTTCTACGTCATACGTGCAAATGGAGTCACTCGCGCATCGTGCACTGGATACACACGCGCAATGTGAAACAACACTCCGTATCATGTTTAAGATTTCAGTTTTTCTAATTTGTAGATTGCTCAGAAGGACGTACAAAATCGTTATTTCCTGAAAAAGAGATGCTGTCCTTCATTCATCCGTCACTGGACGGACCAGTAATTGAAGTGAAATGCATCTTTAACTGGGCAGGAATAACGTATATACACTCTAGAAGATATTACTGCCTGGAACTGGACTTCAATAGGACCATG